ACTCGGGAGCTATAATAGGTTTGGTAACCAGGCTACCTTGCTCATGAGCAAGGAGGTTCTCTCTAGGTACCTCAAACCCCTTTGGGTTTAGGTGAACATGAACGATGTCACAATGATGTTTTTTTCTTTCCCAGTGACTGTGCCGTCGAGGAGCCTTCCCAGAAGGCCATGGATGACGTAGTGGCGCGTCAGCTCTGGGACGTGAGCGAGAGGATGACGGGATTGTCTTCCTGAGTCCAATAATTTACGGACTTAACCGACTGATAGCCATGAATAATCATTGGAAACCCGAATACCTCAGACTACAAGTGGTGGTCTATTTCCTGATGATTTTACATTGAGAGACCAAACTAATAGGAAGTAGCAAGAAATTAAACCAACAGAAGTATAAAGAGAAAAATAAAATCATAATCAGTAACTTTATTTCAAACCAATTTTAAACATCTTTGTTACAAAAAGGTGTTCTGCCATTTCGACTGCGCTACAATGTCAATATCTAAAATGAGAAGGTGGAGCGCGGAAACCTTCTCTCCGTGGCAGAAGTCCCTCGGCAGCAAATCGTCCCTCGCGGCGGCATATTACTCGCGTCGCTCAGAGAAAAATTACGCCCACGCCCAACAAGACTGCGAAGGAGGCTACCCTAGGTTGGTTAGGCAGTGAAAAGTTGTATGAGATATATCAGATGTATTTCATCAAGCCACTTACCACGATGAGGGAATGTATCTTTAAATGACTAATCTAAGATCCTTGTTTTCATCTATACTAAACCATCACCCATTTTTCAGAAAATTGGCCACAAATATTTTCATGGCACGATAACAACAAAAACACACATATCAATATTGTACGTTTAGGGAAATATTAGCTATAGCTATACCCTGTTTTAAGGAGTTGTGCTTTGGAGAGAGTGTACTGTACACTTTTTAAAAACGGACAGGAAGTTTGTGAATGGCCAAAGTTAGCGCCCCCTATAGGCTGCTACAGTATAACACATCTCCGGCAACAACCCGCTTTTGCAATCCTCGGCGCTGCCCGTGTTCCTGCAAATGGAATAGATTAATACATTCGCATACCATAATATGTTGCAATAAAAATTCTCAAATTATTTCACGTAAGTGTGCTTCTTTGCATCCTTTGTTTCGCATGTTATGTTATGTCTTGTATATCGATACCCATAATGGCATAAATGGAGGCTACCTTTGAGTAAAACATTTTAAGTCACAAAATTTAAAGGCGTCAATGTTAAAATAGGTTTGGTAACCAGTCTAGTAAAGGTAGATACTTTTTTTTCCATTTTACCTAGGCAATTTAAGAATCCTGTCTAAAGTGACCACCTGTCCACATAGGCCAGATTTTCCCTGAATGGCCTTCTTGTGCAGTTTTGATTGCACCCTCTAAGAGAAAACACCGTCCCGTCGTACCGTATAGCTGCTGTATCCTGCGCACGTCCTCCGTGTGAAGTCTGTAGTCCGGAGTGTAGCCCTGGTACCACGGGTACATCAGCGCACCCTTCACTTTGGAGTGGTCCAGACCCAGACTGTGGCCCAGCTCGTGCGCAGCCACGATAAACAGGTTTGTACCTGAGGTGAGAAGAAAAACGATTAAACATTCATACTCGGAAAATAGCCACATTTAGTTGTGTAACAATAAAATCATTACGGTTATTTTGTTGTTGTGCGGCCTTTTCAACGATTCTGCGTTTCCCTAGAGTTAGAAGAAAACGGTTGAACCTTCATACACGAAAAAATCTCCCTCTATTTCTAGAGCAATAATTTCTAGAGTAATATCTTGTCGTTTTGTCGTCTTTTCAATGATTCTGTGTTGCCCTAGTGTTGACCGTGATTTCTTTCTGAGAGGAAAATGGAAGAAATGGCGATCATTTCTAGGGCAACTAGCCTCCTTAGCAGACTCTACGACTGGGGCTTTTTGTCTTGTGGCTTACTAGTATCACTTTTACTTGTGCTCTAAGGTTCTTGTAGCCTACGTGGTTTACAGGCTGGGTTTCGTCGGTGCTGTAAGCTCCATCCCTACCTGGCCAAGTGCTCAGTGATTCAGTGCTATGCAGCATGTTGGCCCTGGTGCCAAAGAATCGTCCTGTGTAGGCCCTGGGCTCCAGGTAAGACTAAGAACAAGCGGTACTCGTACCTTCAAAAGAACGGACCGTCCATGTCTCGTCGTCGTCGAAGTGCAGGTCTCCGCCGATCCCCCGCCCGGGGAAGAATGCGTGCGCCAGGGTGCCGCCCGGCCCGTCCAGCGGAGCCTCGTCCCCGTGGTCGTGCTTCTCGAACGAAATCTCGATGTCAGCTTTCTTCTTGACCTTCCTGAAGGTCAGCGGCGTGACGTCAGACCACAGCTAAATGTAAACAAAAAGCAGCATAACAGAAACCAACATTTTGAGGGGTTAGAGCCAATTTTCAAAAACTTTTTTTTTCAAAAGAATTCGTTCCGATTCCAATTTTCAGATGAAGTTTTGTCCTTCTTCGAGAAAATAAGTAGATCCAATAGCTTGAAACACATGCCCTTAAGAGCTTGTGATGGAGGCACCTATGGGTCGTGGGAAGTGGACATCGTCCCTCGCCCACTGCCTACGCCATGTCTCAATATCAAAGTCTGTTTTTCTATTGAAACTAACATGGGTTTACAGCTGCAAAAAGTATTTGGGAAACATGTTGATGAAGGTTGGACACTCAGGTAAACGACACTCATAGAGCTTTTGAGGTAGAAAATCAGCACAGAATACCTTGAATGCCCGTTTGACAGCGTCATCCACGTCTTCCCGTGGCAGGTCTGACGTATAACCTTTGATCCTGTACGTCAAGTTGTGTTTACTCCATACGGTTGTGCCTCTAGTGCGAATACCTAGGGCAGAAAGGGGCATTACTGGCTATGACTACCACTGCACGAAATCCTATCTTTAAGACCACCTTTATTTAAAGTTAAAACATATGTAAAGGTTATTTTTCACTGTAGATAGTGAACATTTACTTGTGGTCTAATATGTGCTTAAGGATTGGAATTCTTCACGGTAGTGTACGTATGAGTATCAGTCTTAACTACCCACACAAATGATCTTCGCTGTGATACAGCTAGCCATCGCTGCGTGCTTGCGAAGGTAGTGTGTTATGTACCCTACGACGAACGTAACCGTGAAAGAAAGTCACACCTGTAGCCAGCGTGTCCGTGTTGCCGGGTGGAGCCTCCGTCAGGGCGGCTGGGTCAGGCCGGAGACAGCGTCGCTCTGACATTTTACTGCAAGTGACGTCATCAACCTCACCTGTGGTGGCAGTGTCGAACAAATAAAGTGGTTAGTTTCTGACCTTGCATTCGACCACCTTCAGGATAAGCAAGCACTTTTGACTTTGTCAGAAATCAGATTTTTGCTATTAAAGACCTAGTGACTTGCCAAATGTCTTAATTAAACTTCAATCCACCAAAAGGGAGGACGGCCAGTACACCAAAGTTGACTGCAAAATAATTTTCACTTCAAACACTTTCATTGCGTGTCGTTTCGGTCTTTTAGTTTCAGGTTCAAAGCCACGTTACAGGTGCAAAGAAATAGTACCCTACCTGTTTCTGGAACATCTGCAGCTTTCTGGAATTTGGCGAGAGCCGTCTTCACTTCCGCTTCCGGTCGGTCGGCCTCATCACAGCCACAGGGCAGGTAGCCGTAATGCTCGAGGTACTGCTGGCATTCCTATATCGTAAGGAAAACAAGGAAGTCGGCTGGGAGATAGTAGACATCAATGCTTTAAATTATAGTTTCTGAATGCGTTTTTTTTTTGGATAATCAAAGACAACGTATTTTAGCATAATTATTTAGAACAGGCCAACTTAGTATTTGGTAGAGAACTCAACACAACAACGTATTGATACTGTATATGGTGTACCCCAAACCCAAATTATATATTATTACATTGTGTCCGCCATTTGACTAACAGAACACCTATTTGTGTGCATTGGATTAGTGTAATACCCAGCCCCATACCACGTTACACTACCATTACACACTGTGACAGGGCGTGTGTATTGTTACGGGGCATTGATACGTATTTTGGCTAACAATGACAGCTAGCCAGAAGGCTTTCAGCGTTCTCACGCAAAATTAATGAGCTAAACGTTAGCAAATAAAACGAGTCAGTTGTGCTCCTACGTATGTTCTATGGTTGCTATACCATGAAGTAGAGAAATGAAAAAAAGTGAAATCTTGATATTGTCATTTATGTTACTGGTATTTACGCAGTGTATGATATTGAGCTAATATGGTGGTCCAATTTTGACAATGTATTTACACTAGGGACTAGCCAGGTGTCAATGCTACCGCGGTTTAACAAGGCTCTGTTCGGGCCTACAGTAGTTCTCCGCCGTACAGTACAGTCTAAGTCTCCTAGATACATTTCTGAGAGAATACGAAGCATCATGTACCGAAGGGCCCATGTTAACACGATTTCGTTTACCTATGGCGTGCCCCTAGGCACCTGTCTACATGTAAGTCACCCTTGACCCTGACATGTGTCATGTCGCTATTACGTCCCCAAAATATCTGTATCGTAGCGTACAGTTTTAGCCTCTTAGATATTTTTGAAGGGAATACTAGTATGAAGTAATACGTACCGTAGGGTCATGTTGACACAGTTTCATTACCTACATGTAAGTCGTGCCCCTAGGCACCTGTTTAGATTGACCCTGTAATTCGTCTTGTAGCTGTTTTTGCTGAAACTTCTCTGTATTGTAGCGTGCAGTCTTAGTCTCTTAGATATGTTTTAAGGCAACATGAAGTAATACGTACCGTAGGGTCATGTTGACACGGTTTCATTACCTACCTGTACGGCGTACCCCTAGGCTTGACCCTGAAATTCGTCTTTTAGCTGTTTGTTCTGAAAATTCTCTGTCTTGTGGCGTACAGTCGTATATTCTAAAGGGAATATGAAGTAAATACGTACCGTAGGGTCCATGTTGACGAGCTGTCTGGTGAAACAAAACAAGCAGGAACAGTCAGGGAGACTGAACAGTTTGCCGCGGTTTGTCTGTTGCTTCGGCCCGACTAATATCGATTGGTAACACCCGGAAGCAGAAAGACCGGTTCTGCTTCAGTTGTCACAATGGCCCTTATGATGCGCTGACGTAGTTGCATTTGTTAACACTTCAAATCTGATTGTTCAGAAATAATTCAAAGATCAACACATGTTTAGCCTAACGGAAACCGCTCTTTTGAGGCGGACCATAGACTATGTTTGGTTACACATGTACGCGGAATCTTTGGCTTTCTGGTGGTCGCGTTGATACACGATATTCATACGTATTCGCATACTTAAACTTAATACGCATTAAATTCATGTTGTGTTTTTAAGTTGTACGTTATACTATTGACTAATTGAATACGATGTCATTCTTTAATACACTTATTAAACATCTCCTGCACTGCTCATTTAAAGTGTTTTCAGCTCATTGCTTTGTTTCGTTTCTGGGCGTTGCCTTTTAGATTTACCCGTGTTTTGTTCGTGTAATTTGTGGGATGTAAAGTGTGCCCCTTTGGCCGGGTAACTCCTCTGGTGTACTTGGCCAATTTATATTATTCTAGTAGTTATACTTCGACTTCCAATAACCCATTGGAGTCTGGTAGAGACTGGCCCAAAGCCACTTTCCACCAGATGAAATTTTGCAACCATCCACGCACGAGCGACCTCTGTCGATACCTTTGTAGACTGCAAGATGAGTGTACAAAGTAAAACATGTCGGGTCCCACATCTGCTTGAAGATTATCCTCATTAGTTATCAGCGGATTTTGTTTCCTACTCGGCTTTATCAAGAGCTCGGGCTTGTCAAGTATTAATCTGTATAAACACTAATCCGCGCTAAACTGTGATAATCGTTTCTGTGTACAAAAGTGTTGTACAAAGGATATGGCGATAACACTTGACCCGACGGCAATTAATCTGATCGTGGCTTGTCGCAGCACCGCCCACACGTGGCGCCAAAACCTGCACGGAGGCTAATCTCAAGAGGACTTCATGTTCCCTGGATCCGTCAGTAGACCACGGCTAGCCTCTACCAGGCTTCGGAAGGCGGCTGGAAAGAGTAGAAATCGGCCAAATAGAATGAATGAATGAATGAAGACCTTTATTGTACACACATACCCACTGGGTATGTACAGGTCATTACAAAAGGATGGAATACAGATAACGTTACATATACATCGTCAAGAAAACTACAATTGGATAAATTAAGTAAATTCGGTTTCTTCTCGTTTCTTAGTAATGGTAAAAAGGTAAGAACAGGTATGTTTCAATATAGGTTTGTCTAAGCTCATTAGGCATACAACATGCCAGGGGAGTTGGTCCGCTAGAGAGTACAGTTTGTCGCTCCCGAAACTGTTCTCTCCAGCAGACCAACTCCCTTGGCATGCTATCTCTTTATTTGGCCGATTTCTACTCTTTCTAACCGCCTCCCGAAGCCTTGTAGAGGCTAAACCACGTCTGTGTGTAATCCCTGTATCCATTGGCCACCTGTATCCATCGTCCGCCCCACGATACAGGCGGCCAATGGATACAGGAGGCCAATGGATACAGGCGGTCAACATAAAATGACTCTGCCCCGCCGAATCTGGTATGACATTAGGCGTGGTCTACTGATGGAACTGAGATGTTTGGGGTGGAGAACCAAGGAGCTTCGACAAGTCCTTGGAGAAACGTAGCCTTTTACGATCTTTTACTAGTCTTCAGAGAAGTGGGTGGTGTTTGGATTAAATTGAAGAACTGTAGAATTTGCCAGCAGTGGAGTCCATTTCTACGCGTTTTTGCCGGTTCTAGGAGTTACCGACGCCCTAGGAATAGGAGAAACAGTTTTCCCTGAATCAGCCGGAGTGGCACTGTACTCCTTTACGTTTTAACAAGTAACAGACTGACTCCCCTAGCATGTAATCTGCCAATTTGCCCAACAACAAGAAAGTAACAGTGACGACGTGAAAGGAAACAAAGAGCTACGCAAAAGTGAAACCAGCTGATGTAGAAAATAACAAGTCAATCAATCAATCTTCTAGTTCCTTGTTGTCGCCACCGCGCCCACGCACGTCGCCGAAACCTGTCCCGGGGGCGTGGCCAGTTTCTGCAAACTGGTCAACACATGGAACCTGACACGCAGGGAGTGGGCGTAGACACATGGTGGAGAGTGTTTCCCACGAACGTCGACGTCTTTGTGTCGCCTCAGACCTACAGACGGACGTCTTTGATGTTCGGACTGCAACAGTACCGATATGTGTCTGCGGAACGTCAAAAGTTGAGGACATGTCAGACAGATACAAAATGTATGTCTGCCGGTTGAACAATAAAGATTCATTCATTCACCTTGTACATTGTGTATATGTATAGAAGTGTCCTAGCCGTGGCGACTGTTACTGGTCTTGACCAAGTCGCTCAACCTATTTTGTTACTAAAATTCCCTTTGAAAGAAAAAAAAAGGTGAAATTTGTGAGTTTTGTCTAAATGTGTGTTATTGGGCATAATTCAACTGCAAGCTCATCATGACGGTTTATACGCACTTACGAAACGCGTAGTTAATATAGTTTACACAGCACGTAAGAGAAGCCTTAGCCGGAACAATCGCCAAGGCTACTGGTATTCAATTAAGTGCTGATAGAGTAACTTACGGTACATGGTCGAGAGTGGGCGGTGATTGGTATTTCACGCCCATTCCCAGTATCATTTAAATTTCACGGGTATCGGAAATGGGTTACCGTTAACTTGTCAACTTCTCAACACTGCACTGCACAGCTCTTCCAAAACCTTCCTTCAAGTATTAAATTAAAACACATTGCGTGGTTGTAAATTCGTTAATGAATCTGAAGATACTGTATTTGACGCGTATTCCTACCATTAATTTTCTTAAGCTTTTCAGGGATCGAATTCATCCCATGCAATTTTGCTATTTTCAATGAAGAAACCAACATTGATGCCTTCTTAGTTTTAATTGAAAATGACAAGCTAAGTGAGGCGTCTCTTTTTATGTTTTGAGTACCGCCCATAAATAGCTAGAACCAAGGACCAGGGGTGCCAAAGAATTTATCAGAATTTTACGGAATTCAGACGATCCTTACTAGGAAACATACGAAGTTTACGGAATACATACGATCCATTACGCGGAATACATACTATCCTTACTAATGGATAGCATGTATTCCGCAAACTTCGTATGTTTCTAGTAAGGATCGTATGAATTCCGTAAAATTCTGATTAATTATTTGGCACCCCTGAGGACCAACATTCGATTCAAAACAAGCAACCGTTCTCCGTCAGCAACATCGCATTTGCCTCACAGAACCAGTATGTTATAGGTTGATACTACATTAAAAGATTGACCAGAAAGTTGATTTTGAAAGTACAGTTTTGCCACCTAGGAATGTCATCGGATGCCTCTAAATTGTTCAAAGTGACAAAAACGTATTATCTAAACAGAATTAGCCGACAACCTAATATCCAAGCAGAAGGCGGTCCAAGTTAGTGTTAACTCGATTCAAATGTTACATCTGCTTGGAGATTACACTTGCCCACTACCTGACATCTTTCGTGACGGCGGGCACAAGTGCAGCAAGTGTACATGTAAAAGCACGATCGGCATTACACATCCACGAGTGAACCAAGGGACACACAAGTTCAAGACTATATTACGTACTTGTGGCCTAAAACAAAACTAGAAAATATTGAAAAGTAACGAAAATTTAACGCAAGCTAATGATATTAGACAGACATTCTATTAGATTGAATATTTGTAAGGGAAATAACATTATAAAATCGTTCTGGATGACATAAAAAATATAGATATATGGTCGGAATAAAAACAGTGAGCAAAATCTGCTTGTACGATAAAATATCTGACCGACTTGGAAGAAAAGAGAAAGTTTTACTGTCAGGCAATGTAGCGAATACTAAAGTGGTTTCTCCCAAACGACGGCCAATCGTCTTGTCAATCAAATCCTCGGCTCAGACGACCAGACCGGCCCCGGCTCATGGGACATTTTCCACAGCTGTTCTTTCCAAATACGTAGAGGGCCAGGACTCTGACAACAAGCATGGTAAGAACGATTTTTCCTCGGGATTTGTTAGATAAGACACTGTAGTAAACTTTGGCTGGGCGATTTTAGTTCTGAAGACGCAGATGCTACATGTGTAAGTGACGATTTTTTAAATCGCGTCGCGCAGTTGCAAAATGTGGGCCAATGTTGTGATACAAAGATGGAATTTGTGATCGTCTTTCTGTCAGGGACTTCCCACTGGTGATCGAAAAATTATTCCTGACATCTAGATGAACAAAATCTGAGGAAAATCGTAGAGAAATTTTGTGCGCCAATTGTAGATTTCTGAGGAAAATTGTGAGAGAAGAATGGAAGTGAAGTTCTCGGGTGTGCCATGCTTGTGTCGGGAGCAGGGCGGTGGGGCCATATTTGAATCCCGGGTCTCCGTATCACGATAAAAATAGATCCTTCACCCATGGAAACAGGTGCTTGGTGGCCTCTGAATTCTCCCTAAATATTGTGGACGATTTTTGTTTTGTTTTGAGTCCAACGTAGACAAGAAAAGGGCGAAACAAAAATATATGTCGGCCAAAAATATATCGCCGCAGCTCTGATCGAGAAAATCTTGCAACGCAGCAGTTTCTAAAACAAACGAAAAGTAATGTAAGTAAGGCAAGAATCACCTCATAATGCCCTTAATTTCTCCATGTAGGTGAAAAAGACGAAGATTCTGTATAAGTGTTATTTTACAACTACTATATCAGAGCTGTTACGATTCAATTATTTGTCGTCGGCCCATTTCTCAAAGTCAAAAGCAAACATTTTCACGGTTTCTCTGACGAATTTTCGTTTAAGCTTCACATGAAAAATGCTGGTTTCATAACAATTTGTCTGGAGAATTTTTATTCCCTCAACTAACATTGCTTTGACGAAGTTTTGAGTGTTTTTAATGTTGCATGTTCCGCATTCCAAGGCGCCATATTCCAGGTAAATTCATTAAAAAATTGTTATTGAACAATCTTACCAGTAAATTATTCCTCAGTCTTTTATCAGTCGTAAATAAGTAGCCTTTAGAAGTTGGCGCATTAAATAAGTTAGCGAGTTTAAAATAATGTATACTGATTAATTATTATCTTGAAAGTTCATCTGTGTTGGTGGAAGTCATTATGAAGTAAGTTTAAACTGTAATTTCCAACACAACAAAAAATTGGACTCACCCAAATTTTCGACTGTACAACTCCAGTCTTTTTCAAGGAATGAGCAATCCACCGCTTCCGTGACGTCACGCAGATAACACACGTGACCTGTTTTAAACCAACCAGAACCCTCCGGAACATACTGGTTTCACCAAAGGACAAAACACCAAAAGAAAGCAAATGTGGGGTGGTGTACCACGATACAGTGTCAAGGACAGAATTCCAAGGGCCCATGTAAGGAAACCTATATCGGAGAGACTGAAAGATCGCTCAAGGCTACGTTCCTAGAACACAAACGACCTAGCTCAACTACCTCTGAGGTTTCACAACATATACATATAGAATCCCCTGGACATTCAGTCTCACTGGACAAAGTAAAAATCTTGGACACAGAACCGGAATTTTTTGCACGAGGGATTAAAGAGGCCATCTACATCAGGGCTTTACAGCCATCCCTCAACAGAGACGGGGGGCGCCACAGACTTTCTGCAACCTATGATCCACTGCTCACGGAGTCACGTGTGTTATCTGCGTGACGTCACGGAAGCGGTGGATTGCTCATTCCTTGAAAAAGACTGGAGTTGTACAGTCGAAAATTTGGGTGAGTCCAATTTTTTGTTGTGTTGGAAATTACAGTTTAAACTTACTGATTAATTATGTTGCAGTACAGAAAAAAAAAATCTGTGACAGAACTTCATGCAATCCCAATACTGAACAAATTACACCACTCCTTAAATGGTTTTATAAGAAGGGAACTACAGGAATTATTACTGTTTTACAGGTCTTAATGTGACTTAAGAAATTCGTAATTTTTATAGGAGCACCATTACTAAGGCATCTAACATTTCTGAATAGAAATAAAGGCTGGAAAGTTAGAAAAAAAGTTAACAGTTACTTTTTAAAGTACAGGTGTTCTAATCTGAGAAATTTATATGGTCATTGCACAAGGGCACTTTTTATAATTTCGTAAATATATCAATCTATTCTCTCTAGATAAAAGGGTTGGCCCAGAGAAGGGTTGGCCCAGAAATGTAAGATTTAAGGGCTACATAAACATCCAAAAAAGCAAACCCCTTTCCTATCTTTATTTTGTTTCCTGGTACCCACCTACTTGTATTTCCTTTCTATCATAGCTTCTAACTTATTCTTCTTTTCCTTCCTTGGACTATGACCAGATTTACATGTGGGCAAAAACCTGAAAACTGTGTACACACCCAAGCGTAAGAAAACTGCATATGTACAAAAACTGCGAATGTCTAATTTTTCCTGCATGTAAGTCATCCTGCTTCGAAGTATGTCAAAAATATACATTCAGATCGTATGTTACCTTGATGGCTGGCATACAATCTGAACGTACGTTCTTGACATGACATACGTCAAGCAGGGCGATTTACACACAGAAAAAATTTGATATTAAATTGACATCTGCTGTTTTTGTACACTCTCAGTTTAAATATCGTACCGTCAGGATTCTTTCCTCATGTAAATTGGGTCAATACCTTACAAAACTACATCCTTCTCACTGCTTTTCTTTCTTTCTCTTTCTGGCAGAGCGAACATTCCACCTCCAACTCGCCTGCCCCCCTCACCCAGCCCCAGAGATCCACCTCGATATCCCCGGCCAACTCTGTCTGTTCCACCAGCAATGTGACTAAAGCCCCGCTATACGGGACCGTTATCCCTAACAGAGTGTTCGTGGGCGGAATAGCCTACAACGTATGTATGATACCAAGGGCAGTTCTGGATTTCTGTCGGAATAGATTTCCGATACTCCTATGTTCCGACACCCATATGTTCTGACAACTCATGTTCTGACAACCCTAACCCTATGGTAACATAGGGCTGTCAGCATCACAACAATCACAATGCCAATCTAACCTGCACAAACTCCTAAGGAGCTTTTTCAGTCGCTTTCTGTATCAATGTTTTATAGTGTGACTTCCATCTCAATGGACTCTAGCTCAAACTCAAAGGTACACTGTTTCAACAACTCTTTGTCGGATTTTAAGGGTGTCAGAATGTACCTGTATCGGAATATAGGGGCGTCAGAACATGGGCTGCCCTGCAGAACTATGTCGGAAAATGGGGGTGTTAGAATGTACGGGATCGGAATATAGGGGTGTCAGAACATGGGCTGCCTTGGAAAAATCATTTTTGCATGTGTTTTACAATATTATAATCGCATGATTGCATGCAGAATGACCAGCCTGCAGACGCTAGTGCCTCGGCTGCGGCCCTGCCCACTGCTAATGCATGCACACCTGCCGGCACCAGCATGCATCTGGCCACACCTGTGTACCCCTGGTGGCAGTACCAGCATGTGCAGATCGGCACTCTGTTCAAGGACCGAGTTTTCGTCCGAGGCTTCGACCCAGATGTGAGTAGCGACCGTAAAACAAGTCTGGGTCACACAAATTCCTCTTCTTGGGTATTTTCAAGTAAAACCAAATTCTATGGCAATCACTCGAGATCTTTATTTGCAATCAGATACATATTCATGTACAGATACATATTCATGCACAGATACAACAGATTCATGTACAGATACAGATCCATGTACAGATATACAGTAACTGTTACAGATTTTCCGAGTATGATGACTATGTCAGTCCCTACATGGAGGGTTGACACAGTGGCCTTCGCGTGGATTTGTTTAAGGTGGATAACAGGTTAAAACAAAAAAGTGGTCACATATTGGCTGATAACATATTACTAGTACAGGTGTCACTGTGTGTATGGTAGACTTAAGATTTTTTGTATTATGATATCATAAAAATATTAATACATTTGTACAACGTGAAAGCTTGCTTAACTGTTTGAGTATGTTGTCAAAGTAAAATCTCTCAGGTTCTGTTATATGAATCTCAATTCAAAGGAACTTGACCTCATGTACAGTTTGATATCTTGTGCCATATTGTTTTCTGACCGCAGTGCTCAGAGCAGGAACTGAGAGAATTCTTCACCCAGTTTGGGGCAGTTCGAGACACAAAGATCATTGCTGATAGGGCAGGGGTCAGCAAGGGGTGAGTTTAAGGAATTTCACCATTCTCATATCAAAGTTTAATAATGTATTTTACTTCTGGAGAGCACAGATGGGAGTGTGTACCTAGCTTAGGTGGTAGCTTAGGGTAGTGGTGCCCTCTCAGAGCAAATATAAAGGTAGACCTGGTCCCATTTTGAGTATAGCCACACTTCATAGCCTGAGTACCATCCGGATTTTTGTTATGCAATGCAATGCTCGAAAATCCGGATGGTACCCAGGCTAACACTTAGAGCAACCTGCCATACTCATTGATAAGATTAGGCATTTGCCCTAGTACATACAGTCAACTGTTACAGTAACTGTATTTTGGACTCAACACACATTGTGACCATATAAGACAGGGCAGGCAAGTGGTGGGCAATCCCTGCCTGTGCATTGGGAGTCCAAAATCCTGCTAAAGAAGGAGGGCCTGCAAGGGGGGGTAGTGATTACGAATTACGCAAAATTTTCGCTGACTATTACGAATTACGTTTAAGTTTCAGAGCTGATTACGACTTTACGATTTGCGGCTAATGTCCAATTACGAATTACGTTGATTTTTGCGGAGGCTGCCTACGAATTACGAAGCCTAAAACGGCCTGATTACGCCTTACGAAAAAGGGCTTACAGGCCCTAAAGAAGCAGCCAAGATGACTTGCTTTCCCCAGATAAGATCAACAGGTGTCCTCAGCTAGGGTCACAGCCAGTTGAAGACTTTATCACTAGTGTAAACTGTATCACATTACAAGTCATGTAGTACATGTGTTACAACAAAGACAGTCCATTTAAACAGCTGATAACCCCCTGATAAAGAGATAAACTGCTTGATCCTGAAGAAAGCCAGATGATCTATCCCTCCACATCAGGGTTAATGACCCGTGAAATGACTTCTTATGTTTCTAACAGGTACATGTCATTGCCTAATGGCTAGTTTTTGTTCCATGTACCTGCAGCTATGGGTTTGTGACCTTTGACAGCCAGGAGGCAGCAGACAAGGCACAACAGGTGAATCTACTTTCTAAATTGTTGGTTTTTAGTCAGACGTTTCAAAGTAGAACTACTGTAGCTCAACTAGTGTTCTAGCCAGCTTGACTTTTATTTTGTCACCTCAATTGTGTTTCACGTAAGATCATGTCAAGAGCCAAAGGCTGCAGAGCACGGCAATACTAAGGATAAGTAATCCACATATTCTTTAATCATTTAAGGCATTGTCTACCTGTACTTTTTGACATGTGATCCTTTTTTTTCTGACAGAATGACAACCTCATGTTCAAAGACAAGCGATTGAATGTCGGCCCGGCAATTAGAAAGCAGGTAAGGAGCTTTTCATGGCTACATGTTTAACTTAGAATGTGAAATGTACAAGTGTTAAAAATAAATCTCAACAGTATAGAGATACAACGAAATAAGAAAGGTATATTTTCTTAAACCAGAAAAAAGATGTATGTTACGTAGGAAGTGTTGAAAATGTATTTAAACAGTATAGAGATACAAAGAAATAAGAGGATTGTTTTTTCCTCTCCTAATTGTATGTTTTACGCTGTACTGAACTGAAGTCAAGATATGAAGTTATATTTTGTTGAAATATCTTTTTATTGCACATGTACCTTAATGTCTTTGTTCCTCATCTTTTAAGGCCCCATCACTGCCATCACCATTCAGACCAGGTAGGCATTGTCCAGTTGTCCAACTTGTTTGTACTGAACTAAACTAAGAGATCGTGTACAGACAAATAGTTTGCCAAGACATAAGGCCATGATGAAAAGGAAAATTATGTTGTCAAAACTAACCAAGATTACTTAAGGGACTGATAATAAATTCTGGTCTATGTGGCTGATGGTTGCACTTAATTTGGACAAGGTGCTTGTGTCATTGAGAAAAATTATTTAAGGGACCAAAAAGGCATCACATTGGCCATGTGGTGGTTATCTAGAGGTGGCTACTTGTATATGTACACTGTATTACATGTAGCTCGACAGTTCTGTTTTGGCAAAATTCATTATGAAATGCAATGCTTATCTTACTGTATTTACCAGTGTGAATCATGTATTTTAATGCATTGTTTTGTTTGTTTGTTTAGAGTCTTCCTGTTCCCCTTACCTGGTGGACATTGGTCCCGGTTCCCAGTCCTTTGTGAACAACTGGAGTCTGCCGTATGGGTACATGTGTCCTGATAGCTTCCTGCCTCAACAGGTTTGTAAAAATCAACACCTTCCACAAAAACCTTTTGGGACAATGTTTGTAACAGTGTTTTTGTTGTTGTTGTCGAACATCATAACAAAGGATGGATGGATTGAGAATGTTTTATTAAGTTTTAACCTCAACTGTAAAGTCCTTCCACTTTACAGCTGAAAGGCTTATATCAAGTTGCTTTCATATGTATGATTTGCCATTAAAAAGTACTGTATTACTATTCTAGTATAATTATACCAGTACCTGATGTTATGTTTAGGTGTGCACTCCTAGTTAAGATCTACCTTGTAATTTTGGTGTAAAGAGATGTGTATTTTTTTTCATCAACAATAGCAGTTTGTCATTTTAAAGTTAATGCTGAACATATCATTGTGCTTTTGTTGACTGAAATATTACATCTCTTTTGGACACAGACAGTAGTTGGTCCGTCCGTGCCTCCATCGTTGAGCCCAGCTCCCATCATGTTGCCGGCGGGACCTCCAGCCCACCAACCCTGTAACATGTACGTGCCACAGGGCCAGCCACACCAGTCTTACTACCCTAACACTGTAAGTACATGTAACAAGGAACAGGAGATTTCAACTGTTTTGATCATACAAAAAGTATTAAATTCTTTTTGTTTTATGTCAATCAGTGTTCTAGCCAGGCTGTGTGACAATCCTAGCAGGACAATTTTGAAACATCGACCGTCTGACACACTCATAATATCCTGCATTTTGAGGGTCAAATTTCCCCAAGTAACCAACATCTAGCCATGCAGTGCATCCAAGGATGACTATGACAATCTGTTTTGATACAAAGCACATTACCTTTCTTTGCCTTTCATTGTACAGCACATTACTGAAGTCATTGTTTCAGCACTTTTGCTTTTTACACTGGTACATATAATCTGAATTGAAATGTCTTGAGACCAATCTAACAATTAACTTCAGGTCATACCAAGGGGGAGTGCTACAGTCTCAGGGAAAATTTCACTCCCCCAGTTCTGTGAAACAAGGAACCCCAATTAGCCAACAAAGGTTTTATTTAACAACTGAGAACAAGTCTGACTTTCAGCAACTTTTCTAGCTGACAAAGATGTATTACTGGTGCCCTTGTTTCCTTGAAAGGTTATGGGAGAAACCTGTAGGTCTAATATAATGAAACGCAACCACAGGGTGTGTATGCCATGCTTGAAGAGAGGGGTGAAAGAGGAATAAGAAAGGAATACTATAGCCTGGGTGATAAACTGTTTCCAGGGCCTATACAGGATGGCCAGGTCCTCTGTACTTTGACTTTTTAACATTTTATGGTAACCTTTTCTGTTGCGCTTTCTCCAGGCTGCAGGCCAGCAGTACAGTACATCTGGCAGGGAGTGGGCACCGCAGGTAAACAGCATTTACACCTGATGTTTGTTTGTGTCTTTACTGTATTTATTTATGTAAAACTTATATATCATTGACATTTACTGCCATTTCTTAGCACATTTTAGTCAACATTTCATACTTGAAGCATATGAAATGGCAAACAAAAAGCTATGTGATGAGTCCCTTTATTTTTTGGTACCACCAATAAATAGCTAGAACTAGCCTATGATATGATTTTGAAAATACAGTTTTAGAATTGCTTTGGGTGCCCTTCAAGTATGTGACAGACAAATAAATAATTATTTACTACAGTAACTATATTTGAATCCCCTGTCCTGTTTTCCTTGTAGTCTCCCCCAGCTGCCATGCAGGCCCCCCAGCCAGTGACGTTTGATGGCTACGGTCCTGTGTACCAGGAGATGGTTCCTGTTGAGATGGTGAGTGTGCTTATGCAGTAGTTTGTTTGCGGCCTAACTTTAGCTGCCTAAAGCCACTTTAGCCATGCATGACAGCTATTCTTCCAGGATTCCAGGAGAGGGTAGTTGCATGAACAGATTTCTATCAAATGGTGCAAAATCTGTAGTTCTAGTTCGTTTGTATGGTCTCAGATGGGAAGAAATGTACATTGTTAAGTACATGTGACGTATCACGTATCTGTGAGATGGAAGTTCAGCACTAAGGACAGGTACCTGGTATTGCCTAAAGCCTTAGTAACTTGACAACAGAGCATCTCAGGTGTCTCATCAAGCATTACAAAGGTATTGTGTTAGATCCAAAAATGTCTCATATTGGTTTCATTTCGATTTACTGTTTGTTATATTTTTGTGCAGTCCTCCTTTCCCCCAGGCTGTGTTGTGATGACGGCGCCGAACCTGCCTCCAGAGGCTTCTGGGTACATCTCCATGTCCGGAGTACCCATCATGCAGCAGGTACAGGAGGTGAACCCTCCGCCTGAACAGCCTCCACCTCCTCCTGTCTACACTCAGGTGAACACTTACATGTGTTACGTCTGTGAAGGTTAGACATCCAGGAAATAAGATATGCCAAAGAGCCGTTACTCAAAGCAACTGGATATGATTTTGGTTACATCTGTGAAGGTTAGACATCAAGGTAATAAGATACGCCAAAAAGCAGTTACTCAAGCAACTGGGCATGATTTTGGAAACGGTCAGACGTTTCAGGTAGCATTCACTACCTTTCATCAGTGACACTAAAAGACCAGAGGAGAAATGCAGGTTTATAAGCTAACACATTATCAGGATACAATAAAACACTTACCTGTGTTTTAGTGTATCCTGACTACACCCCGATTTACATTTGGACAAAAACCTGACGGTAGAAAAACTGCATACACACGACCATACGGACACTGAAATTCTTCTGCATGTAAATCGGCCTGCTTTGACATGTCAAGAATCCAAGTTCCGATTGTACAATGGCCCTTGATGTAACATACCATCTAAATCTATGATGGTTTCAAAGCGGGTCGATTTACACTAAGTTTTAGTGACAGAAAATCTTGAGTACCCTTTCATGCCCCGTTTGTGTGTTTGCACTTATAACTCATGATCCTTTTGATGGATTTGTTCAAATTTTGGTATGCAATTAGTAGTTGAGCTCCCTTAGTAGCTGATGTAATTTTAGATACTGCACCCCTGTCCCACTGTCTTTTGTTAGATCTGAATTGCATTGCTTTATTTCCATTTCTACAGCACACCAGGAGACACACGAACTTCCATGGCCCTCCCCCGACCCGAAGGTTTCCCAGAATCGGCACGGGACGCCCCCGATGCATGCCGGTGCGACCTGTCATGGAGGCAGGGAAGTCAGCCCCCCAGGAGGGACAACCAGTCCCCACCCTGACCCCCCCTCCTACCCCTACCCCCTCCATCAACAACTAGTACCCCCCTCTGTCAACAACTAGTACCCCCCTCTGTCAACAACTAGTACATCCACCAGTGTTTCAGATAGAAACAAACTACCGTCAAACCTGTACTGATGATCACCTCCACATAAGGACCATCTGGCCAATGTGACTGACCACGTTTTGCTTGTCCCTTTATAGATACTATTTCCCTTTGACACAAGCACAAAGAATCCTGTCTATAGTGACCACCTGTCCACATAAGCCAGATTCTATCGGTCCCGAGTGGTCTTCTTGGGCAATTTGACTGTATAACTTTTTTGTTGTGGAATTGGCTCTGTATTCATCAAATTGTTGGTCTTTTTTGTAAGGGCATGGCATTGCCAGGACATGTACTGACGAACATTTATTGAAGTCAATACAATGTGTCCAGAACCTTACAAGTTCTATTAGAGGTGTCCTATTGTTAATTTATGACCCAGAAGAACACAGTATTACGTGCCATGTAGTGACTGAGCATGCCAAAAACCTTTCATGTGCAAAAGGGAGTTTGCTGTTGTAGCATTATCACTTTTGTATGTTGTGAGAAAAGAAGTGCCTTCAAAATATGTTGTAGCTTTCTTCACACAGAAGATACTGACTCTGAGTAAGCCTAGTTTACCTCCATTGTTTAACGGTTGAGGTATATATACATGTAGTAAGATAAAGATATTAGGGTAAGTACAGACAATTGTTCGTCTGCATTTTGACTCAGTGCTATCATAGCACACGCCTGCCTTCTAGAAATAGTAGTCTTCGTTGTTGCTATATATACGTTTAATAGCAAAGTTCATGTTCCTGTCATGTTATCCATATACACTAGACTTAGTGTTCTTATTGTTAGTCTTACTTCAATTGTATTGCAGTACAGATACTGATATTTTCAAATATCGGAACAGATGATGTAGGTGTAAATGAATGCATGGAAATTATTTCATATCCATGGAAATTCATGTTCTTTGTAAATGATAAATGAAACAAATCCTTATGTAATACAAATCTAGCTTTTAGATTACATCTAATGAGTTGTAGACTCAAGTTTGAGTAAATGGGTAAATTTTCGTTTGAGTATTTGATAGTGTAGAGTTGTCATCAAGGCATATATACTAATACATGTGTGTAGTAATTAAGACCACATATTGATTGTCTTCCGATGAAAACTGATGTGCTAACATGAGCAATGTTTGTATGTGTATGTATCTAGAAATAGGGTTTTTTTAACCCCTCTTCATCACATTGTGTTCGCTAAAGAAACTAGCCATTGTTTACGTGGATCCATGTAACTGGCGAAATGGCATCAGACTTTTGATATATATATATTATGACCCATTCTCATTTTAGTGGTGATTTCAAGCCATATTTTAAGATTACATCATGAAACTACAATCGTTTAGTCAATGACAATGTGTCAAAGATGTCTCTTCAAAGATTTTTCGAAAAGTCTATAAGAAAAGTTCTGAGAATGGTTGAAATTTGAATAAAGATTAGTTCAAGAAGAGTTTTTCTTGTCTATATAATATCTTGCAAGCTACTTTCTCAGAGATACAAAGATACAATGCAATGCTCATTCAGAGCATTCTTAATACATCTTAATAGTAATACTGAGATTTCTAGAATATGTGTGACTAAAGTCTTTCAAGGCCTTTTAAGTTGACAATAGAGTACAAGTCAAGTATATATACATTGTAGATGCTAAAAAATTAACATGAATTAGCAGTTTTCCTTAAATCAACTTTGACTTTTCAAGTGAGAAGACAACACCTCAGTTCCTTGCAAAATTTACTTTTATTGATGAAAATCACTTCATAATCACCTGTACAACATGAAGCAATCTGCCTCGTTTACACATGAGGTAGAAAAAAAAATGTGATTCTAAGTTCCATTCATAACGAACAATTTGTACAAAAGGTATGCTACAATGTTGTCTGTCTACAAATCTTCCTTCTTAGAAAAGCAAGCAGCATTCATTCAATCGTTGGAGAATGGAGCATTAAAAAAAATAGTCCTCTCCAGCTTTATGGCCAATTCCCTTTCCACACAACATTCCCACCAATCCAGTAGTACTCAACACATGAAATACCACCTGCATATGCAGGTTACAGTAGGTACCATAACGTAATATTGGAGCTATGAGACCTAAGAGACATTCTGTTACAAAGCAGATTACAGAATTTCTGATGGCACAAGGACTACATTTGTACATTCAAAACAGTTTTCAGGACCAAAAGGAATAGAGTGAATTTTAGTACGGTTATTTTGAATGTTGAAATGCAGAAAATTGTATTTCAAGCCCTGAGTACTTACACAATGTACATAACTGGATTCCCTGTACCAAAATAGTAACATTGTTACTAACAATTGTATATCTTAGTGGCTCTTACATTCAATACAAAAGGCACAGTTAAAAGTGTGACTTTGTAAAATGAAGCTGCATTCGCTCCCTAAAATGGCATCCACTTCTTAGTTGTAGATTCAAGGTTTCGCTAAAATGTCCTACAAAAAGGCTCGGACTAAGTTTCCCTAGGATAATATTTCAGATCACTATGAATCACTAATTATAAGGATTCTAATGATTGCATTATATACAGATTGATCAAAACTATGTACTATGCAGCAAAAGATATTGATTACTTGTTAACATTGGCCTTAAGTGATTGACAATTATCATTTCTATCGTGAATCAATCTTACATGGGACTATTTCGATAAGATGAAAGGTGTCTACATTACTGTACTCTTTCTAAAAAGGTAGAAAAATTGTCTAGTTTCTAAGTAGTTATCTATTGTCACACTTGTGTAAGATGGCATGGTTGGCATACATTCGAGTTCAGAATCATTTACCTTCTCCCTGCTGCCTAAGCCCATAACCAATACAAATTTGAGACCAAAAGGCTACTATAGCAGGGGGAGGTTTAGAGCAAACTACCCTAACCTTGACTAAATGACCCTGTATCTTTTCTTTGTATAATATACAAAACCACCTTTGTTGAAGAACAACCAATTGACCTGTTCCATGATTGTCCAGTCACTTCCAACAAAAACTCAACTGAATTCCAAACAATGAAGGAAATGGAAGTTAGTAGTACAAGACAGAAAACTCTGGAGGAGTGCAGTTTTGCTGACTGATACAATGTGGGTTGTGGGAGAATCTGACATCTAAGGTAAGGTGTAAGATCAACTGAATGCTTATGCAACAGGAAGCAATTTTACAGGGTAATGATCAAAACTGACCTGCTAAATGATGTACTAAAGCTAAGGTTGTATTAGGGTACTGTTTGAGTTTTTCCAAATGGTAGAAAAAATTTCCCAGACAACTTGCTATGATGTGGGTAACAGAAAAAAGGATTTTCAGCCCCAAAACAAAAGTTACAACCCAAGAGGAATGATTCTGAGCAACAATGGTGCCATGGCTACACACCAACAAACACAATTTTAAATGGTGTGACAAATTTGTCCTACTCATCTGCAGGAAGGGTGCTCATCCCCATGTTCTCCTCTCCCTCAGCTTTTCCGTCCACTGCCATGGCCACGTCAGTGTTGTGAGACGGTCGGCGAGCGATCAGAGGTTTCCCGTACCGACGTGGCGTCCCTGGCTTCCTACGTGAAACAACCACGTGCAATAACTGTACCCAGAACAGTGGTACCAACTAAAATATATACCCATACCTCAAAATACAAACAAACATCTACCGAATAATCTTGGCAATGGTTATGAGGAAAATCAGGAGCTAGAATATTCTTACAAGACTCTAACACATTGTTAATATGTAAACTAGCTGCTATGGGGGTCCAAACTTGTGTCACTTCTTTATGAGCACAAGAGCCATCCGCTGCATTACCATAACCAGTCGCCAGGGGGTCCAAAATCTGATCATTCATTCAGGTCTTATCCAGAACTTAAAGCCTACCAAATATCAAGACCATACATGTGTTACAACACACACAAAGGCTACCAAAAATATAGCCTTCTTGGCAATAGTAATGAGGAAAATCAGGTGCTATCTGGGGGGTGGAAGTAGCCTGGGCACCATCCTACTTATATGCTGGGGCTCCCACACTCGCTTCTTAGGGAGCCCCGGCATACAAGTAGGATGTTACCCAGGCTAGGGTGGAAGAGCTAGCCCAGTCATCTCGGCAGGGAAGTGACTAAGAGAGCTAATAAAGAGGCTGCCATCTAGGCTAACAAAAAACTGCTTGGAGATATAAATGGGGTGCTATCAAGGTTTGTTTCTCACCTCCAGCTGACCATGCCAGCAGTCCTGGTGTAGTCCACAGCAGGCACAGGAGTCTGGACAGAGTAGGTCACGTTAGCCTGCATGGCTGGGTCAAAGGCTGGCATCATGGGTGCCACCTGGGGGAGAGAGCCATGTTAGTAAAGGCTTGTTTGTTTTATTTGCCTCCCTTGATATCCTACCCCACAAGTGACCCTGTATGCCTTGATCTTCCAAGTAGAAAAACATAAAACAGAGAAGCAAATAAATTTGTGTGAAACAGTTTTCAGGAGCATAAATTCCTGAAATTACACTCCTGAAAAAGCATTCATACCCTCCTGTTCCTACAACTTCAAACATATTCTAAAGATTACAGAGTAGCATGTTGGGTTCTTTTCTTTACACCTGAGGCTTCCCCATATGCTAAAGACAGTAAACCTTCAAACACGTTTTGTCTATTTCATGGGTTACTCAAGCTAAGTGCAGGTACAACTACTATTGTCTGTTGGGGCAGTCAGAAAACCATTTCCAGCTCCTAACTAAAGTACATGTAGATGTGTTCAGTGTGACTTTCTTTGGTTTATTAGGAGCCCCGCACAAGGCAGGGCAGAGAAAAATTGGTTATAGACTCATTGATTGTTCCCCTCCACGGAAATCTTTAGTAAAAGGCGAAAGATTTATGCGTGGTAATTTGAAGGGAAACCAGAGTAATTCTAAACCTGTTCAGGGATTTCGTCACTACAGGAAATCCACTCATTCCATACGTGGCTGAACTACTGAAACAAAATTTACTTGTAAAGAAAACTGTTAGCTTAAAGTGTGGTAAAAACATTTCCACAGTTTAGGGTACATATTCCCCTTAATTCTTATGTATACACATGTATACTACAGATTCGATTAAATGTTCTGCAGATATTTAACAGAGAGTTTAAATGGTGACGTTTGTAAAAAAGCCCCCGTTGAAAACAAAGCATGATGGGAAATATGATAATTAGATGCGGGTGCGCTGTTGTGTGCCCTGAATACACGACGTTACCACAACAGGCTTTCGTGGGCTTATTTCCATACAGTAAGTGGACCAAAACTAGGCACAGTTGTTAGGAATCAAGAGAGAAATATATGTGTCATGTTTCATTCCCTTTCTCTGGCTTGAAGTAGTCTTTGTAACACAAACAATCTCAGTCAAGCCTTTGTGCCCCCCTCCCACCCCCACAGATTTGAGGTATGGGAGGGTTGTCTTGGCTGTCTTGAAAGAACTACTACCAAATAAACAACAAGACTACTAGTATGTTCTCCTTGAAGCATGGTTTTTCATAAAAAAAAACATCATGTTTGCAAGATTTTCACAAGGTAGGCTTTGAAAAGCAAGGCATAGTCTACTCCATGACCCACAAAAAATGGAAAAGAAATGAAGAAATGGCAGAAGAAGCAAAATGAGTAAAAACAACATATTTCATCCATACCTATAGTATCAGGGCTCTCCCCAAGCAATAAAGCAAGGGTGTTCTGCCTCTCCCCAAAATCCTAGCACCGCTCCCGAAATGTTCAAATTTAGGGTTTTCTCTTACTAAGTCACCTCAACCCTAAGAATTTCTGGTGAGACCCGAGTATAGACTGAAACATAATGAGACCTTACAGTAACTACTGTGTAAAAAGCATACATGTACCTCAGCAGGGGTTGCCTCCATCATACCGCCCATGTCAGCAGGGTAGGGTGGGGAGGGGTAGGCATACTCCACTCCATAGGCTGGGGGGCTGCCATAGGTAGGGGCAGCCTGGGTCACTGCAGGGTTCTGTATCAACACACAAGTGTTTAGTAAGTTTACTGAACAAAAGACCTGTACTGTCCTAGAGGAACATGACTTTGCGTATAAATGTTAGGGGGTAGGATGACTTGCTGTTGACAAATGCACGCATTGTCTTGTGAAGTACATGTTGTATAATGCATTGTTAAGAGGGCAGAATGATTGAAAAAAGGCATGTCTTGTGCACAACTGTTAGTAGGTAGAATGCTTTGGAATTGAAAAATGCATGTATTGTCTAAGAAGTACATGTATACAATTGGTACATGTATTACAAGGTAGGATCCTTAGGTACATAAAAAGGCATATGTTGTCTAACTCTAAGGCATACATGTTTATGTACGATGCTTGTCTGCGTTTGTTAAAACAGCTTACCTGTCCAGCCCAGCGCCACTGCTGGCCTCCCCACTGCTGGCCAGTCTACAATTCAAGAAAAATTCTTTGTCAGGTTCTTTGAATGCAAAATACAAGAGACAGGCAAAGTTTTGTTGGGGCATGTTGGCCCTAGAGTCAAGAATTCGAAACTGGCCACAGCTATCGAAGACTTGGAGCAAGGAAAGTATACAGTTATAAAAATTCTGTAGGAAAGAGTATAAATGAAAAGCAGAAACGTATAAACATGGGCAAGCAAAGTTTTCTAGCAGCATGTTGGCCCTGAAGCCAAGGAGTTTCAGCAAAGGGCTAGCAGAATGAACATGAACTGTCTACTTTTTCTTCAGGATATTCAGGTTTATGTACCATACTCACAGATGCAGTGTTGTACGCTGCTGCGTAATGCTGTGGCTGTGGCTGGACATAAGGCATGGCCAGCAGGGCCTGATGTCCAGGGAAGGGAGGGGTCTGAAAACAACAAGGACAAGTTTCATGAAAGCGTTCATAAAAGCCTTGGCATAAAATGATTCTGAATCCTGTGAGAACCAAAACTTAAAATGACAGAGAGACAAGAGCAAAACCCAAGTGGTTAGCACACACAAACACAGAGAATACGCCAAAAAGCAGTTACTCAAGCAACTGGATATGATTTTGGAAACGTCAGACGTGTCAGCTAGTATCCAGTAGCTTTCGTCAGTGATTAAGAGACCAGAGGGGAAATGCAGATTTCTAAGCACAAACTATTGATTGATATGCAAATAAAGGGTAGACACTATATGCAAATAAAGTGCAGACACAGATGATAGTGTCTTCACTTTATTTGCATATCAATCAATAGTTAGTGACTGAGAGACCAGAGAGGAAATGCAGGTTTGTAAGCACTAACTATTGCTTGATATGCAAATAAAGTGAAGACACTATCAATCAATAGTTAGTGCTTATAAACCTGCATTTCCCCTCTGGTCTCTCAGTAACTGATGAAAGCTGGTGGATACTAGCTGAAACGGTCTGATGTTTCCAAAATCATATCCAGTTGCTTGAGTAACTGCTTTTTGGTGTATCGTATTACCTGGATGTCTAACCTTCATCGAGGTAAACACAGAGAATTGTTACACTTGTTACTGTTTTTTTGGCGTATCTTATTGCCTGGATGTCTAACCTTCACCAACGACACAGAATTGTTCAGTTGTCAATGTGTAGAATATAATAATCATACAGACATGTTTTTAAATGAATAGAACGTAATAACACATACACATACCTGCGGCACCCCCTCAGGAGTGAAGTATGTCACCCCGTTTGGGTACGTGTACGGGTAAGTGTTGACGCCAGTATACATCATGCCAGCTCCTGGCACCACAAAGTCAGCTGGCAGAAAAACACAGAACAGCAAAAATACCACGTAAGAGACAACAGATTGTCACTGCATCAGAGAGGGACAAAATGATGCCGTTCTCTCAACTTCAAAATGAAAGAATAATAACTTTCAGTCTGAGAGCCACAACAGAGTGTAATGCCATACACTGGAACACTATGTGATCGGTGCACTGAACTGAAGTCGTACAACTTGTAAACATACTTAGATATGTTCTTTAACGGAGCAAGTTGGCAGAATGTACTGTCTGCACCTGCTTGAAACCTGTAATGTATTGTGCATGGCACTTCGGACAAAAATCATGGAAAATTCCCTTTTTGTTGCGCAGGTATACTACATTCTGCCAATGTGCTCTGCAAGGGTGCAAGGGTGGTATACTGGCTCTTCTACTTTTGAATCACGAAGCAAATTGAACTTGAACTTTCTTCTCTCTCTTGAAAGATAAAGAACTAGATTGTGGGCATGAACTCGAAAAAGCAGTGGGCATGAACTTGAAAGTGAGAACCAAAACTGGAACAAACGAACCAACAACTGCCCAGAACGTAAAACATGTACCATTGGCATGCACGGGTTCAAACTTTCGCAGGGCTTCACCCCGAGAGGTGGTGCCTGTGCCCCTGTGCCCGGGGAGGGGGTAGGGGGTGAGGCGAGGGTGGCGGCGTGCTGGAGGGTAGTAAAGCATAACCTTGGGAAACATGAACTCACCAGGGCTGGGGGGGTAGTTCGGCTGTACGTGGGGGGGAAACAGAAAGGGGGTGTCAGGTTCAATATGTAGCAGTATTTTGTAAGAAAATTCATCGGTAATGTCATCTGTCATATCAAAAAGGGTATCTGATTCATCATCAAAGTTACTAGAGTTTTCTTGAGTTCTGCTTTATTGTGGAAATGTGATACAATGTACTAAGAACATCCATAGACATTGCATTTCGAAGATGCAGTTTTACTGCACATGGGTTGGAAAACAGAATTGGTAGGTTTTAATAAAACATAACGAAGTCTTTACAATCATATACTGTACATGCAAAGCAGCAAATAAGAGCAATGTTATAAAGACAATCTAATCTCACAAGGGTTGTCAGACTTAATTGGAAGTTTGTGCCTGTGGGTTAACGTGTAGAAGTTATGACATACATTCATAAATAAAGTGCAAGAGTATACATGTGAGAGAGACAGTGAGGATTACACTGAATTTTGTAATTCTATGTTACTTATATGGGGTAGAGCAAGTATTAAACTTGAAACACTTCCTTGTATAAATATTTCAAGTTGACTATTCATGAATACCACAAAGCAAAATGATGTGGGTATAAAAATGCATCACCATTGGATCTTTGAAACATGGGAAGAAACTCACTCTCTTTTTGATGGCTGGTCCAATGTTGAGCTTCTTCTCTTTGAACAGGAACAGCTGTCCTGCATCTGCCTGCAAATGGATCAAAATCAAATCTGTAGGTCTAGAACAATTACTGTACAAGGATCTCAAATGCATGATATTCCACCAAAAACCTGTTAGGAGATAATTTCACGTTTGTATGAAGTTCAAAACTACAAATGAGCGTGTTTGAAAACTGCTCTGCCCCTGGGTTATTAAGTCTTCCAGCAGACGCAGTGGAAGACTGTATATATATATGTAGAAAGAGCGGATCAGCCACCTGCACTGCAGTCAGAAATACAAGCGTTACTGTTACAGATCTTCCACCCCAACACCTGCCTGAAGATAAAGTTACAAAGTATGTTGGACAGGAAGCAGTGGTGAGTCCTAATAAGTGGTCCATTTGGTCGTAGATCAACCCCAGATGTTCCCCTTCATCTATCACCAACAACACACTGACATGGTGATTGCCCCCTGCCCCTGGTCCCCTCAAGGGGGACATTTGTTATCCACCCTTGAGCTAACAGGAGAGGGCAACGTTGCCCAATGTCTCCATTTCTGACACATCAGTCCTGTCCTGTGTGTGGAGCACTGCACTGCAGAAGTATCAGGTGGCATAAAGGTATGTGGAGGACAGTTTTGCAGCAAAGAGGTGAACAATGGAGACCAGTGTGAACACAAGTTTTTCTCACACTAGGAGTGACCTTAGGAAAAAAAGTCCACCTCTTTCAACCAGCTCCTGTACTATTTTCAGGTGCACATAAACTTTGCTTCATATAAAATATGAAGGTTTAGATTGGTATCCAAGTCTGCTTGGTCTCTTTTGTCCATTTCACCTACAATGGTGAAGACGACAAAAGAGATCCAGCAGCTAAAATAGGTTCGGATACCAGGCTAACAAAGTTTTTCTCAATTTTAGACATTGTCTTACACCTGTTTTCAATATAAAGGAAAATCACAAACATACCTGTTTGATCAGCTTGGTGGCTTCCTCGTTAGAGGTGAATGTGACAAAGGCATACCTGTAGAAAAAGGGCAAATAAAATCAAATCAAATCACATGTATGTGAGGATGAATGGGTGTAACACTCCAGTTTTGAACAGTAATTATAAGTTGTGTAAGACTGAACTGAAAGATTTGATGCACTCTCTAGAATGGACTTCTACTCCTTTCCTGACAGCCCTATCCTAAGCTAGGTACTCAGGTTCACCTAAGTCAAGTGAGCAAATAAGTGCCTTTCCCAAGGGCACAACATTAGGGCCTCATGCTACTGATTCAAACCCAACAAAAGCCAACAACCCTAACCACATTCAAGACTGCCTTGCCCCCTGGTTAGCAGTTTCAAACAGAAACATGACACACATGAAAAATAGCTTAACACAAATTTTCCATACTTGTAACTCCTGTTTCATTTGTGTAAATCTTGCACAGATAACTACTTCTAAAATGGCCAATCATGCTGTCATGTAATAGTAAGGAATTACAACTTGTATACAGTGAAACCAGATAGGTATGTCAGGGTATCACTACAGATCCCCTAATCTTTAATACACTTACCTTCTGGGAGAAATCTACTTACCAGGCTTGCTAAGGAGGCATTTAAGGTGGTCCAGAAGGATAGCTGAGGCATATTTAGAAATACTACGAACTCTATCTGATATGGTAGTCTTTTGGGTCTATTTTTATAATTTTCTTTCGTCTTGTCACTATGGCCACATTTTGGCCGCCAAATTGACCGCCAAATTGTGCATTTTTTTCACGCTCCAGCCAGGCCCCAGTGGGGGTGTGCACATTATTTTTAAAAGCTACTCCGCCGCTCGACCAATCAGGCTCGCTGGTCATTACGTAAACTGAGAGCTTCACTTTCATAATTTTTGGGAAGGGAAAAGATACTGGAAAAGAGAGTTTTACTGAGCGTTTGATGTCAGTTGTTTGCAAAACGTTTTGGGTAAAAACCTGCCAAATGCAAAGAATAATAATTTTCTGAAAACACAAGCCGTTTCCATTGTTTATCACACTTCGTATCGGCAAAATGTTGTCAAGTTGCAACACACAACCAGAGATATGCAGCCACACAAATCACCAAAAACGCCAGAAATAATCTGACAACTTCCTATATAAAAACATTCGACTGCCAAAAGAAACGAAGCTGTCTGCTTTGAGCCACAAGTTAGATCTTGGTTTAGTTATGAGCGGCCTGGCGGACCGGGTCACTGCATGCATAAAGAGCCGCGCTTGCTAGTTCATACTCGGCCGTCATTATGCGGCGTTATCCTTTGTGTTCTTTCATGATTTTCACAGACAACTCATTAAGTAATTTTCTACCGAATAAAAACGCGTCTCTACCTGTGCACTGTCTTATTATTCTGAGTTTGTATCGACTGCAACACGTTTGTAACTACTAAACGTTAACGTTACGTTCTAGTGAACAGACATGATAAGAACTACTAGTAATTTTTATAAAATCTACGTTTTTATTAAAAATACGATACTTACAAACTTCAGCAGAATTTTTACATAATCTTACGGTAACTGCTAACAATAATCTTTTACGATTTACAGCATACAGCAAATAATAGCCGCTTACAAAAAAATCAGTTCCAACAGATTTACAGAGATAGTCCGTACTTTTCAGATAGAACATAGAACGTCGTGCGTGAAAATTATTTCCACAAGTCTAGGACAACGTGCAACGTAAATTCACATAATCAACAAAATTATACTCGCTCATAATCCCATACCACGTCCGGGCAAGCTTTTTTTCCAGGGCTATCTACTCCGGTATCGCGCGATAACTTTTCAGTGTTGTGATCTTGCTGATCGTCAATCTCCTCTGGGGGTAGGCCTAAAAAACAAGTCCGTAACTCCAGAATACCCCGGCAGATTGTCTCCAATAAGGTCTCAGAATAGTCCATAAACCTTCATCTGCAAATCTACGTAGGATACGGCCGTGAAAAAGATCGTCTACCGGCCCAAATGCTGGCGCAAAGCGCACAGCTTTCTCCGCTCGTAAACAAGCCACGCCATCCGCCATTTTGGGTGAGTCACGTGACCCCTACTCGCGCGAAATCTTAGCGTTCTTTTTGGCTGTTCTTTTTACTGGACATATCCCCGGCCTGTTTTTCCAAATAGCGCCGCAGTAAGCTAAATACAGCGTGCTGACAGGCCAATGACCCATTTTTCGGTGGGAGGGATGGGCGCCCTTGGAATGGCGACAAAAAATTGGCGATTTCGGCTCTTTCGGGCTTCAAAATGGACATTATGTAACCCCTACGACATATACAGCATTTTAAGAATGAAACTGTGGAAAAAATGTTCATGGAAAGAGACAAAAAGGTCGTATTTTTTGAAAGATAAGCTTATAAACTAAAATCGTATGCGAGGCCGACACACTGCGCCGCTTTATATGTTGGGGAGGGGTGCTGGCGCATGGCACTGTTGACATTTACGAAAAAAAATTCATAAAAAATCAACACTTTGAGATATTGAAAAATGCTCGCATACGTTTGTTCCTATTACTAGTGTGTGCCTTTCAACAAAATATGGTGAATAAAAACCAAAGCGCTGGCCAGAAAAATTGATTTTTCTAAAAAGGGGGCGTGGCTCATAACTCGAGATGACGTCATGATTACGTCATCAAAATTTGCATAAATTATCATCTTGCACTAAGGTACTCACACAAAAAAAATCAATGACCATAGGTAATCCTAAGTAGTATTTTTAGGATGTCCCCAAAGTCCTCAGCCACCCTTCCATACCACCTTAATAGCTCACTGGGAAACCAATAACTGATAAGCTATCTATTATCTATCTACTTCACTTACCCCTTAGTTAGTCCCTGCTTGTCAAAGATAATTTTCACATCCTTCACTGATCCATAAGCTCCAAAATAGCCCTTGAGCTCCTGCTCTGATGTCTGTTAACAAACAAACAAACATTGCCATGTGTTATCTTGAAGTTGAAGATGATTTAAGTTGTAAACTTCACAGGTAAGTTGGAAACAGGTTGTGAAACAAAAAAAACTACCAAGTGGTATAAACTTTTTATGTCATAACCTGTACAGCTGTCATATATCCCTTTGAAACAAATGAATAAATAATGTTGAACTTAAAGAACAAACATTAAATAATGCCTTCATGGTTGTAGATTACTGAATTAAAATCAAAAACTCTTCTACAGTTCGCAGTATATAGTAACAGGGGCTCAAGTTTTGGAAAAACACAAAATGCAGCAAAAACAGAGCTAAACTGTATTAATGGCTATAATAATATCCCTTGCAAGGTGTACATTTGCCATGCCATAGTTACTTACTACATGTACTTGTATTTGCCATGCCATAGTCAACTCAAAAATGTTTCAGAAAAGCCTGAGGCTATTGACAGGATCGTCCTGTCAGCAGTGCAATATTTTCTGCTATTGACAGGACGATCCTGTCAATAGCCATAGGCTTCAGAAAATACAAAGGTACATCTACAAGAAAGAAGGGACAGCTGACAGCTGGTGCTCCACCATGTATTGCTGCAACAGTTGACATTCCACTAAAGAATCTTCTTATCTATCAAAGATAACCATCAAGATGAAAGTAGCCATTTAATGGCCAGACATAAAACTAATTTGTGCCACATGAGGACATGGTTTGCTCAAGCTCTGGACAGCTGTGGGCATCTTACATACAATGTAAGCAAGCCTGACTGCTTCTAGGGCCTGCAAAGGTCAGATCCTCCGCTACAGGGCCAATATGCTGCCAAGGAAAATTATGCCACTGTCTGTTCAATAATCAGGGATCTCCCCAAGCAAAGCAAAGGTGCTCCCTCTCCCCCAAATCCTAGCCTCGGTTCCAAACCCATAGCACACTGGACACAAAGTGCTCACTGACTGAGATACTTTGTGTCCAGTGTGCTATGGGTTTGGAACCCAGGCTACCAAATCCTAGCACTTCTCCCAAATTTAGGGTTTTCTCTTACTAGTCTTAGTATTTCCATGACAATTTGATGATTTTTCATCAACTGATTAGGGAGCACCTCTAGTCTACCCTAAGAATTTCTGGGGAGACCCCTGAGTTAGACTGTTGCTCAGGGTGTAACTCAAGGCTGTGGCAAACTTTCCTTGGCGGTATGTTGGCTGTGGAGCCAAGGAGCTGGCCTGTGTGGGCTGTGGCTTCCGGCTCCTGACAAATGGGTGAAGAAGGGTAACGAATTGGTGGAATTTCCTCCCATTTAGGTGACATATCTGTTCTGAATCAGGCCTACATGACCAGCTTGCAATGACCCTTGTCTCCTCAGCAGAGTGTAGATAAAACAGCTATAAATCTTTCACTGAACACACAAAAATAACATTTGCAAGAATAAGGAACAGATGAGGGGATTTATCAAGCATTCTTGCCAATCCTAAATCTGAGAGGAATTTTGTCATTTTTACTTACATAATATGTATCCATTTCTTATTTAATCTAGAAGTTTGTTACAATGTTAACTTATCGAAAATCCAGGACAGTGGTGACAATGGCAAACAACAATGCACAGAAGTGACGAGAGTGTCTCAAAGTTATCTCAATTTCATAATGCTGCATTTTACAACACAAATGGCAGCATATATAAAATTGAGATAAGTCAGAGACAAGTTAACGTAAGAACATTACATAACTGGCCACCACTAATAAGGATTAGCCAAAAATGTTTCCACCACGCAACAGCAGGCCTGGATGCCAGGCTCACATATACACTATACACCCAGGCTGCACACAGGCACCCAGGCCACAGGACAGCCGAGTTTAGTAGGATACAGCTGAGGTCCCATATGATCTCAAATTTCTGTTGTACACCCCATCATTGGATAAGATGTGGAGCAAACTGAGTGCGTTCCTAGCAAATAGACATAAAATGGACAGAGCTGGCAGGCAAGTTTGAATATTACTGTGTATTCACTGCAAATATCTGAATGTGCAAATGCATCAGGGCAAAAACATGGTCCTCAGGCTTTGCTTTCATACAATATTTCTGAGAACCAATAAATCAAATTGCTGAGTACTGATGGCAAGATAGGTACTCACCCCAGCTGTCACTCCCCCCACAAAAATCCGTCCATCTATCTTGGTGCCAGAGGGAATCTTGTACTTGTAAGTGTTGGGCCCAGTGGTTGGGGACGTCACCTCTGTGGAAGGGGTCGAGGCTGGGATGGGCGAACCCACGGTACCCTGCACAGAGTCAGTCTGCAAAACATGAAGGAAAAAGTATAACAATCAATTTCATTATCATGATTTGTCAGTTGTTGTACAGTCTAGTTTTCATTTACAATTTTTCGTACAAACACCACAAGCATCTTGAGCAAAATCAAGCGAATTTACATGTATACTTGGGTGTAGAAGACAGCTGAAAAAGTATAAATTTATTCATCTCAATTTTTCTTAACGTTGTTATGCAATTTTTAATGGCAAATTCACATGTCTCTTTTGCTCTGGAAAGTTTTTTGCCATCAAAAACAAGTTTCCTTACTTTAGACCCCTGCAACTGTTGTAGCCGGCTCCAGAACTACATGGTTCCAGATTACTCAGAAAACCTACGGGTACCTCACACCAATAAGGTTATTATCTTGAACAAAACCTGTGGTAATTTTTTTCCGATCACTGGGACTTTTGCATCCTAACAGTAAAGCATTTCCTGCCATAAATTTACATGTAAAGAGAAGAGAAGTCTGGAAGAGAGCCTTTCATATTCATGACAGGCACGACCAAAGAAAAGGATTTGAAATCCAAACACTTCTCAGTAACAATGCAAATGTAAACAAGCATTGAAAGGAAACTCTGGGTTGTCCTTCAGAAAAACCCCAATGGGATATACTATACAAGTAGTGCATACAAACAAGATTCTTCCAGAAAGTTATCAAGTAACTTTCACTGAGCATTACTACAATTATGCTCTCAATACCCCATGGCCATCCTTTTGTTACAACAGACATGGGCGGGAAAATAATTTTCTGAATGTAAAACAAAACTAACTTTGTGACCATCACTCACTGAGAAAAAAAAGAAGCCAGCTGTCTTAAAATTGCATGACAAAAATAATTCAATATCTACTAATCTAGGAAATAAAAAAATCTTGGACACTCACCTGGTAGATTGGAAAGTAGACATACTGTACATACTGAGGCAACGGCTCACTAATGTTCAGAGTGTTCAAACAGTTCACGAGATCGTCAACAACATTATTGTTCCCATCACTAGTTACTGGAACTTCCTCACTAGTTACTGGAACTTCCTCAGAACACTGCACAGGGCCCACAGGCATATCAGAGGTGGCGGCAGGCATGTTCACCAAAAAATGCTGACTTTTCCCTCCAAAACTAAGAGCACAGCTCCACACAACCTTCCCACCAGACTTCTGGCTCAGGAATGAACCTTGAAAATTGGCTGTGAGCAAAAGGGAGGGACCGTGTGACAGCCAATCATCGCCCACACAAGGAGCCTGTTTTCCAGATGTTGGCTCCGCCCCTAATGACACCCCTCTCACTTTATGTGCAGCTTGGGAAAAAAACCTCTTATCTGGGTCATCATCAAGCTATTCATCAACTTTGGATGAAGAAATGAAAACAGATTGGATTAAAAGTGAGTCAGGTTGTGGCAAACAAAGGAGGTTATAAATTGTAGATCTAACCTCCTCAGTCAAGGTTTCTCTAGAACTCTGTAACAAATTTCAGAGGTTTGATATCTTAAAATCTGGAGCCAGTAGAGGTCAAATTTTTCAGCTTCAAGTGTAGAGAGAATACGTGGGTGATAAGGAACTGTAGAAAAAAGGATCACATGATTTCCTACCAACAACTTTAGAACTAAAGACTTCTAAAAACTTTTAAAAACTTCACAAAGGCATTGTCTAGTCTGAGTAACCATGGAGCTACCTCTAGCCTCCTTGCTTTATTTTTACCAGGGCTAAAAGCCTAAAACACTTTATTTTGTAAACTAAATCAGATGGCACCCCGTCTCTCTAGTTGAAGTTGTAGTAGTAGTAGGCATCCTTCCATCTCGAAAGATTGAAGTTGTATACCACTGTGAAATATGAAAACAACAGGGAGACTAGACTGCTTTGTAATTCATGACTGGGAACAACAATGCCCCAGAAGGTAAGGTTTACAGAAGGGATCTCACCACCTAGGTGAGAAGTGGAGGAGCTGAGATGAGCACAGATCAATCAGGTGGTTAGCACCTCACATTCCCACAGGAGGCCAGGGTTTCCATATGTAGTTACCAAACGACACAAATGAACCAAAGACAAGGTCTACCGAAAAAAATCTAGCCTCCTTTTCTTGCTACTGTACAACTCCTATTCTATTGATATCAGCAGCATTTTAGAACAGGGATTTGAATTGAAAAATTGCTTTTATTTTGATACAACCAAGGACATTATGTCCTTGATACAACATTGTTGACTCCAAAAGGTGACATTTTGAATCAAAGTTCTGAAGTCAACTATTAATATTCTCTCATTTGACTGCAGTACCAAACTTGGAATTTTCTTTCAATACTTCAGCCTTAGTAGCCTTGAAGTTCCCAAGGATTTCAGTCAACAGTGGAGTGTGTTATAACACTTGTTAGCCTGATAACAACTGACTGGACTCCAGATCAAAAAGGAGGTGACAAGAGGCTACCGTTTGCTCACAAACTCATTAGTGGTTTGGTACCATGGTGCTAACTGATGAAATGCCCTTTGGGCTCTTGGGGAAAAGCAAACATTATTGGAGTCTTCAATAGGATTAAAAAGGGAAACCACCAAGCTTATGCAAACATTCTGAAACCGAAACTTGTAGTCTCCAAGAAGAGGTTAGTAGGCTTCAGCCTATTTTTGACTTGTTTAATCAGGCTTTGTTTTTTTATTTGTAGGTTGCTTGATGATCTGCTTCAATGGACATTAGAAAGTTTGACCAAGGAGGTTAGAAATCTAGATTTACATTTCTTCAACACGGGGTTTTCATTCTTTCGGAAATGTTTGGGCTTTTGGATGCAAAGAGGAGAGCCGTATAGCAACTGCATGCTCAACATTTCCTGTTTGTTACCACAGGAATCACTTCATCTTTGTCAAAAAGATGTCTAAAACCATGACCAAGGAACAGGAAGTGTGACTTGATATAGCTGTGACAATTCAGAGGGCTCATTTGTCACTCTAAAAACCACCAGACCACCACATGTCTGTCTAGGGTTCTCAGCTGGATACAAGAAGGCAAAAACAGCTTCATTCAGTGTATCAACAAGGATGTATGTATCAGTAGTGTTTCGAATTGTCTATGCGATGGGCTCCTTTCAGAAAGAAAACTAGCTTCTACCAGGCTTCAGAAATGGCTGAAAGAAGTAGAAATTGGAAAGAAGTAGAAATTGTCCAAATATACAGGTAACATGCCAGGGCCTAGGTGAAGTTCCCCTGCTATTTAATAATATAAAAGGCCAGTTAGCTGCTCTGACCAAGGAGGTTGAAGGATCTTGAAGGGACCTCCTTTTGCTCTGGCCAACTCCCCAGGCATGTTATCAGTTCCATCATCTCTTTTCAGCTACTTTTGAAGCCTGGTAGAGGCTAAAAGAAACATAGAAAAAAGCTACACTAGTTGAACTTAAATACCTTGCAAACCAAGCCAAGTTAGGGATGGACAAATAAGAGTGGTTTATAATGGCTAAAGAGTCCAGATTTCCGACGGTAAGTGGGCAAACAGGTTTCTACATTTTTCTAGCCCATCTGAGCTAGCCTGGTACTGATTTTATGGTCATTAATTTGCTCTGATAGCTTCATCAATTAGCCTTAGTTCCTGCTCCACAGTTGCAAGGACTTCTGGAAAGAGTTGGCAAAGAGAGATTTGTAGTAATTTTCAAGGACCACTGGGGATGTCATGAATTTCAGGCAAGTCCTTGACTGTGTTTCTTGCATGTACTGTCTGCCAGTATGGCACTAAAGCAAGAAAACACCATGCTGTTTTTTTAACCATCTTATCACAAAAGCAAGAAAACACCATGCTGTTTTTTAACCATCTTATCATAGTATTGTGCTTGTTTGTTTATTTGTTTTCACTTGTCTCATCTGTGCCAAAGAAATGAAGCAATATTTCACAACTGATGGAATTGCTTATCAATTTTCTTCCTGAAGTCCAGCTTTTCTAAACATGTTTCCTTCTTGAACATTCTACACTTTATCCAAAACACCTGCTCCAAACAATGGGAAGCTAGGAATCTTCAGCATATGGTTTGGATTTCATGCTTCTGGTCAACACGTGGTTGTGGGATCTGACTCGGAAAATAACCAGGCGGCACCTGTCGACTCTCCGGCGGTACAGGCCACCCTAGCCCGAGCAAGAGACCCGCTACCTCCGGTGAGGTCGCAACGGGCTTTTCTTATGAAACGTACACGTGCCAGTGAATTGATTTCACCAAGGGATCTGCATTTTTCTATGGGAAAATAAACTAAAGTATCTTGTACGGAATTTCAAGAGCACGTTTGGGGACTTTTCGGTGCGGAAACTCGAGGCCCGTACGGACAAGATGTTCCCCCGGGGGCCCACGCACCTTCCCCCGCATGTCGCCCCCGACTAACCCCGGCGCCGCAACCGGAACGAAAACTTACCCTATTAATTATTCTGGGAATAAGAAAACGGCACCAATGTCATGAATCATGTTGTCGTGCGTGTCTTTGAAATTTCCGGGACGTACAGTTCGGCAAAAATGTCAATCAGAACAAAAAAAAACAAAAAACGCCATTGCACATTGTGTTGAAAAATTCAAGCCATTTTCCCGTGGGAATTGATTGCAAAATTGAGCGTTATTTGAACAGAGGCTTCGCTGTCATATACATGAATTTTTCTTAATTTTTGGGACTGAAATTTAATTTGACCTTCAGTATAATTTCCCTTTTTTTTAATCAAAGAAGTCGGCTAGGAAAGCAAATTACGATTCAAGTCCAGAAATCTATAGAATGTCATTAGGACTTCCAAATTTTTCTTCTGATACCAATTCTAACTTACCGCTTTGAAATTACAATATATTGGTATGTAATTGTGACCTTCGACGTTGTTTGTTAGTTGCTCCAAAATGTGAGCAGACGTCAATGAATATCGAATGTCTGAGAGGTGAAAATGTCCAAGTTTCTCGCTTTTTCACAACCAAAGGAACTACGTAAACTCTTTTACGCTTGTTCTGCTAAGAAATCACCATTTTCGGTACCTTTTAACGCTCAAGTTGTAAATGAATGAGTTCAGAACGTTTAAATCCGATTTTCTGACCCCCTTGTGGCAAATTTACGAGTTTTACAACCCCCATGCTGACCGTGACATGCCTCGCAGACGACACGCACTTGTTACCCAAATTTCCCTCTAATTCATGGCGCAAAGGGAAGAAAATAGCTCTCTACTGGTTGCCTAGAGGTGTATACTCACCATTCTGAACGAAATGTTGAAGAATTTCTTACAGGAAAACCGAGTAAAAACAGACGAAGACGGCACAGAACAGGACACTACTTTGTACAACAAAACGGTCGTCTGAAACGGTTGTCCTTAGATACATTATGACTGACATCTAAAAGAGCGGGAAAATATGGGCGACACCATATTAGAATAGGTAATATCAATTTTATACTTATACCTCACCCTGTTCTACATAGTGATATCCTGATAAAAGTAGCATACTCTTATATAGTCATTTATGTTTCTAATAAGATAAAACTCTAATGATATCATATAGATACATTTTTGACGGATCACCAAGTTTCCTTAAGTAACATTGACCCCCATGCGCAAATGGTACGGCCTAGATGTTACAGTCATCAAAATGTCTGGAATGACGACAGCTATGACACTGTCTTGAACTAATAACGTCTATTTCGTCAGAAAATATTAAATTTTCCATCCTACTTCTCCACAAATGTTTTGAAGAAACTTCAGTGTATTCAATACTTTGCAACTTGCAGGCTGTATACACTGTCAATGGAGCTCTTTTCTCAAATTTATTTTCGAAAGGAGACACCTCACATGACCTCAGTCATACACTTGTGCCGGGCGTTACCATGGCAACAGCTTAATGCACTTGTGGAGTGTAATTCTTCGCTATGTGCTTGAGGATTACTAGTCTCCACCAGACTTCTTTCGTAGGCTGAAGGTGGGCTACCTTCTCTCGCCAATTAATACCTTTTTAGGCCGATTTCTACGATTTATTCAGCCTTCAAATGAAGTCTGGTGGAGACTAACGCCCCTTGTAAGCTTGATCATTTCCCACGGCACAAAGGGGGAGGGACAGTGATGCTGCGACTTGTACGATAATCCTTTTTCGACAATATGCTAATTACTAAACTATACTCGAGACAAAAAGCGACAAATTCGAGTTACACCTTTCTATTTTCTTCGGAGGCGCCGCCCTGCAAGCTAAACCGACCACACAACGACAAATTATAATCAGTACTTCTTAGAAGTGACTTTCGTTATGCTTATATCTGTCTGGCGGAGTCTTTTTTTCAGTTCATAACTACTAGTAGTTGTCCTTGATTCTTGATTTTAGAACCACATCTGCGGTGTTGTGACTGAATCCCTAAACACTAGATTTAATATTTGATAGAATAAACAGGAAGAAATCTATGATTTGATACCTCCGGGTTAGTTTATTTCTCACATTTGTTACAAGCCTCTCGGATAAGGACTGACTGGAAGTGAGGGAAGCCAAGCGTGTTGGCGCGGTAGCCGCCTCCAGGATCACAGAAGGGTCAAATCGAGTCCCTTCATCTGACAGCTTACACGTTTCAAGAAATGATAAGATTTGCATGACTCGACAGTTCCGGCCTCTGATTATTATATCATCAAGTGCTTTGCTGTGACACCTAACATGATGCAATGAGGCTCAACACAGGGTATCGATGGTTCATCAGAAGCTAGTGAGCAGGCCGTCTTTTTTCCGCTTCCTTCAATGAGCATAGCTTGGATAGGTGGAGGATTGTATTCTTGGTTGCTTGTTCTTCTTTGTTCATACAATACTTGTTGAATGTAAATTTTGTAAACGACATTAAAATATTGCCAATCTCCCCTCACTCACTCACTCACTCACTCACTCTCACTCACTCACTCACTCACTCACTCACTCACTCACTCACTCACTCACTCACTCACTCACTCACTCACTCACTCACTCACTCACTCACTCACTCACTCACTCACTCTCACAACATTTCAGTTCAAAAGCGCCCCATACGGATATGTTTAGTAATCCACTCCTCGCTCGTACATAGCCAGTGGCTTCCATGCGGTCTCATGGAGTATTGCACAGACACTGATCTAGAATGACATAGCATCAAAGCACGTGATCAAAGTAGGTAGGTAGGCTTTAAGTACATGGCATATACATCAGTGATGTGCGTTCATTATTCCATTGTTATTCCACCAACTATCCTGATTTCTCGTTTAGCTTGTACTTTCTTCGAAAAATAACTTTTCAGAGTAGTAAAATGTACATCTCAAATTTAGAACAAAGTAAATCAACATATACAGCTTTTGATTGCATAAACCGGTTTTGCATAAATGCTACTCTTGAGCTCATATTATTACAGATTAATAATAGATTAAAAATAATTAGCTGCCCAGAATATTTTAGTTCGATCCCAGTAGAACGATTCCATGGCCGGCCTCCAGGACACTGTACACCGAGTTACTTCAATGAACAGCCAGAATCGGTCTATACCGACTCAAAATCATCATCTGAAGTTTCTGATAAACCTGAAATAAAAACAAAACACTTATGTTCAAACCAATCTAATATGTAGATGATAAATAATGTAAGTCTTCAACCAGCGTCCATCAAATCATAGAAGACTTGAAGTTCGTAGTTTTTTCTTACGCCCCAAAATTTGAGTTATGCCCGTTTATTCCGGATAAAGAGCAGTTCTGTATACAGATATTGAGTCAAAGTCAGCTAACACATAAGCAACGTGTTAACATACACGTGATGTATTTACTTTAAAAGGCTAGCGGGCGGCTTATCAATATGTGCTGTTTAGACATTTTCAATAAGCAGATAAAAAAAAAGACAGACTACTTCAGATGTCAATCTACTTTATATGTCATAGAAGCTGTAGGCATCTAGAGCAATGTTCTTCCTTTCATACTTTGCATTTGCGGCTATTAAGCATTATTGTATTGTAACTAACTTATTTCTGATGGGCCGTTATATTGACCTCGAGGCTGCCATGGCAATGGTGAGTCGTCTGCTGGCCGGAGTTGGGGTTGTACCATTGCGATTGGTCTCGACTTCGCAGGCGTAGCTGCAGAAAGCAGGAAGTTACAGAAAATGAGAATGTACTATACTAAGTCTTTTTCATGGAAAGAAAAGGACAAAGAATTAGTGCCGTGTCACTATGCGTACAGAGCTCGAAACGTACATGTCATGCGATGTTTGCTTGCCATTGTGTAGGCAATATTAATGTAAACATTGGAGTGCCATACTGCATTATCTATGATATCAAAGAAAGATTTAGAAAAAAACGTATAGATTGAATATATCGATATATTTCATTCTCTATAGGTCACATTTTAGTTTATTTTTTGGGGTGTTCCCTCACTTCCCTCTTACCAAGCAGTTGGTAGCGACGTGTTTAATAGTACTGATAAATTAACTAACTAGGGGGCAACCAGGCTGGCAGGTAGGCTACATGTTGGACATGAATGAATTTGATCTCACCGTTTGCCCGTCCTGCTCCTTTGCCTTGCTTTGCCGACCTAGGCGGTTGTTTTCGTCGCGTTGCTGGTTCTTCTTGGTCGGATGAACTGACGCTGGCAGCCGACCTTTTCCTTTTTCTGCGCCCTGGTATTTGATACAGTGATAACGTTAGCATTTGATCATATTTCATGAAAGTTTGTTTCTCGATATCGTATGTATTCAGTTGTTTTTGATCCTGATCGGTATATATACAACAATGTATATACATTGTACATTGTTTTACATTGTTTCACAGAATTGTACCTCAATTCCCAGTGAACACTAATGAGTGTTCTACCTAATAAATGCCTTAAATAAATATCGAGACGAATCTGTATTCACGTAAGTATGCTGAACCTGTTTGTTAAATATATCACTTCTGGTGTTTGCTCACGCTCAGGCACATAGGTTACTATCTAACGTACTATCAAGACTTGCATAGTGGTTCTCTGCATAATGCCCCAGCAGAAGTGGAGGTTCCTTCCTAGCGGCAGTCCCGGGACTTGGCGTCAGGATGGTGACGTAGTTCTCCGCCTCTACACTCGACACGATGCTGACGTCATGACCAAACATGTCCGCCATGGCCTGTAGGACGATGTGGTCTCCCCACGTCCCGTCACGTGACATGGTGTCCAGGTATAGGTCCCAGTTCTGATCTGAGACGAAGGCCCTGAGATGATCCCCACGGCTCTGCAAAATGTCAATCAAGTTGAAAGTCAACGGTGAAAATCCATTTTGATGATAACATTTTTGAGGGTGGTGGCGTGGTGGACGACTTATCATATGTTCAATTGTTTCCAATCGGCATTTTTTTTTACATTTGACTTAAGTGTTTTTCATCACAAATAATCTAATGCGACCACCATAGTCACATGTCCTTAAGCATACATAACTTACATTGTATGGGTTCTTCCTCAGGTAGTTAACTGCCCGTCTGCGTAGATCCACGTGGCTAGTTCGTCTCCCTTCTGTACGGAAGAGTTGATCGGCCACGGCGTGAAACAGACAGTTTCCATCCTTCGGTACCTCAGCACGGAAGGTCAGACCTGACTCAGCCACGTGCATGGACAGTCTGTAGTAGGTGTCAGTACGGAAGTCGTCTGCTATTTTCACCTCTGTCAACAGGTGCTTTAGTGTCTTAAAGGCATCTGCAGAAAAAAGATTCATAGACGATATTCAGCATATAAAGGAAATACATTATAATAATTTACTTATTGTTTTTCACTATTAACCAAAAATGTACATTTTTGGCTCCTGTGCACTAATACAAAAACCAAATAATCTGAAATTCAGCATAAGGGTAGCTTGGCACCAAATGCCTGGACTATAGTGTTCTATATTCTTTTATTTACCTTTTATACTTTAACTTAATACTTTCATTTACCTTACTTTCAGTAAAAACAGCGATTGTAGCTTGAGAACCCAAACATGACAGTAAGTGAGTTGGTTCTAGAACACTGTTTCACATGTTCCAACAGAAGGCATTGGAAGATTCCATTGCTGCATGGGGGCTATAGACTTTTATTGGCAGCCATCGTGGGATAGATCCATTTTTGGTATGGGGGATGTGGTGAAGCCATCTGCTGCATTTGCTCCCAAGCAAATATCGGCCTTTCTAGGTTAATAGTATGACCTTGATATGAGAGGCCAATGAAAGAAATTCCGGCTACTACTTACGCGAAACCTTTGCTTGGAGAGCACCATTTTTCCTGAGGCGCTTCATCAGGTGTTCGATGGCGTGCTCTGCTGCCCCCTGGCGGCTCTCGCGTTTACCGGAGTTGTCAGATTGGCCGCTCCCGATGTCCCACGCTTCGCAGTAATAGATCAGCTGCATCGTGTTGAATTCAAACCGCATGCTGGTGTTATATTTGATCTGTCGGCCCATTACGGTAACCTGTGGAACAATTCATCGGAAATGTTAGAGATAGCATACTAGTACTTCACCCCCTTCTTATAGTAAAGAAACACACAGAGGCACACACGCGATTATACTCGTTGTACCGACTATACATTTGTACAGGCACAGATACAGACTCATACTATATAGCATTTTCTTCTATTTAATACTAACCTCCCCAGTATCGCTGTAGTTGATGGACCGGACTTTCTCTCTTATTTCGGCATCAGTCGGACTGGTAGGGGCTGCTGGTGCCTCCATGCCAGTCTGGTTACTGTCAGGGAAATCTGCATAGACCTTCAATCGTTAATCAGTGAATGTTTGCATGTGTACCACATCGCTACATCACACAGTGCGGCCGTTGTAGAACTCATATGTAAGGATCACTCGTCAACCTGCACGAATTATAAAATAGAGACTGCAAATCCTTTTCCGTATAACGTAATCGGCCGTTTTAATTCTACGTAGAGCGTAGACGGGCCGCTAATTCAACGTAGAGCGTATTTGGCGCATTTTGCGTAGAGCGTATTCGCCATTTTAATTCTACGTAATGCGTTGTAGCCACTTGGAATTTATCGTAAAGCGTAATCGAGAAGTTTCCGAATTCAGCGTAGAGCGTTGTCGGGACCCCCACTTGCAGGCCCCCATCAAAACAAATCTGCTTTGACTTGCGCTGACTGACAACGAATGATCAATATCTAAAGAACTATTTTATTCTGTGATTTGTGTATGAAATAGAAACATCAAAACATATCTGTATTTTGCTTTAACTTACACTGAGAGATAATGGTCAATATCTAAAGATAACTCTTTCATTCTTGGGTTTGTGTATGCAATCGCAATTATTAAGCGTGTTTCTGGAACATTGTTTAATACCTGCACCTTGCCGCTCACTTGCCGCAATTCTCTCCGCGTCCTCTGCGCACTCTGCCCGTCCAATCTTTCTCATTAGCTCCGCTAGAGATAAATGAAGACTGTCAAAACTGATAATTTATTAATAAATTCTCCTATCCCAGAGCACAGGGCTGTTACATTAACCCTTATTTCTACCTGTTATAAACCTAGAGGTCCTGGTTTCTGGAAGTTTTATAATTCATTATTGTCTGACGAAACATTCACAAAGCAGTTGAAAAACAAAATTTGTTGAATCTAGCCGCTATGATTCATATGCACTAAGAATGTTAAACTACAGTATTTTCAGTATAAGATAATACATAGATTTTTGCTGACAAATTGCTATCTAAAAAAATTAAAGTTACAGACTCAGACAAATGTCCATTTTGTAACAACAAACAAAACCTAAGCCACTTGTTTGTAGATTGTTGTTACGTTACTAGTTGGAACGACGTTTGCTGCTGGTGGCTCGACACCTTTTCTGAACATATTGTGCTAACGAAAACGGATATACTGTATGGTAAAATTGAAAAGCAGGAAAAGAATAGACACTTGAATCAATGTTTATTATATGCAAAATACGTCATCTTTAAGAGTGCATCATCGAATAACAAGCTTTATTTCTATAATGCATTATTTTCATATTAGCTATATTGATAATATTCTCGAGACGAACATTCTTTGTAACATGTCACACCTCAAATATGTATTATTATATTCGTATTAAGGGGGGCTTGCCACAAGGTTTTCGTTGTATGTACATGTATTTATATGTAATATTTCTTTAGTAAACTAACAAAAATTCTATTCATTTACCTTTTATACTTTAACTTAATACTTTCATTTACCTTACTTTCAGTAAAAACAGCGATTGTAGCTTGAAAACCCAAGTCTCCAGATGACAGTTGGTTCTAGAACACTGTTTCACATGTTCTAACAGAAGGCATTGGAAGATCCCATTGCTGCATGGGGGCTATAGACTTAGTTTTATTGGCAGCCATCGTGGGATAGATCCATTTTTGGTATGGGGGATGTGGTGAAGCCATCTGCTGCATTTGCTCCCAAGCGAATGTTGGCCTTTCTAGGTTAATAGTATGACCTTGATATGAGAGGCCAATGAAAGAAATTCCGGCTACTACTTACGCGAAACCTTCGCTTGGAGAGTACCATTTTTCCTGAGGCGCTTGAACAGGTGTTCGATGGCGTGCTCTGCTGCCCCCTGGCGGCTCTCGCGTTTACCGGAGTTGTCAGATTGGCCGCTCCCGATGTCCCACGCTTCGCAGTAATAGATCAGCTGCATCGTGTTGAATTCAAACCGCATGCTGGTGTTGTATTTGATCTGTCGGCCCATTACGGTAACCTGTGGAAACAATTCATCGAACTTGTTAGGGATAGCATACTAGTACTTCACCCCCTTCTTATAGTAAAGAAACACACAGAGGCGAACACGCGATTATACTCGTTGTACCGACTATTCAGACACAGATACAGACTTATACTATATAGCATTTCTTCTATTTAATACCAACCTCCCCAGTATCGCTGTAGTTGATGGAGCGGACTTTCTCTCTTATTTCTGCATCAGTAGGACTGGTAGGTGCTGCTGATGCCTCCATGTCAGTCTGGTTACTGTCGAGAAAAAACAAGGGGCCAGGTGAAATTTCCCGTGACCTCATTCGGGATTTTCCCAGAGCATTCTACCTGCTATGTAGGGGTGTTTTTGTGCATTACCTGCCAATGTTAGACTCTTTTCGTCACAAAATGGACTTTTTAGGCCCGCATAGATGGCGTCTTTCACCTGTCAGAGTACTGAAGCCAGGCTATGTCTCTTTAGCCTCTCTTTAAGCACGTAAATGGGTGTATTTTCTTCTCAAGACCTTTCACTTTCAATCGACCCAGGCCTGTTTTCATGCACACCTGTCGTTCTCCCGGCATGCCTTGCCACGACGTAATCCAAGATGGCGGCGCCCATGCGGATTGGCGCCCTTCTAACTTCTGCGGGAAAGGTGCTTAGATTTTCTGCCGTTTACACAGAAAAAAGCAACATTTAGACAGATTTATAAACTTTTATGTAAGAGTGAAAGGGTTAAGAACATATTTGGGAGGTTTCTTGTGCTTGTTAAGTGGATATTTTGGATAAAACTTTGCGGGTTTTTTTCGTAGGGGGGAGGGGTAGTAACCCTGACCTAGATATCATCTCGATCAGAAAGTGACAACAAACTTAAAACGTTTGAGTACGTCAGAACGATATAAGATAAACATGTTTGTATTTTTCTCTGTATATAGTATGTTCTGAGACCTGAGGTGACCAGACCATGTGCAGCCCTCCTCCAACATGCACCACTCACTACTGACGCAGGGGGGAGTACCACCCCACCCCAGGGGGCCAAGGCACCACCACCTCCTCCCCCCAAGGCCGCAGGTAACCTTTCCATGAAGCTAGACAACTGTGACCATGTTATTCCTTAATTATTGGATGTACATGTAGCATGTTTTTGGATATTGTTGCAAAGAACCAGACATTTCGTATTAGCCTGAGTGTCAGCCTCTTTTAGTCTTTAGCTTTTGTCTGCTCCCCACGATTTAAGGGCCAAAAAGACTGAACCCGCATGCATTTTTGGCCTGGTAGCTGATCGTGGGGAGTGGACAAAAGCTATTAAGGCTGACACTCAGGCTAATTCAGTATAGCTGCATGTATATCTGGTGACAGCTTGTAATATTCTTGGTGTTATCAGTATAGTTAGTTGATTTTACTCATGGTTCTGATTGCTGATCTACATATGTGTAGTTTTTTTTTTTTTTTAGTTGACCACCCATCATTTGGTAGAACAATAACTCTGCTGAATAACTCTCATACTTTTTCTGAGTATAATCTCATCATGGCACATGACACCAACGTGCCACTCACTCCACTTAACACTTTCCTTTTCCAATATCCCCTCTACCCCAATCATAGGGCCAATCATCTCCATGGTAAGGGTGTTTTACATAGCGCCATGCCATGGCCATACATTGTCATTTTCATCAGTTTAAATCATGTGCTAATTTTTCACAATTTTGTTGCCTCAAGGAACACTTCAGTCTTCTTAAGAATTTTCTATGGTCCCTTGGGTCTTTCCTCTTCAGTTTAGATCTTGAACAATGGAAAAATTGACCCCAAAAATTGATGAACCAAACGTTTTTGTGATTTTTGCCCTTGTCTTTTATTTTTTTTAGATCCGGTGTCAAATACTCCCAATGATGACAGGAGTGCAAGAAGACTGAAGTCTAAAAGTGAGGCAACAACAACAGGAACACCTAATCATGTAGCCAGCCAGTGGACGGTTTCAGTCCTTAAACAACTTCTCAGACAAAAAGGCATTAAGTTTAAAGCATCAACAAGGAAAGCAGACCTTCTAACACTTCTCAGGGAGTCAGAAGCCAAGGATGGGAACATATCATCAGGGATAGATACAGCAAGTAACACTAACAGGGACATGTCTTCTCAATTGTCGTCACCTCATCAGTCATTATATTCAGAGCTCAGTGAAAGTACTCCTGGTAATCACAGAACAGTCTCAGAGCTAAGACAACTTCTCAAAGAAAGGGGAATCAAATTCAAGATGTCCGATAGGAAAGGAAAGCTGGTAGAACTGTTAGTGAAGGCACAGAGTGTAGACACACAGACCCAAGACACTGTAGTTCAGGCAGAGAAAGAGGAAGGGGAGCCAAGACATTCCACACTGCAAGGTGAAGCTGGGGAAGATGCTAAAGGTGATTGTCTTAAACCATTGTTTGTTCCACATCTGCAATAGAATTTAACTTTTTTCACCATTCTTTTTCTTCCAGGATTCTGATTTTGGCTTGGCAAAACATTTCAAGTCTTCAGCAGCTCAAGATGTACCAAATACAGTAAAAGATAGAAAGAAATTCTTTAACAGTATATGAATTGTTTTAAGAAGGGATAGATTAAGATATGTATTGTCTTGCCGGTGCAATAGAAGCAGAGGGAGGGAGTGTTCCTGAAGTTGGGGAATCACTGGCAGCCAAGGCACACCAGGATCTAGCAGGTCAGCCCACAACCATCTCAGCAGCTGTAGCAGAGATGGCAGCAGCAGCAGAGGAAGCCAAGTCTCAGTCTACCACTGGGGAAGGGCTGGCGTCTGAAGGGACAACATCCTCAAGCTCAAGCTCTGGGTCGAGTTCAAGCTCTGGGACAAGTTCAAGCTCTAGTTCAGATTCTGAAGGGGAGACAGTCGGTGGACAAGCAGACATTATAACTAAAGAACCAGAGGCTGCAGAGGTGATAACTAAAGAACCGGAGGCTGCAGAGGTGATAACTAAAGAACCAGAGGCTGCAGAGGTGATAACTAAAGAACCAGAGGCTGCAGAGGTGATAACTAAAGACCCAGAGGCTGCAGAAGTGATAACTAAAGAACCAGAGGCTTCAGAGGTGATAACTAAAGCTGCAGAGGCTGCAGGGGTGATAACTAAAGCTGCAGAGGCTGCAGGGGTGATGACTAAAGAACCAGAGGCTGCAGGGGTGATAACTAAAAAACCAGAGGCTGCAGAAGTGATAACTAAAGAACCAGAGGCTGCAGGGGTGATAACTAAAAAACCAGAGGCTGCAGAAGTGATAACTAAAGAACCAGAGGCTGCAGAAGTTAAAGAAGAAGATGCCAAAGCTACACCACAACCATCAGCTTTTCCAGAAGAGCAGGGTGAAGTTGACATAAACAAATCACCGGAGCTGGAACAAGCGGCAACTGCCCAGGCAAATGAAGCAAGTGAAGCGCAGGTGGCATCTGATGAACACCTGTCAGCAGGTGGAGACGGCACACCTGGTCTGGATGGGGAGGCAGCAGAGACAGGTGAGGGAGGCAGGTTGTTGTAGGACAGATGAACCCTGTTGGCCTCCCTGTCTCGCCTCCCCCACCCACCTCTCATGTACAACACATGTACCACACTGACTCTTCTCTCTCTCTCTGTGACTAATCTTTCAGTACACATATTTCCTATTACATAAGATGTCTGGTAGACAGATGAGGTACATATAACATAGAGCCTTGGATATTAACAATTGCAAAATGTACTTGCCAACTGTTTTCTATAGTCCCACTGCCACTTCCCTCAGGGCAATATGGACTACATGTAGTTCATTCTACTTCCCACTGCAGATAACTGTCACTGGAAAGGATGCAGTCCCATACGTGACTAACCTTGTTTCCCCCTTACCATGGTTCTAGTGTAGATTTTTTTTTAGGACTGTACAATTTGTAAGACTCAGTGTGTGCTAGACTGAATGTGATTCTGTCTTTGCTGCTGGACAACTAAGTGTATGCATTTAAACATGTTGTGAAGTCAGAGATTATGGGTGCCTAAGTTGGAGTTACTGTAGACAATTTTTCAGTCACGTGTTGCCTGACTATTTTCCTTCTACATGTATTTTGCAGAGAAGCCAGCAGCAGCTGGACCTGTGTACAAAGTACCAGAGTACTACTCCTACAACCCTCTGTCTTTCTACGACATCGACGCGTCCTGTGACCAGCACCGTCTGCCTCAGCCGTCCAACAAGAAGTAGAGAGACAACAGTACTGCTTAAAGACACTGTCTGCAACTTTCTTGACTTGTTCCTTCTTTATGTAGTCAGGACTACTGAAGACTATAAAATGCTAATCTAATGTGTGAAGTCTAAGATTACAACAAAGTTTAAGACTGTATGTATAGAGGATTTCTACTGGCACTGTTTGCTTGAAATAAAATAGATAATAAGTTCTGTCCAGTCAAAACCAATTGGATGTGTGCTTAATACTTCTATGTATAATGTGTGCATGAAGTTTCAAAATTTATGTCAGAGGTTTCCATAGCTGTGTGTAAGAACAACATGTTTTGACTAATGATAAATACTGAAAGTACTTCATTGACAATGAGAACACATCTTTTTGAATCTGACAAAACAGAGCATCCTGGTATTACAAGTACCCTATGTATTGTTCTAGTTATATATACAAAACAAAACAATTCTTCATCTTAAAGTGTCTACGAATACAATGTACACACAGACCTACTAGTAACAAATGTTGAAGTATGTATGTCAGTGAAACAATGCTAAAATCTTTCACCATACTTGTTGATATACTAATACTGAATGTTACACATAGGTAACATAGTCAGATACATGTATCTGCAGCTACTATATGTTCTTCAAACCTAATGTCATAGTAAGGGACAAACTTTCAACTGCAAGAAAATTATTTCAACTCTCTTAAAAGCACACAACTTGAAGTTGTCACATGTATATGAAACCATGTAAATAAATGGTTACAACAGATTCCAACAGGTCTGATGTGTGGACTTCATAGTAATAGAATTCTCAGCAATACAACCGATTATCCTTAGAATAAGTTCCCAAGTAAATAACCCATTTGCGCAAAATATACATGCTCCAATGCTGAAAACTAGCTTCTCGAGCAATATAAAGATGCCTGCCAGCATTGTATCTCTGATGTGATCTGTTTTAAACTACTTAACACAAGTTCAAGGTACAGTTTTTGTCCAAAACCCTTCTAGTATCAAGTATGCTGTGGTCGCTACCCCTCTATCATCCAGTTAGTCAGCAGTATGATGTTCAGCAGACTGAAGACTCCAAACTGGAGGATGACTCGGTTTCCTGAAAGGACAAGATAACACTTGTAAGAACGTTGTATAAAAACCTAAAGATTAGTCTATCGTTACACTTGTCATTTGGGGTCTGGTTACGCACTTCGTGCGATCGTAGCACGATGGCGAAATGAGAACATCTTGGGATAGCCTGGCATATGTCCTGCAAAATTCTGCTGGCTTGTTATGGAAGGGTTTGCCTTAGATCCTTGTCCGCGATTGGTTGTGTCACAGCCTGCTAATTAATGGTTCTACAGCATCAAAATCGTACGACGATGTAATATGTTATAAGTCTTACCTCCAGAGACCGTGTCTGAGGTGATGTTGGCCCAGTACTGCTCCCGGGACTGGGCGATTGTTGCCCTGAATAGAGAAAGAGACAAACTTTTATAATACTAGTAACACTTAGGTGCAACTGTTCCACCATGCCCTCCATGTATATTATGTATGTGGTCAATCGTAATAAATGAATAAATAGATAAGTTATTGATAGCCAGTTTCTTGGAAATTTGGACGAAATGGTTTAACTATTATCAATTTCCCTAAAGAACAGGAATCGCGTTTTACCTTAATGTTTTAATTGATCGTGGTAGTGGAATGTGTTGGTAAGACCAAAACATTTTTGTATTTAAAAATATCGATGTTTTCGATGGATCAGGAAAAAAAATTGTACTTGTTTGGGGAAATAGTGACGAAAATGCTAGAGATATAAGAGAAAAACGATCGTCTGTTTTTTCTAATACATGCAATACACTTACTGCTTGTTGCAGTATGTTCTGTGGACGTACTGGTTTACAATACCTACGTCATAATCACGTGAGTGCAAATACCATATATGGTCATCTACGATAAAGATAAAAACGGACGTACCAGAAAACGACATCCCCCGGGGACTCCCTCGGCGCGTTCCAGGTGAAGTTGGTTCCGGCGACTTTTACCGAAGTGTTCTGGTGAGTGACGGAGTCTGCCGAGTTGTTGCACGTCAGAGATCGGGTGAAGTCGGGAAAGTCCGACCAGAAGCCGACTGCCTCGTTCGTGCTGTTTCGGGCCTGCAGAAGGATGCCTCGGAAGTCCGCACCCATCACTCTAACTGGTGGAAAGTAATGGAAAACGCCATATACATAAATGCGTATATCTATATCTATCTATGTGTCTATTACGTATCTATCCATGCCTCTCTCTCAGACTACCCCTATGGTAGACGAGCTACGTACGGGACTATTACTGTGAGTGAGTGAGTGAGTGAGTGAGTGAGTGAGTGAGTGAGTGAGTGAGTGAGTGAGTGAGTGAGTGAGTGAGTGAGTGGAATGAGTGAGTGAGTGAGAGGGTAAGGAGCGACTGCGGCAAGAGTGAGTGAGTGAGCGAGCGAGTGGGTGAGTGAGTAAGCGAGTGAGTGAGTGAGTGAGTGACATTTAGAGGACATTCAAACTAGATTTTGCATGCAAAGACATTTTCTTTCTTTACTTCATGTTGGTTTTGACATGCTTTTAAGGCACTTGACATACCGTTTTCACGAACACATTATCGGATGTTTGGATTTCACAATGAAATGGACCCTTAGGACAAAAAAGTCAGCGTCTTAAAGAAATATTTTCTTATTCTCTTCTCTAACTCATATGCTACATGCTAAAGGACGATACCTTATACCTATTGCGTCGATATCAATAATATATTATATATGCAGTGATTGCAACCTTTATCTATAATTTAGAGCTAACAAAAGAAGTCGAGGTCTGAACCGTACTTATTTTAGTACATAAACCTACTTCTCGCGCAGTTCCTATTGAAACACGGCACAGTTCTATCGTCTCACCACACTTGCTGCAAAAGGCTTTATATTTCTGTCAAGTGTTCTGGAGTGTGAGCGTTTGACATACGTCTGTACTTCCCGCGGAGCCAGCCCCGCCTTAATTGACGAGAAAGCTTTCTTGGTTAAAATGTTACCACTTGAGCGTGCAGTGTCAAGTGCCTCTTCGGTCTTTGTTGACAGAGTCTTGTGGACTCCGCACTCTAATAGAATTTCTCAACTGAATCAATGTAAGAAAAGATGTAAGCTGCGTACGTTACATTAATAGTGTTGGAAAACCTGCAATGGCCTACTGTCATCCAGTCTACGTATTACCCGAAGGAAACTGGAGGAAATCTAAGAATATCTACATGTATCTAGTGCGGCTAGGGAGAGGGTGTAGGGGAGTTGTTCTATACAGAACCGTGCTTTGACCAGAACCACGCTCAGGCACGGTCCTGGATAGTCCATGCATATCCAGAACCATGCCTAGAGTAAATCTACGTTCTTGGATGCACGGAGACTATCCAGAACCGTGCCTGATCCTAACCCTTACCCACTGGTCTGGTATGGAACTAGATAGGCACGGTTCTGGGTACAATAGAGGTTGAGCATCCGAGTTAGCTTTTGGCGGGCCTCCTATATATACTCTTTACTCGTTTTATAACTGGAAAAGCATAGGAAGCTATGTTCGTTTTTTACGGCGTCACATATACAGAATGTTTTTGTGACAGTCGAAGTAAAGATGTGGGGTACAAAATTCACTTGTGATGTGGCGGAAACTTGGTCATCTGAAAATCCTACAACGAATTGGACTAGCTAGGCAGTATAGATTTACTGTGGAAAACGTGTGTATGTAGTACTAGTGTACTATGTATATAAAACGTCCAAAGTAATTTTATTCCGTTTCCATCATGTCTTTAACAGCCCAGTCATCCAAGACGTGTTGGCAAGAAACAAAAACCCTGTCTCCACAACACTCGCCTTTCCCTTCTCACTTCACGACAGATGAAGTGGATTTTTAAGACCTCTCAAGTAAAAGAGACTGTCGGAGCATAATATCCATTTGTGTAACGGTCGCTTCCAGTCGATTCTAATAGTCAACAGAAAGCCATAATGGATTTCCATCTCTTTCAAAGTTTAAGTCAACTCCAGTTTTGCAAAGACAAAGGCTTTCGTGTCTTCATCTTTCCAGTTAGAGAAAGCATCCCTTTGCGGTCATTTTTTGCTTGTAGGCAAGTCTGTTTCTGGTAGAATTTTCACAATCAGTTGAAGTAAAATTTGCGTATTTTTTGTAACGGTCGGCTCGAAACGATTGCAAGTAATTGCCGGCCACCGAAACTCAGAGGGGTTAAACTGTCAAATTCATAATTTTTCAAAAGTTTAATTCAACTTTGATGTTAAAACATTTTGCTCTTCAGTTATTCCTTTAGAACAAAAGTGACCTTTTGAACGACAATTTCTACATGAATGATCGAATACGAGAGACAAACAGGTTGTGATGCTGACAAGTAAAATATCAGTTGGTACAGTTTACTGCTACTCACCGAAAGGCAAAGGCTTTCGTATCTTATTTTTTTCAATTAGAGAAAGCATCCATTTGTGGTCAGTTCTGGTAGCGGCTATCAAAAATGCATACCCATACCATTGTTTACATCACGCTGGTCTCCGAAAAAAAAAATCGAAATTTTATACAAGAATTTGTGCATCGAGTCCGGAACAAACAGTGATCGTGATGCTGACATGTACAAGGTTAGTTGCTACTCACCGACCAGTGTGCCTCCGGGTTGGTAGGTGGTGCTGACCGGCATGAGAGTGAAGGGTGTTGCGGAGGAGTTGGCGGTGATGTTGACGTGCCCGGGCGTCAGGTTCTGGCAGGCGTCCGTCGGGGCCCCGCCCGGGAAACACGCGCCAAGCTGCAGGGAACACGCCGTGAAGTACACCAGAAAAACGGACAACCAAACACGACACATTTTTATCTTAAGTTCTGGAGGTAACTTTGAGAGCTGAACGCAGATGTGTTCACTGCAACTTTGAAGCTAAGATTGAGACGGCCGTTACCTATGGAAAGGAGCGAACCATTCCAACAACACCTGAGGGGTGTGTGTGCTTAGGTGCTAGTTATTTGTAAGGAAGAACAAGGGTTTTGACAGCTCACAAGTATAGATTAGAGCATAAGTTTACTCTCTGAGATCGCTAGATTTTTGCAACGAAAAATGTTGGAATTATGAGGCTCGTCTTTAGTCGGTTTTCCCTAGGATTGCTTCAACTCAACTCACAGGCACAAAATGGTACTGTCCACTTAGTTACGGTTGGTTACGACTGAGAACACGCCCTTGCGCCAACTTCTTGCGCCTTTTCCCTACTTGAACGCCCCAAGAAGACGTTCATACCTACACATGAATAATACTAAACATTTCTGTCGGGTCTCTCTCGTGCTCTCCGCAAATACCGAAAGACTCGCTAAAATACGTTTGCTAGCTATACAGTTTTGTACCAACACTTGTATTTGGTGTAGCTCAGTAAATTGTAGCAAAATGTTGATTCTCCGTCATCATACCATAAAGCATATTTTCTTACTTTCTTACAAAGCTCATATTTGTGTGTGTGTGTGTGTGTGTTTGTTTGTTTGTTTGAAAGTCTCGGAATATTCCTTTTCCGATTGTTTCCTTTTACTGTATCGTTTTTGCACCAGTTTTCTACAACGTTTTCGCTGTTGTGTTGTACAGGTTATTTTGACTCCGTCCACACCTTTGTTGCTGACGGACATGTGAAACAAATGGCTTGTTTACAATTGAAGCAGTGATGCGTTAAGACAAAGACTTGATCGCCACCTCCTGTCCTAACACTGTACCTTACAAATTCCACCTTCTGTGCCTTCACACAGGCGGGCTCAGGTACACTGAGACCAGATCAGCCAGGGACCTATCACCTTCTACCTTTGATCTCTCTTTGTTTACCTGTCTGGCATGACCTTGAGTAACAATGTAGGACCGCACCAAGACATTCTGGGGGGTGGGCCGTCCTATTTCACACTTACATTTCTATAAAAGTGAAGTTAGGTACAATACAACACGACGTGTCTGTTCATAACGTTCATATCAAAGAGGGTACGTGGCTCCTAAGTGGAAAATGTAGGCTACAAAGACCACAAGAAGATGGTTGTGGGTTGGTGATGAAAACACCCCCCTCCCAACCGACGCCAGTTGGACCGGCGCTCCTTACAGGTCTGACTGGGGATTTCCGTTAGTTTCGGCAGGTGTAACGCCAGAAAGTTCTCGAGCTCCAAAATGTCGGACAATCCTCGTCAAGATCTGTTCCTGAAGATTTCTAAAAACTTAGTAGACGAAGAACTTCGAGATCTTCGCAACTATGTCAGTGGTGCAGAAATACTGGCAGCGGGATTCGTCCAAAAAGCCAACGCTCACCAGATCTTCATACAAATGGAAAAAGAAGGGAAGTTGAAGACTGGGGATCTCTCGCTTCTTGCAGGCCTACTGACAAAAATCGGCAGACATGACTTCGCCGAGCAGGCAGAGAAAGTTGCTGAAGATGAAAGGAAAGGTACGTAAAACTTAATACCAGCAAATTAGGGTCCAACAACCGTTCCATTACAAGGAAAGAAGTTAAAATTATCAGTAAATAAGTGTAAAATCGTTTGTGCCAACGCCCCCCCCCTGTCTAGAAATTACTGGTCGTTACCCTTACATGAATGTGAAAGTGAAACGCCAACCACGGTGACATATACCAGTTGTTTTCTCAGGAGAAAAAGGTTGATTACACGCGATCCATATCGAGCAAACACTATGGAATATGTAATTAACTGATTTTATGAAATATGTACATTGACGATGACCCCATGCTGCGGGTTAAACATACAACAATCATTTCACGAAAGCCCGTTTCGGGGTATAATTAAATAAAAAGATAGGAAATCTAGACAGGAGAAACAAGAGTTTTAACTATTTTTATACCCATTTCATGAAAGCTTTGGATTAAGTTTCAGAGGTTAAAGTCTGCAGTTACATAACTACATATCATCAGGCTATATCACGTGCGTTCGAGTGTCTTTATGTTGTGGACGAGGATATTGATACAATATTTATTTGATAAGATTTCTATTGTGTTCAAATTGCCAGCTAGTACTGCTCGATATCACGTATTCATGTCAGACAAGGACACAATAGTGACGTCGTGAATAAACAACATGGCTGCCTGTCGCAAAGAATAGCGTTGTGGGTGTGGTTATCGCTCATGGTTAAACATTAACTTTAGATAACGCACGTTTTACGTCACCAATATATATGTCCAGTTGATCATTCTTTATAAATCAACAATTTGTGAATATAAATCTTTGCTGGTGAGTTTTGACACTTTTTTCTTTACTCCTTAATACTTTTTGTTTCAATTTTATCACTGCAGCACTTAAGAAACTTAACATCTCAGCAAAACGACCACGAAAGGAAGGTAGGATTTACTGCATGATATACTTGTTTTTATGCATCTAAAGATGTATAATTTACTAATGTTTTACTGTATACTTCGGTGACAATGACAACCATAGTATGATGATGAGAAACAATCTATTTTATTTTCAAGACGCTGACATAGCCGTAGCCAAATCACCAAGAACAGAACTGACAAGTCTTCAGTATGAGGATGGAGGGGACTACGGCAGAGCTAGGAGCTCTACACAGACGCACGGAACATCTGCCGAGAACGTAATTCACACATACGTACTGGGTAAGAAACACTGATAGCTTATACATTGTAACCTTACTGTGTAAAAATAGGTAAATATTGCTAAGAATGTTTAGACATGAGAACTAGTAGCATAAGTGATACGTCAAACTCAACATGACTCAATGCATTCAGGTACCTGTATGTAGGTTAATCAGTTTGTATCCATAGTAGTAGAAAACCTCAAGACAAGAAAGTCGCTGTAAATTTGATTTGTCAATAAAGATTGTCATTATATCGGTTCCCTGATCCTGTCAACAAGAAATTTGAATACAGAAACATTTATGAAACTATGATCCTTCGAACGGAATCTTTGTGACTCAAATTTAACTCAGCCTGTCCATCTATGAGATCATTCAGTATGACAATAAGAAACTGAGAAACTGAGATCATTTAGTATGACAATAAGAACCTTCTACAAAATTCTACAGAACATACATTTACTTCTAGTATACACGACGATATCTTACAAGTGATAAACTTTTTCTGCAGATGCCTTTGAGTCGTTGAAGCACCTCTTGACAGAGGTGAAAATAGCAGACGACTCCCGTACTGACACCTACAACAGACTGTCCAGGCACGTGGCTGAGTCAGGTCTGACCTTCCGTGCTGAGGTACCGAAGGATGGAAACTGTCTGTTTCACGCCGTGGCCGATCAACTCTTCCGTACAGAAGGGAGACGAACTAGCCACGTGGAGCTACGCAGACAGGCAGTTGACTACCTGAGGGAGAACCCGTACAATGTAAATACATTAAGCAAATATATTAATTTTGTACAAATTTGCATCATCTGAATGCTTAAGGACATGTGAACATTAGATTATGTGTGATAAATAATGTCAGCAATGCCATTGGAAACAATTGAACATATGATAAGTCGTCCACCATCCCACCACCCTCAAAAATGTTATCATCAAAATGTATTTTCACTGTTGACTTTCAACTTGATTTGCAGAGCCGGGGTGATCATCTCAGAGCCTTCGTCCCAGATCAGAACTGGGACCGATACCTGGACTCCATGTCACGTGACGGGACGTGGGGAGACCACATCGTCCTACAGGTCATGGCGGACATGTTTGGTCATGACGTCAGCATCGTGTCGAGTGTAGAGGCGGAGAACTACGTCACCATCCTGACGCCGAGTCCCGGGACTGCGGCTAGGAAGGAACCTCCACTTCTGCTGGGGCATTATGCCGAGAACCACTATGCAAGTCTTGATGGTAACTTCATTTTCTAGGAGCATACACCAACTTTACATTAAAACACTAGCAAAGTAATCGTTAAGAAAATTACAACTGTAAGAAAACAGCAACTGTAAAACACGCCCCCAAGCACCAGTTACCATGGTGATAGACTTCTGGTGTTTGGAGAAAAAAGGGGAAGAAGACTAAGAATAAGAAACAGAGCAAAAATTACTCCAGCTACAGAGCAGGAAACATTCATAGGCTACGAGTTGCTTATCACGATGGTCTTAAAATCCTGCTGTCTCAGCCTAGGAGTACTAGTAACAGCGACCTATTTGTACAGACTCGTGTCGACACGTTTGACGCCAGGCGTCGGAAGTTGTTGTGCTCTTTTGCTTCGCGTCTCTTAGCGTCTGAGAACGCAATTGTCAAACTGCTGCTCCGCTCAGAGACCTTTCGCTCTAGCCCATTCTGGAGCCACTACTGTAGACTAGTCCGCCCACTGTAAGGGCTCGACAGTCTTTTATCTACTTATACCCACTTAGATGTTTTATTTTAGATGTGTTTGTGTAATGTTGTCTGTCTGTGCTATGGGCCATTGAGCCTGAAATAAACAATAAATAAATAAATAAATAAAAACAATGTGTTTCCATAATTCTGCGAAGGTAAGCATAATCAAAGAGCCAAACATTTATTTTGCAGCCAAATCGTCCGGGCAGATGAACCTGACATCTACGCAACACATGTACAGGAACACCAAAGGAAAGAAAGGTTGGTAATGTTTTTCACAAGTTTCTTGATATGCAAATAGTTAAATATCAAAGATTGTTTCTATCTTCCAACATGACTTAACTCACTTGACTTATATGTCGAGTGCCAGTCCCCCTATCTTGTAGCTTTAGCAAATCTGCAAGAGATTGCAAACTATGTAATGTTTTAAATTGGTAGGTAAGCATGCTGTTCTGCTGATCAGCGACGAGTACGGTACGGCTAAAGGTGGCGTGTCGACTATGAACTGCCAGGCGGCGTGTGTGTTAAGGGCTGAGGACGTGAAGGTGTACAACACAGTCCTGTACAACAAGGACAAACACAACAAGGATAAGGACAGAGCCATAGCCGAAGATGGCGTTATTTTACTATTCCCCAAACTCCACGAAGGCGATGACAGGGAGCCATCTCTGAGCTGGCTGACGTATGACCACCTGAGCCGTTATCCAAGTCTTCCTGACGACATCGGCTACGTCATCGGCCATGTAGACATCACCAGCAAGGCTGCAAGAAAGCTCAAGGAAGAACGCCTCGAGCTCCAACACGCCAAGTTCCTTCTCTTTGGCCACGTGATACCAGAAGATACCGAGCACTACAAGAGTGACGAACGGGCGATGGGGATCGGAGACAAGAGCAAAGCCATCCAAGATGACATGGAACATGCTGACGTGATATTCTCCGTGGGGCCTGTCATCTTTGACTACTACCAGAACCAGCTGAGGAGCTCAACACCGCACCACATCTTCTTGCCGAAGCCGTCCGACATCTTCAAGAACACAAAGATGACGTACGTCGAAACGGAGACGAAGGTGGTGTTGTCCATCGGCAGGGTCAAGGGCGTAGAGAGGCTGAAGGGCTACGACCTCGTTGCCATAGCCATGAACGACGTCATCCAGCGTTTCCGAAGAGCAAAGTGGCGAATCAAAGGAATACTGAGGGACGCCTTCCAGCAGAGCAAGAGGATCATAGATGCTAACATCAGATCGGGGTCCTTTCACTTCACGGCCTTGGAGTACGGCACGCAGGAGGATCTGTGCCGCGACATCCGGCAGGCCCACGTAGTCATCATGGCGTCCCGCGCCGAGCCGTTCGGTCTTGTCGGTCTGGAGGCCATCGCTGCAGGCGTTCCCGTCATCATCTCCGACAGGTCCGGGCTGGCTGAGTTCATCAAGAAGGACCTGGACCCCGAGTTCGACCGCAACATCGTGGAGATGGAGGGAGACGACGAACAGGACGCCAAGAGGCTGGCTAAGAAAATCATCAAGATTTTTGAGAACGGACAGAGGGAACACGACGCTGCCCAGAGGCTGAAAGACAAACTCTGGAAGTCGGAGTACTGGAAGGAATCTCACAAGCAGTTCCTCCTGGCATGCGGCGTGGACGGCTGTAAGTAACACATTCGTAACTTTGTCAATAATCAGACAATTAAAGCTACTACCATATGTTATACCTTATACTTCAATTTAACGTTGTATACCTAAAAATGTATGTGGTGCCTACGCCTTAGGGGTGCATAATGTATTCATACATAATCTATTGATGTTTGTTGCAGCAATCAAAGTACAATAATGCTATTGACAAAGGAAGTTCATGCAACAGAATGCTCTCAACTGTAAATATAAATATGCCGACCTGTATATGATTTTTAATGACGGGTGTTACATTTTTAGGCTCTAACAGCAGAGCGGAAGACGCCGGTTGTGCATCAGCGAGTGACATCCATCAGAAACAGCCCAGCACCAGCACGGTGTCCTACGAGAACCGAGGTAAACCTTCCAGTGATCAAGTACACAGCAATGTAGTGATAAAGGTCTAGTGAGAGTCCTACGAACTATATACATTGTGTAAAACAGTCACTTCCACCCTATATGTTCAAGTGATAATTGAAGAGCATGCTGTCGTAATTAGTCATGATCTAACATCTCATGTCCCTGTGTCAAATGTACTTTCTCAGGACAAAGGTCGAGGAAGAGGTCGGCCACCAGCGTCATTTCATCCGATCTGGAAGAGCCGAGAAAGCGACGAAAACAACCGCCTGCAGCTGAAGCAAAGCAAGGTGAGTTCAGAAGACTTATGTCAAAGATTTCTTTGTCATAGGAAAATATCAAATTGTTTGTACATATTTCTATATGTATATCGATATACGGTGTAGATGGATGATTTAGGTAATGTCACCCCAACTACCTTCATACGTCTTTCTTAGGACAAAGGACGAGGAAACGGTCGGCTGACAGCGTCAGTTCATCCGACCTGGAAGAACCGAGAAAGCGACGAAAACAACAGCCTGCAGCTCGAGCAAAGCAGGGTGAGTTAAGAAGATTTATATAAAAAATTACGATGTCATTGGATGATATTAGATACAAGAGAATGATATATATAACTGAGGGCAGCGGAAGCAGTGCTAGTATGCGCATTCCCTACAGTTGTAAACATTCTAGGGCGAATACAGTGCCCAATCCCTACATGTCAGACAGACCATTACATGGCCTATATTTTCCCGTTAAAGTTATGTTTCGATACTTACACCTTACCGACTACATTGGTATTTAGCAACATCTTATATGATCTACATTTTGTTCCAGCTGACGTGTCGAGGTATTTCGACAAAGTGGTCCGCGGGGCCAGCGCCAACTGGGACGACCTGGCACGGAAGCTGAAGTTCGAGGAGAACGAGATAGATGAGATACTGGAACTGAAACGTGGCAACAACAGCAGGTGTAGGGAGATGCTGAAACGGTGGAGAAACAGGAAAGGCAAGGCTGGAAAAGCGGCGACTCTTCAAACTCTGAAGAAGGCTCTTACAAAAATCGGCCACACACTCACCGCCGAGAGTTTGGAAGGTATATCTGAATTTATCCTTTGTTTGATTGAATGGATGCGTTGCGATTATATTTCGTGAAAAATGCTTGTATATTAGTGCACTTTTCAAGAATATGCTTGAAAATATTAATGTTATTTTATTTTTTTCAGATGTTTCAGACTCATCGGAATCTTCAGACGACTAGTGCCCCTTTAGTAGTGCCAGGCTCGGGCTGCAAGTGAAGTTACGCCACTTCTCGAGTCACAACACAATAGCTATCTACTATAGAAAATATCGTGACCCTAGCATTTCCAGATCATGCATAATATGAGACATCAAACTCGGAAGTGCCGCTGCAGTACCATTACAAGCCGCAAGGGAGCCCAAAATCTAATCATGTCGATAACTCGTTAAGACAAATTTACATACCAAACATGAAGACAATCCATGTAAGCTTTTTCGAGTTATCTGGTCGGGGTGGTGGATTGGATAAAGCGGTCCGACCAAGTTGCGTCCCCTAGCAGAACGTGGGAGACTTACAGGCCTAGTCTGTAGATGAATTTTGTGTCAATGACCTGTACATGTATAGAATGAATAGCCTCCTATTTTTACAGCCATGTACGTTATGATGTGTCACTTATGTTAGATAAGTTTCAACTTCAGAAGTCTTTTCTCATCTTCCAGAGTGGGTCACATTTAAGACCATTTACTATAGTAATTGAGTTGTTGTTTTGATGAAAGACATGTTGCTTTTACGTTTTAACTGATTCATAATTGCACTTGACCAACAGTATCGAAAAATTATTGTACAGTGTTCTGATAATATCTAAATTTGTAGTCAACAGCCTTTGTCCTAGGTATTCAATTCCAGTACAGGAATGACTGACTGTCAATTGATTTGTTGCTATCTTTGTATAGGAGTGAATAAAAGTCTTTGTTCTCACGTCACCAAGCGAGCCGTTATTTTTAGTGTATTTTGCTTCTATTTTAGTACAAGAGTGGCCGCCGTCATCATACCATTATCATCATACCACAAGGAAGACGTCCGTACCTGAATATGTGTTTAAAGTCTCAGAAACTCGTACTGTTTCGTTTTTACACTTAAAATAAGCATCATTTCTCTTCAGTTTTCCTTAATAATCACCCTGTCCGCTGTTGTGTGTTGAATTTTGTACAGGCTATTTTGACTCCATCCACACCTTTGTTGCTGACGGACATGTGAAACTATTGGCTTGTTTACACAACAGAAGCAGTGATGCGTTAATACACAGACTTGATCGCCACCTCCTAACCGCATTGTACCTTATAAATTCCGCCTTCACTTCTCCTTTCTACTGAATGTGGTATTTGATGTTCTTCATATACAAATGAGGTAAACAGATAGAGTCCACATCAGCCAGGTGTAACGGTACGGTCAATACCTGCCACCTTCTACCTTCGAACTCTCTTTGTTTACCTGTACGTCTGGCGTGACCTTAAGTACAATATAGGACCGCACCAATACATTCCGGGGGTGACGTCTTATCTCCCTCGTATATTTCTTTATGGGTAAAGTTGGATACGATTACGCACATGACATGTTGTTTGTGACGATCATAAGAAAGAGCGTACGTGGTTCCTAAGTGGAAAAATAGTAGGCTTCAAAGACAAAAAGGGGATGCTAATGAGCAGATACTGAGATGACACCCCCCCCTCCCTACAGACGCCAAATAGACCGGCGCTCTTTACAGGTCTGACTGGGGATTTCCGCACTTGTTTCGGAAGATATATAGCGCCACTAAATTCTCCAAATGTCGGACAATCCTTGTCAGGATCTGTATCTGAAGATTTCTCGAAACTTGGTAGACGAAGAACTTCGAGATCTTCGCAACTATGTCAGTGGTGCAGGAATATTACCGGCGGGATTCGTCCAAAGTGCCAACGCTCACCAGATCTTCATACAACTGGAAAAAGAAGGGAAGTTGAAGCCGGGAGATCTCAGCCTTCTGGCAGACTTGTTAACAAAAATCGGCAGACATGACTACGCTGAGCGGGCTGAGAAGGTTGCTGAAGATGAAAGGAAAGGTATGTCATCATTCATTTGGATCCTAGGACTAAAAACTATTTAAAAACACCAAAGGCAAAGCAATATCTACATATGGATAGATTACGGAGGTTACTTCCGGACGTTTCGAGTGTATCTGTATCTGTATCTGTATAGCCGGTATAACCGCCTTTCGGCGTAACACACCAGCTTCGCAGGCACGCGGCGCGGCGGCAGCTGGCTATATTACACCGATCGACTTGTTACACCTAACCCTTGAACTTCTAGCGCCTTCTAGAGTGGCAACTAACACTCTTCTTCAGCGTCACTGAACTGAACTGAGAGAACTAGGCGACACTATCACATCACACTAATAAAAAAAAAACAAGGGTACATGTACATTATTGGCTAAGAAATTGCAGCGGTCTGTGAATCAATCGTATCAAATCTTCTTCAAATTTACTATTCGGTACGTAACTGATACATGATGTAATGTTAACTGTGCCCCTGTGTTTAATATACTTTGTCAGGACAAAACACAAGCCAAATGCCGGCCGCCAGCGTCAGTTCATCCGAGCAGGAAGAACCAACAAAACAACCACCTGGAACAAAGCAAGGTGACTTCGGATTGAATTATGTCAAAGATTTCGATGTCATCCGAAAATATCAAATCTTTTATACTTGTTTCTGTGTATCCCGACGTACCGTGAGGGAGTTATGCCTGCCTCATATGTTCCTTATATATGTTCAGGTCGTTACTTGTACAGGTTTGTCTTTGTCTTTGTACTTATACATGTACCAGGCCTAGTGTGATAGGCGACACACCCAAGTATCATAGCGGAAGTGAAAATGAAAGTACATGTATCAGACATCAGAAATGGTTTTCGGTTTCAGTCACGGTTTTCTTTGGATGTTTGATCAACGTTGTATCAGAATTTCGCCCGATGATATCTTTCCAACAAAACATTTGAAAACTAATGACGGAAAACCATCCTTAAATACGCCAATACGACCTAGATTGAGACGTTCTGCCTAAGTGCTAGACACAATAGATTGCGGTCTTTGCGCAGCCCAGGTGTATTACGTTCTACGTTACGCTGTGCGTGTAGATATTGATACTAGAAATGTGTCTTCTTGTACTTGACAGGTGTTCGTAAGTACTTCTTTTTCGTCAAGGAACGTGTCAGCTCAGATTGGAAGGACCTGGCCTTCCATCTTGGGTTTGAACAACCAGACATCGACAACATCGATGGGAGAAACCGGGATGACAAGTCCCGCTGTATGGACCTGTTGGAGGAATGGCTCAAGCGTAACGGAGAGAGAGCCACCATAGAGGTCCTGATGGAGGCTCTGTCTGAGGCAAACTTACAAAGTGTTGTGGACGGTCTGAAGGGCATTCATCTTGGTATTTATTAAATATTGGCTTATAACTTTGAATTTGAATGTAGAGCAAGTAGTATATATAGCATGTATAGTTTTGGAAACAGATAAAATTTATCGAAAATTTTTAAGCCACATCGTATACTTACACAATGCATGCATCATTTCCATACTTAAGGACACTTTAGTCCATGTCTTCACTAATTTGCATATCAGTCAATACTTCGTGCTTATAAATATTAAACCTGCCTTTTTCCTGAAAGCCTCTAGTGTCACTGACAAAAGGTAGTGGATGCTACGTGAAACGTCTGACCGTTTCCAAGATCATATCCAGTTGCTTGAGTAACTGTTTTGGGGCGTATCTTATTACCTAGATGTCTAACCTTCACCGAAGAGTCTAGTCCCTAACCATATTTGCATAATCCCCATGTTGCACAGGAGCTGCCATGGACAGTCCGGTACAGCTGACCTCCACACAGGTAGTGAACGACAGAAGGGAAGTCTCCATCACACAAGAAGCGGAGAAAATCCTCTCCAGCCTCCCTCCGCGCCCGGTGGACGTGGTCTCCGTGGTGGGACCCATGAGGAAGGGAAAGTCTCATCTTGGGAATCTGCTGTGCAAGAGGAAGTCTGGATTCCAGCTTGGATCCGAACTAGTGTCGGAGACAAAAGATTTCTGGTTCTGGATCGGTCCCCATCCCGTACAGTTTGACCGGTACATCATGGTTATCGATACTGAAGGTAAAGGGATAGAATCATCATGCAACATAGAAACACGACGTATTGAACCTTTCATTTTTTTTTAATACCAACATTTCATGACCAGACATGGTGACGGCACGCTCAAGTTATATCAACTTATTTTATGCCGAAACCAACGCAGGTAGAGGACAAATATGGAACAGGACAATGCTCATTTCACCTGAGTTAACTGAGGAAAGTCGTGTAAAAAAACTTTTATTGTTGTACGTTTTAATAGACAACTAAAATTGAAAACACACCTATACAGGTTTGGGTGACTACGCCGGCGAGGGGCAGAACGAGAAAGATCTGAAGTACCTTGTTTTGGCCACGCTGTTCTCCAACCACCTAGTCTTCAACCTGCAGGGAAACCTGGACCACACATTTTTATCACATCTCAGGTGCGTCTACATACATTTCTTAGACTAGCAGTTATTGTGATTGTAGTATTGTATTCTTATGCACTTGTATGACCTTGTCGGCATGGTGGCTTTGAAAACGTGTCCTTATGTCCACCTGTTCCACCATGCCTTCCATGTATATGGAAAATTGTAATAGATAAAAAGATACATAAATAATTATATATACAGTTAACTGTTGTGTTCATCTTAAGGATTATTGGAGACCTGTCAGAACACATCCGTGTTCAGAAAGATGGCGGTGACGAAGAGAGCGATCTCGGTGAACACTTCCCGACGCTGTGGGTCGCCGTGCAAAACACGCATCTGGATCCACCTCAGGTAAGTCTCATTACGTATATATATACAACATGCATCAGTATAGGACTATGTTTTACATGCATCAATTGTCAATGTGGGGTCGTGTGGCGTAGCGGCAAAATGCTCGACTCGGAACCAACAGGTCCCGGGTTCGATTCCTGACATGTCACCGATCTTGCGCCCTTGGGAAAGGCACTTAACACGACTTTCCTCACTTTAGCTCAGGTGAAAATGAGTATTGTCTTGTCCCCTGTATTGGTGGCGGCATTAATATAAGTTGAAAAACCTTGATTGTGCCGTCAACACGTCTTGTGAATATATATGTTGGAATAAAAAAATAGTTTTTTGTTCGGTTACAGGTCTGCTTTTGTGGTACATTATATTTCAGGAAACGATATTTTAGTTGGGAAAGCAAGCTAAACACAACACTATATCAAAATTGGGCACTAGTTATTGGTCTACGCTCATAGGAATCCTGAAAAAATCCATCAAACATTTTCTTTCTGTATTCTAAGGGGCTGTCACCAGATGAATATCTGGAGGAAGTTTTGGAACGGAAAAAGGGACACATGAGGGCGGTCCGCGATCACAACGCAATGACGGACGCAGTGAAAGATTTCTTCCCAGAGCGACATCTTCGACTTATTCCTCCTCCTACAGCCGACAGGGATACTTTGAGGTACGCAATTAATATTTCAAGGAAAAATATACTAGTAGTTCTTCCCGTCATTTACACACATGTAGTAGTCCAACACGGGGGCTGTTGTTACTCTTTTGTGCAAGGGCCCTCGTCTTCGCCATGCATACATTTATGTTTACCGAATTCGAAGGAAAACATGTATTTTTGCTCTGTTTCCTCTACTTCTTCTCATTAATAAGGTCAATGACCTGAACCTGACGTCTGTTACCATGGTAACTAGTGTTGGGTTACATCAGGTTGCAATTTTATAGCAGGAGGGATTTAAACTCCTGTCACCATATACTAGTATATTAATGTGTTTGAGTAAGAATTAACAGAGCAGACCATATGCGACGGTAAACATGCATTTGCCTTGCGAATGTTGCCATTCTAGTATAGATATATATTTACCGCCACGGATTGCTATAGGTTGCGTTCGTCTTTTTTGATGGGGACATAAAGTTGCACGTCAAATAGCCATTTACATTCATCAAGGAATGCTGTCGTAACTTTCAGAAACCTGGACAAAGTGAATGATGACGTTCTACAGACAGATTACGGCGATGCCGTCAACAACTTCACCCGGGAAATCTGGAACTCCGGTCTGGTCAAGACGGTCAATGGAGCCGAGTTAACAACAACAGGTCTGTTTTTTCTGTCTGGATAAATGCCGTGGAGCACCAATATATCATTTGATAGACTTTGTATTGCTAAATTATTTCAATATCCTTTCTTGAATAGTGTATTGTAGTAACTTTATCAAGTGTACCTCACCGGATAATTATTCGGGAGGTATGATAATGATGATGATTTCAAAGTGTCAGACCCCACACTTCTAAAGATAAGTAATTCTACTAGAGTCCGGCTGCTTTAGATCATGAAGGTAGTTGCTCCATGTTTATATCTATATAGCACTGAGTTTCTACCTTGACACCTGTTTCAGGTCTTCTGAACATCATGCGGTACTACGTCAGTGCCATCAACGCCCCAAAGGCGATGCCGTCTGTTCTGGGCGCGTACGAGGCCATGGTGGAGGGGGAGTGCCGCCGGGCGGTAGACGACCGCGTGAGGCAGTTCTTGGAGACTGTTGAGGACACAGTGAAGCCGGTCATGCCAACTGACCAGGAGGACTGCGACAAGAGAATCCGGACAGCAACAGAGGACGCGGTTTCCAAGCTGTGCGAGGACGTGGGGAAATGGGACAAGACTGGGACCTGGAAGAAACGTCTTCAGGTAAATACGAGTATCCATATTCTAGTCTAAAAACAACTTTTTCAAACTTTCAAACACAAATTTTCAACCAGAACCTTAGCCCGTCCTGATTGTTCATGTGACCTGGACAATTGAGTGCGACGTGAGAAATAGGTCAAAGGTGATTGGAAGTCGATATTGTCCCCCGTCCATGCTCAGTGAAGGTCAGAAGATCCTGATATAGACATCTTTATTAAAGGTTTGTTTGTTTGCTGTGACCCAGGAATCTTAATCATTTGATTTTTTTAACCTCGTTGTAACAAGACAAAACTGATGATATTGTATGTAACGTTATGCTCATTGAATTTCAGGATGAACTGGAGAAAGAACGTCTTTCCTTACTTCAGCTGAATAGCTCCAAGGCCAAGGAAAAAGAGGCCAGGGAAGAAGCAGAAAGGGCACAGGCAGAAGCGAAGAGGCTGGCGACAGAAGCGGAGATAAATAAAACCATCGAAAGCATCAGTTATGGCGGCAGTGGGCAGGTAATATGCTGCAGCAATAGTATGAAGTAACTAGAACATATCCATTGGGCTGAGCATTTTATGTTTACCGAAGGAAAACATTGTTTTCTACGTTTCCTCCTCTTCTTCTTCTCCAAACACTGACCTATGACCTGTCCAATGACCTGATTTGTTGACGTCTCTCACCATGGTAACTGGTGTTGGATTACATAATGTTGCAATTTTATAGTAGGAGGGATTTGTACTCCTGACCGTATATACATGGATGTATTTGAGTAAGAATTAACAGAGCAGACCATATGCGAAGGTAAACATTAATATGCATTTGCTTTGCAAATGTTACCTTTCTAGTCTTTGTTTTGTATTTCTCTCCTTGAGGATGATACACGCACAAAGCTACCTACGGATAGTGTCACGAGTACCCTGAGGTCATCAATGCCGTTGTTTTTGTGGATCTGCGCTAATATTGTTTTTTCTCCAAGTAGATGTTGGGTTATATGTGCCCATTGTCTAGAGGAGTGTTGATGTTGCTTCTGATTTTAATACCTGATTAAATTATGTAGTTCCTTGTCGTCTGATTCTTTCTTGTTTATTCCACAGGTTAACATAGCAGGAAGAACGATCTCTTATAACACGAAAAGTAGAACCTACAACTGGCAACGTGTCTACAAAGGGACGGCCTGTGATGTCTACAATAATATCACCGGCAAGTCAGGGAATCGCCAAAGCAAACAGGGCGCGGCGGAACATGCAATAAAAGATGTGTTCCGCCAGCTGAGGGCTAACAACATTATCTGAACTTGAAAGTGCATCTGTGTTGGTAGAACGGTTACTAGTATTATGAACATTATTGAACTGTAATTGCATGCCAACACAACACATTGGGTGAGTCCAATTTTTTGTGTTGGCAATTACAGTTCAATCTTGTTCATAACATTATCTGAGGCTTGCAATGAAAGCTAGCATACGGCAGAAGAAGGCAAACTATGCCAACCATAGTACTTGACATAATTTCACCAAATCCTTACGGCACTTCAAGTGACAGTAAGAAGGATTTTACGGCAAGTTATGACAGTAAAAAAAGTTTAAAGTGATACACACAACTAATGATTCAAGTAAACATTCTCACGGTCGGCATCCACCTACGTACATACGGTAATGCTCAGGTCACATTTCCAAGCCCAGCTGTTTGCATGCACGAAACTGAATAAACAATCCACGCCAACAATATGAACACATTGTACTCATGACTGGTTTTTCATTTTTTGTGTGTGTTTGTTGTCTTTTTAATATGTCATACTTTTCATTCCTGGACACTGCCACTATGGCATACCAAAAATCATCACAACCCATAAAGACCTTATTAATTAATAGGCTGATCACAAGTATGGCGAAAACACATTGTGACGCACACACGCTTTCACGCACGCACACACACACAAACCAACAACAATACCTACACAATCGAAACTGACCAACCAACCAACCAGCCAGCCAGCCAACCAACCAACCAACCAACCAACCAACAAACAAACAAATTTTTCGGCCGCGGGTTACTCTGGTTCTGGTATATAAATATGACATAAATTTGGTCGGACAGGAACATATCATTTCAGCGCATCTACTCGTAACATTGACATGGTACGGTTTTTGTACTTCGCTACAGCACAGAATATGGTCAAGACAAATTTTATGACTTATAAAAGTTGAATTTTTTTCATATTTTTTTTGCGAATTTTTTTGTCGGTATACACTATCCTTGCACTGACAAATTCCCCAAGTCAGTTTTTGTTCGTTTGGTGGCGGTCTTCTGACGTCAAAGCTTTAACCTTTAACCCCGAAACGCCGAGTCAGGCGCACTTGGAAGTGAGGTAAGCTTTGAAAAAGTGATTTCTCACCTTTTCCTTGTCATCTAATGTCTCTGGTTTTATTTTCCGAGTAGGTCACTAGTCTACCCATTATCATGAACTGTCTGCCTAACCTAGAAAAGGCAGATCTCATGTCAAAAGAAGTAATTTATAACTGCGTAGCTTGTATCATCTTTCGTCGCCTTGTGAAGGGGAGGGGGGCATACAAATGATTTGTTTTCTCCAACCAAAATCGGCATAAAATTCTACTACGCTATTGTAGTGTTATGTAATTCTCTTCCAACTTTATGGCTGGATCTTTGACGTACTAATTATGCGCAAAAGAATACAGGATCGCAACACTGCGGTCATAAATTTTGTGATGATGATTCCGCTTGCGAAAATTCTGTGATGAAAATTCATGCGTCAAAAATGCAAGTCGTCTTTGAAATCTGGCCTCGAAAAAAAGCACATGTACGTGTGACATGACACAGGGTCTATTTCTGTCAAGGATACCGGAATATATTTATAATTTTATGTAGATAGACTAAAATGTTGCCAAGGCTGTGAAGTCATGTAGAGCTAAATAAATTTGCACCAAAAACGTTTAGCATAACATACTTCTAGTACCTGTTTTCGGTTCATGTTCGGGACAGTATAGACGTTTAACGTTCTTGTATTCAGCTTTGAACAATTTTCTATTACTGCAACGTACCCATAAGGTCGGTGCTTTCCTTACAATGTAATTAACACTGTTAGCATTAGGCTGATTGGACTCTGCAACTTGGATTCATGTCACTCTAGATCAATGGATTGACTTCAAATAGGATTTGTAAATGGGAAGCCACCCTAACACATTAATTAACAGCATCCTGATTAGAGTTTCTTATCACAAGTACTCAGATTGGACCAGAGTGTCAGGGTAGACTCTACTGTGACATATGTAACGTTACTCTGATGTCCCTATTAAACGTACCGGTACGTTTATTTTTTCCGGCCCGAACGTCCACCCGGTACACTCTTATTAGGGACGGTACGTTTATTAATTTATGGGAAAAAAATTGTCCATACGTACCGCACCATCAGCAAGTGGCCGGCGGTCGCAAAATTCGGCAACACGTCACAGATAAATATTTGGTCCATGATAGCGGCATTTCCCATGAATATAATGTATATTATTTATTTTTCACCTGCTGTCCATTTTTAAGTCCCAAAACGTCTGAAAAAGCAAAAATTTGCCCACAAAACCGAAGGGGAAAGCGAGTAGCTAATCGACGTATTTAGCACATGGCGGCCGCAAGTCCTTGTCAAAATCGGCAACGCGGCAGAAAAATGCCTGGTCCATTTTAGCGATATTTACCATGAAAAAAACGTATGTGGTTTATTTTCCCTCTGGTGTTAGTTTTTAGGTCCCGAAACCCCTAGAAAGTAGAAATTTGCCCACAAGACGGACGGCCGACGTGGGGAGGGCGCCTAGCGCCTGAGCAGCATGACGTCAAAGTCAAAGGTCATAGGGCACCCATATTGCGCAATCACCGTAAAAGCGCCGATTTAGCTAATTTTAGGGCGTTTAAAATTGATACAATCACATTATCGATTTTTAAAAAAACAATGAGATGGAAACCAATCAAAATTTTATGCTGAATAATATTTTTTTCTTCAAAAGTTTTTTCTTCAGAAGTTTTTCTTCTTCAGAATCCAGACTTTGACCAGACTAGACAATGTACCATACCAAATAATCATTATGTTGAAATGGATTTTGTTGTACATATACTCATTATATTTGTACTTAATTGGGCTTGATTTTCTATCTCTTAAGTTAGTCAGATTTTCAACTCAAGTTGCAGGAGAAGGCTTAGCAAAGTGCATTTCAGAAGTGTAAAATGCAATAGCTTCTCCTACGGATTTTGTATTTCCCCAAAACAAATACAATATATATATATACTCATTAATTAAAGTGATATATACTCACTAATTAAATGTAACAGTGAAAGATTTGCCCATATATTGGTATTGAAATAAAGAGCACATTTTAGTATCATGGACACACAGTTCACCTGTCAATTTGGTCATTTTCCGGGGGGTACGTTTATTCCGGAGGGTATGTTTATTAGACTTTGAAGATTTGTCCGGGGGGTATGTTTATTCCGGGGGGTATGTTTATTAGGGACATGAGAGTACTAGTATATGACATGAGACTTGCAAATGCAGTTCATGTATGTATTATAAATTATTACAAATTAAAGAAATACATCGATTGTGGCAGAATCATCAACAAGTTAACGTTGGCCACCTTAACCATAAAGAAGAAGAAAAAAAGTTCTGTTATAATTAGTTATGCATGTACTACAACTAGTACAAGTAGAGCATAGATATCTGAAATACCTTCCTCATTATAATCAGCAATGTCATGTTTTCTGTTTAAAGTTCAAATTGAAGTCAGCCTGTAGAATTTTTAAAACCTTGGTCAAGTTTGCAAACATTCAAGGAAACTATTTCTCAATGCCAAATGTATTTCGGGGCCTTGTTCATGAACAGTAGTCTTACTAGTACTTTTCTGGAAATGTTTGCAGTAAGGGCAGTTTGAACAGATCCAGGTCCAGAGAATCAGGTCCAGGTCTGAACTTGTATAATAATAGTACAGTAGTACTGTATCATTTTGGAGATCAGAGGCAGGTCAAATTATGTTAAAATTATAAAATTTATATATCATTTTCAACGCACAAGCATATGCGCATTAAGCTTATCCTAAGTATTATCACCAGGCTGGACCAGGTTCAGCCAGACTGGTACCCTAGTTTGAACCCATGTGATAATTATGTTGCTTGAAAAGTTATAAAATCATAAATTTGCTTTAACAACTGGTACAAGATGCATAACATAGTTTCATGAACCAATTTTAACTTCTCCACAGACAACATGTCGCTGAAGCCTCGTCGTGTGGACTTCGGTGAGACCTGGGGGAAGATTCTCGCCACCGTGCGGGGAGTGATCACGCTGTCCAAGGTCCCGCGGCCGACATGGAACGACAGATTCTCGTATCCTTCACGGCCTAAAGTAGAAATACAAACCAACAGTTGTTATGTCTAGGAAGCAACGAAAAAGTCAGAATAAATTCTATATTAGAAGTTTCACTTAGCTAATTTGATATAGTTGTCTCTTTGTTTATTGTTTATTTCAGGTTTGACGGCCCATAGTTTACCAACACATAACATTACACAAATACATCTAAAGAAACATCAAAGAATTTACAGATGGATGTAAATACAGGTTTTTAATGATAAAACAAGCCATAATTTTTTTTTGTATTGTAAGATAGCTCTGTCAATATAACTTCCTTGTATGTAGTAAATTCACATGGCTAACTGACATGGCACAATTGATGTTTTTTTAATTCCCTTGACACTTATTTTCTAAAGTGATGTGTATGCGCTGTGCGTGGCGTACCCGGAACCCCTTGCTGAACAGCTGTACAACGAGACAAAGAACTTTCTGGAGCAGCACGTCCAGTCGCTGCACAAGGTAGCGTTTCCTCTCATCTACATCTATATGCTACTAGACACTGCCCCTTGCTGGGTATTACGTCCAGGGAAAAGCGGTCAATGCCCTGAGGCGATTAAAAAAAGGGTAATATTGGGCTACAGATAATAAAAATGACAATGTGGTGAAGAGCAGGCAAAAATTAAAAAATAAAACAAAACAGAGAAAGTTGTTCTGTGATATGTACATTGTTGTAGCCCATGTTTCTCACGACCTATGAACCTATAGCTATGACTAGCCATGTGTCCAAACCTACTCTAGCTGCAGAGTCTCTTCCAATCAAAAATCCTTTCAATTAGTATTTGAAGTAGCTAATCTGGCAAACAACACTAGACCATCCTTATTAATATGAGATGTTCTACTTCTAACACTCTCTATATTAAAGATAGTGAATATGTCTTTAAGGAATTGAAATGCATCCCTGAGATGTCCTAACTTCTGATCATAGTGCTTTTCATCTTACAGATAGTGAATAGCTCCTTAGACAACCTTCTTGCCACTTACCATGCCTACTGGCAGGAGTACAGCAAGGGTGCTGAGTACATGAACCAGCTCTATGGGTAGGTCCTGCTAGTTAACCATCTAGTTAATGGGTTATGTTGTTGGTAAGATGTAGCATTAATTTCTTAACTAGCAATCCGAAGTAATAGTTTTATTCTTCATTAAATGTTGGTTAAAGAATTAATGTTTTTTTCATAATCTAAGTTGAAATTTGAATGGATTTCAGATAACTTTTTTCCCATCATGTACATCATGTATGTTGAATCTAACTAAGTGTGCACTAGTTTGCTGAGTTTAGTTGTAGTTTTTCAGACCTTGACATGACTTGTTTGTTTGTTTGTTTCTACAGTTACCTGAACAGCCAGTACATCCGTAAACAGAAGCTGTCAGACGCCGACCTTGCCTACGGACATGGCATTGACCTTGACGAACAGCTGATGGAAATAGGAGAGGTATGATGTCATTTCCTGTTACAAGACTAAAGAGGTGTGATGTCATTTCCTGTAACTAGAATTCAGAGATCTCATACCTCGATGATTAAAGCTTTTGTTAATGTTTTTTTTTTTGTTTGCTTGTCTGAGAGAAAGACCAAAATCAGTATTACTTGACAAGTGTGTAATAACTACCCCCCTCCCCCTTTCCCAGCTTGCTCTGGACATTTGGCGACGTCTGATGATCGAACCTCTGAAGGCAAATCTGGTACAACAGCTGCTACAGGAGATAGAGAAGTATGTTATCCTGTTGGCCATTTAATAACTATGTATTGTAATGATGTTTCAATAATATAAGTACTACATTTAGCCCATGTGGGCAAGAACATACAGTAAAGATTATTCATCATAGATTCAGTCAAAACTTGGTTTTACAAAAGATATCATATCTACATGTATGCTTACTGAAAAGAGTTAGACTGATGATTTTTGATATCATGAAATGTATCTATGCTATTGCACTACAAGTATCTCAGTATCATCTTTCCCATCTATCCTACAGACATCATATGTCATATGTCTGATAGGTCATATTTTGGCTGCAAATTCAATGTAAATCACTAGGGGGCAGCGTTTCACTGTGATTGTCTTTGTTCCGCAGGGATCGTGAGGGTGAACAAACCAACCAAGCTATCCTACATGGTGTCATCAACTCATTTGTACATGTGGAGGAATATAACAAGAAGGGACTGCTAAAGGTACAAATAATGAGGAGTATTCTAGTAATAAACTACTAAGGTCTAACATTTGTGTATCTGTAGTACACATGTAGTTTTGGACTTTATGGAAGTCCATGGAGTTTTGATGTAGTTCTCTGTATACTGCTGCTATGTTAAAAGTGTTGATCAATGACATCAAAGATATGTACAGCTTATAAGAGGGTAATATTTATCTATTTTATTTATTTATTGTTTGATTCAGGCAGAGCCCATAGACAACATGGACAACACAAAATAGATAGATCTAAAAATACAATGTCTAGGATATAGTTTCTTTGTATTTAGATTTTCATGATATTTTGCATACTATGTATCCAAGACATTCACATGTTATATCTACAATTCAGATTTATCATAATGTTTTAAGTATTAACACAGTTTGTAACCTGCAGTGACTGTTATGTTGTTTATGTCCAGTTGTACCAGGACTTGTTTGAAAAGCGCTTCCTGGAGGAAACTGGGAGGTACTACAGGAAGGAGGCAGGGAGATATCTAACAGGCACAACATGTTCTGAGTACATGGAAAAGGTTAGTGTTCACATATAATTCTGTTTTTATATACTCTACATAAATACATGTATTCATAGTACAATGCTGAACTTTATTCCAACACAAAGGATACACATGGATCAAATTTTCAATGCCCACTGTCGCCTTCATCAGGATAAGTAATGACCATTCACTTCTGAATATAAACCTGCGAGAGTTGCGGACACAGGAGCTTATTCACGGAGGTTTTACGGATACATGACATCAGCAATTGGTCAAACATTTGGAAGTAATTGTTCATTACTTAGTGAATGAGAAACATATAACTACACACCTAAAAAAGCTGCTTCATGCATTGTCTTTAAACTCAAAATTGCCTCATTGCAAAATAAGAACAAGGAGGTGAGAATTTGTACACCTTTGTACCTGAATGTTTGCAAAGCAGTATGGGTAAGGGCACAAAATCTGCCATCTCTGATTGACCGGTCTTTTTCTTAGTGTTTATAAACCACTGGTTAGCCATCTTTTGTCTGACATGGACATGATAAATTGTAAAATTTTGTACCTGAATGGTAGCAAAGCAGTGTGGGTGAGGGGGTGAAGTGTGCCATCTCTGATTGTTTACACACCACCAGCAAAGCAGTATGGGTAAGGGGTTGAAGTCTGCTGTGTCTGTTTGCAGGTGATCCAGCGTCTGTCAGACGAGGAGATGAGGAGTCGTAAGTTCCTCCACCCCAGCTCCTACGACAAGGTCACACACGAGTGCCAGCAGAGGTTCGTGGCAGACCACCTCCGCTTCCTACACGGAGAGTGTCACGATATGGTCCGCAAGGACAGGAGAGAAGGTTTGTTTGTTTGTTTGTTTGTTTGTTTGTTTGTTTGTTTGTTTGTTTATTTCGTTCTTTGACCACCTCCGCTTCCTGCATGGGGAATGTGACAACATCGTCCGCAAGGACAGGAGAGAAGGTCTGTTTGTTTGTTTGTTTGTTTATTTCTTTCTTTGACCACCTCCGCTTCCTGCATGGGGAATGTCACAACATCGTCCGCAAGGACAGGAGAGAAGGTCTGTTTGTTTGATCTCAAGAAAATAATCTTTTTTTCATTCAATTCAAGTGATATTTTTCACTTGATTCACTCAATTCGAGTGAGGAAATAGGTGTAACATAAAGATTAAAGTGCCTTGGTCCTGCAAGGGATTCGAACCCAGGACCACCAGATTCTATGTCAACAAGCATAACCACCATATCACCTAAGTCCCTACATACAGCTTTTGCGAGCACTTCATAATAATGTATTTTCCTGCAGACATGCGTCGTATGTACACGTTACTGCGTACTGTACATAACGGACTGATGCTGATGGTACAGGAGGTGGAGGATCACATCAAGGAAACGGGACTGGACGCTATCAGTAACATCACAGGAGACAATGTGAGTGGGTGTGTGTGTTTGTGTGTGTGTGTGTGTGTGTGTGTGTGTTTGTGCATGTTGTTTGAAATTGTGTATGTGTCACTGTCTGTGTGTTTGTGGGTGTGTTTATGTATGTTCTGCCCTTACCATCAAGCAAGTGAAGTCTGCTATCTCTTGTGTGAGATACCTTGTGAAGTACTATACTGTTTTTGATGTGTTTGTGTTTCTGACCTCTGTGGATGAGTGAAGTCTGCCATCTTTTAAACAAGTTGTTTTGCATACATGTCGTAATGTCTGGTGAAACCATTCTTCTTACATATCTTTTATCTGGAGCCTTGTCTTGATTTGCAGTTGAAAAGTAAGGGAAAATCTTGAAAAGTTTAAATTTTGTTGTTTCAGCTGCCCACCCAGTTTGTGGAGTCAGTGCTGGAAGTTCACAGCAGGTTCAGTCACATGATCCAGAAGACCCTGAGTGGCGACCAGCAGTTCATCTGTGCTCTAGACAAGGTTAGAATACCCAAAACTGCAATGTTGCATCACATCCTCTTATTGTCTTGTGCACTGTATATATGTATATGCCATATATATCATATTATCCAGCTATTTTGATAAATTTTTCTCAAGGATTTAGCAAAATGTGTTGTATGTATTTTTATTCCAGGCTTGCTCTAGCATCGTGAATTCTAGGCAAGACCAGAGATCCCCATGCAAATCACCAGAATGGGTAAGTACACATACAGGTGCATTCTTTGATTTATGAAGCTATTTCAAATTTATTATTCATAATCATAATAGTGTTTGTCTCATTACAGATTTATGGCAAGCACAGATTACATTTAAAGCATATCAGTAGCTACCAGTAATGTGATTGAGTGTTTAACTTTTAGTATATATGTTTGGCAATGTTACGAGTGAGCTATAGCAATAGACTGGTGATTCTACTGATAAAGATCCTGATTGTGATCTCTATTGACAGATACTCCGAATGGGATCTTTACCATTAGAATTAGTGATTCTGCCAGATCGCAATCAGTACAGATATCTACTCTGACATCTACATGTATTGTTTCTCTATGTAGTTGGCCAAGTACTGTGACATGTTGCTGAAGAGAAGTACAAAGGGCATGTCAGAGACTGAAGTGGATGACAAACTCTCGGCCTCCATTACTGTTTTTAAGTACCTTGACGACAAGGACGTCTATCAGAAGGTATTTATTACATTCTTTTCCTGTAGTTACATTTTCTAGAATATTGCTACTTGCAGTACCTTTCTGTTCTGCTAGATGGCATTACAGCTTTCCAGTGTGTCTTGTGATCAACAATCTTTTACAATTTAGTTCATTTTATTTCTGGTTTTGCTATTAGAAAAAGTGGTTGAAAAGGTTTTCTTATAGTTCAAGAAAGAAATCCAGAAAAATTTTGCATTAACAGGTATGATCATAATGACTTCAGATTTTCAAAGTTCCATATCTAAACATTGCTATCTACTCGTATCCCATTCCGGATCCTACATTTACATGTGAGTATTTCTCCCATGGTGCAGTTCTACTCCAAGATGCTTGCTAAACGTCTGATCCAAGGTAACAGTGTGTCCATGGATGCTGAGGAGGCCATGATCAACAGACTCAAGGTAACACAAGTTCATGTTATCAATGATACACAATTTCAAATACAGTCAAGTGACCACTTGTACATACATGTAAGTACCACCTGTCTACTGATATACAGTCAAACCTGTACAAGTGTAGCCTGGTATCCAGCCTTGTTAGCTTTAGTCCGCTACCCAAGATCCGCTCCCCGCCAGGGATACCAGGCTAGTACAAGTGACCATTCCTACACAAGGAACACCTGGCCAATGTGACCACTTTTGGTGGTCCCTTCAATAATTTTCTCCATTGACACAAGCAATAAGAACCAAAACCTCAGTGTACATATGCTGGTGTACAAAGCTACATACGTCAGCTTTTTCTGCATGTAAATCAGCCAGCTTTGATATCACTCTGTACCACTAGACAAACATTCTCCTTTGAAGTGTACACCTGTCTGATTTGTTTGTTTGTTTGTTTGTTTACTAAACAGCAAGCGTGTGGTTACGAGTTCACCAACAAGCTCCACCGAATGTACACGGACATAAACGTCAGCGCAGAACACAACAAGAAGTTCAATGAGTGGATGAGAGAAAACAAGGAGGAACTCGGCATCCATTTTAACATCTATGTCCTACAGGTAAAGTGTGTCACTTATTACATAGGTGTCAAGTTAGGTCACAGTTACACTGATGGCCATCAGAGGTGTAGCCCTGGCCAGGGTCTGAAGTTGGGAGGACACTAGCTGTGGTCACATTTACATTCAGAAAATCCTCCTTAGTGCTAATTTACGGAGATGCTAACCTGTAGAGGTTCTCGGGAACAAGAATCCATCAGCAGTGTGTAGTCCCATATCCGACAGTGTAAAAAACAACAGCCCTCATGGTAAAGTGTGTCACTTATTACTTAGGTGAAATTTGTATACCATGTTGTGTTGAACTTTCCTGTTTGTGTGTTTTCTCTCCAGGCAGGTGCATGGCCACTGGGCCTGACCAACCCCTCCCCTCTCAACATACCACAGGAACTGGAGAAGAGCGTGAAAATGGTACGTACACAATCATACATGTACACGTACAGCAGTAGTTGTATCAGTAGTAGTAGTTGTAGTAATAGCTGTTACAGTAGTAGTAGCAGCAGCAGTGGTAGTAGTACATAGTAGTAGCAATAGAGTTCAGTTCAATAGAGTAGCGCAGTAGAAATACAAGGGAAAGTAATGTTTGTTTGCAGTGTCATGATTTTTCTGTTTTTTCCCCCAGTTTGATATGTTTTACAAGGAGAGATTCAACGGCAGAAAACTGACCTGGCTGCACCAGCTTTGTAATGGTGAGATCTTATAATAATTACTATTGCGATAATGATATACAATATTTTTTATGTTGTACCTGGGCCGCGATCTTATATCAGTAACATTAGTAACTTAGTAACATGTGATATTAGTAACTTGTGATATTAGTAACATGTGATATTAGCACTTAGTAACATGTGATATTTTCCATTGTAACAAAGTTATAGCTCTGTGCTATTGTACTACTTGTAGCTCTACTATTTTAGTTCTTTACTATTTTAGCTCTGTACTACATGTATTTTAGGTACAGATGAACTTTAATCCATGCTAACTTCTTATGATCTCATCTTTTTTTTTCCCTAGGAGAAATAAGAACATGTTTCTTGAAGAAGTCTTACATCATCACCTTGAGCATGTACCAGATGGCGGTCCTCCTGCTCTTCAACGGCTCGGACAAACTGACCATGGCCGAAATCCAGTCGTCCACTCAGATGGCCGAAGGGGAGCTGGGAAAGAATGTCCAGTCTCTGGTGGACGCTAAACTCCTAATACCCTTAGACGCAAAGGTAGGGTGATGTGCAAACATTAGGCCACACCAATTTAATTTCTTGGTTAACGGATTCGCCCGCTTCGTTTTTTTCTGATTTGAAAATAAAAATAAAAATTCAGAATCAACTGCAAAATACTCATATTTTGCCCTGAACAGTTGAAAACAGTCCTTTTCTTTCTAGTTGTTACAGTTTTTCCATTTTTCAATGCAATGGTGTCATTAAAAGTTCAAAATTCATTGTTTAAATTTTGAACCAGTCTGGTGTGTTGACTTCATGGCTCCTATCGTACCATTTTGGGCCATAATAGGATCCCTAGGCCTATTTTTATTTTTATTTCGCCCGCCGGCTCCATTATTATTATTATTCAGTTGATGTGGCCTTACAACAAGAAGTGATCTTGGATATAGGAGTTTTCTTTTACACAACCAAACTTGTCTTCCCTTGCTTAAGTTTCTATTACATTTCTATTCTTACTTTACTATTTTTGGCAGAAGAAATCTTACATGGTCATGTCACATCTTCATGGGGTAGAAATGTTTCATTGTCTTCACTAAACATCAAGATTTGTATCTATCTGAAAGGATTTAAAGTTTTTTATTTGAATAGTAGCCTGGAAAGTAGAATTTCAGGCAAAGAATATGAGGGTTTTAGACATTATGAATATGTTTTGTTTTTTCAGGAACAACTGACCCCAAATGTGGTCCTGACAGTGAACATGGAGTACACCAACAAGAGAACAAAGTTCAAGATCCCTGCCTTGTACCAGAAGGAAACAGTTCAGGTATGGATGGATGGGAGGGAGGATGGAAAGATGGGTAGATGGATGATTGCTTTCGTTTAACAAGTTGTTATAAAAGTAGCACATTGCTCCTTCAATACAGATGTAAATATCTCCTGTAACTTTCCAAAAATCCTACATTTTCTCTATCCAGTATATCAACAAAATGTATGTTAAATGTATGCCATTTTTGGCTGATTACCTTGTGATACATTGTAATCCTGTTGTGCTAGGTATTGGTGATTGTTCATGATGCTATACTGTATGGTGCAGTCACTGTGGTAGTACTCATGGTGGCCATCGGGCATTTCTTTCCCTCTTTATATGATCGCCAATTGCCATTGCTAATGGTATATGATGGTTGTCCGTTGTTGTTGTTTCAGGAGGTTGAGCAGGCTCACAAGGCGGTGGACGAGGACAGAAAACTGTACCTACAGGCCGCCATAGTCCGCATCATGAAGGCCAGGAAGGTGCTGAAACACAACACACTCATACAGGAGGTAACACTGGTCTTCTCTGTCTACAGTTACTCTAGCATTTTCTTTGGTTGTGTGTGCATGTGTCTGTATCTATGTATGTGTGTGTGTGTGTATGTGTGTGTGTGTGAGTATACAGGGCTGGAAATACCACCTACATATGCAGGTAAGTGCAGGTAAAATTGGAGCTGTGCAGGTATTTCTGATGTCTACCTGCACCTAACCTGCACTGGTCCATGTACTGGGTATATGCAGGTTAGTGCAGGTAAAATTGGAGCTGTGCAGGTATTTCTGATGTCTACCTGCACCTAACCTGCACTGGTCCATGTACTGGGTATATGCAGCTTAGTGCAGGTAAAATTGGAGCTGTGCAGGTATTTCCTGCTTCTAACCTTCACCAAACTTGGGATGGGAGTCAGCAGCAAGAGCTTGTGTAAACAGTCTTTTCCGGCCTATTCCAAGGATAATGCATTGCATCTCTATTATATCATATCATAGACACAGTACAAAAATTGACAAGGCCACTTACATGTATATATAGCACTTATCCCATTGGTCATTTTACTTAACTGTGATTGGTCCATCCCTCCAGGTCATCAGCCAATCACGCGCCCGGTTTAACCCCAGCATCAGCATGATTAAGAGGTGTATTGAGCAGCTTATCAATAAGGAGTACATCGCCCGTAGTAACGAGGCAGCTGATGAGTACACGTACATAGCATAGGGAGTACGTCAGCATGTCGGCAGAACGTACTGTGCCTGCACTAAACCTGTAATGTAGTGTGCATAGCATCCGAAAATAGCTTCATTAGGTTGGTAAAGTATAGGATACAAGAGTTTTCTTTTACACAACCAAGATAGCTTACTTTGCTGACATTTCGGTGTCTGTCAGACACTTCCTCAGAGCTTCTGACTGGAGTTCTGCTTCCTACATCGGCTACATACATGTATAGCGGCGAGAAGCAGAACTCCAGTCAGAAGCTCTGAGGAAGGTGTCTGACAGACACCGAAACGTCAGCAAGGTAAACTATCTTGGTTGTATAAAAGAAAACTCTTGTATCAGTGTGCATAGCAGTTTAGCAGAACATCTCTTTTAAGGTTGTATTTGTGTATTTAAGGATGACATCTCGTCTGTAGTCCCCAAATGTGGTGTCGGAAAAAGTATTGGCAAAATTCTGATCCAACATCCGACAAAAACTGTGAAAAATCCGGGTTTTGCACAGGCCCAGTATGTTCTGCCTACGTGCGAGTACAGTCCATTCTGTCTATAATTAACCTCTATTACCATTTACAATGTATCTGTGGGAAGAGACTCCAGTCTGATAGAACCTGGTGGAATGGCAGCCTGATATACCTAAAAATAAATGTAATTAATTGCTGTAGTTAGAAAGCATTGTCCAGATTGGTGGGTACATGTATGTATGGGATCCGGGAATACTGCATACGGCAAGAGGATATACACTGGAATATGTTGGGCCTTAGAATGATACTGTACATTACAAATAATCTGTGATTGTTTGCAAATATTCCTTTTTTTGTGGCTGAGCAACTTTTACAGCAATAATCAATGGATAGCTCAAGTTACATTGAGCAAGCTTATATTATATGTAATGGATATATTGATTGATATTGCATTCTGAAGTAAAAGTGTTGTTTATAATGTAGTATACCATCTCTGTTCTTTTTCCTTGTATTTGTTTGTTTGTTGTTCTTTTCTGTATGGGATATTGAGCAAAATTCTAATAAATCTTGTATTGATGAAAATATCCCTGTACATATTAAAAAGCTTTATTGAATTTCTTCCCCTTATGGTCCATTTCTTGGGTTCTTCTCTTACCAAGTTGAACCTAAGCCTTGGACCATAGCAAGCCTTTTAAACCATTATACATGTACATTATATCTGCAAGGTACCGGTAGTCGGTTAATTTGGAAAACCTTTAAGCAAAGTAGAAAGTTTTAAGACATATGCTGGACCTATTCAGGCAAAGGTCTTTCTGACCAGTAGACCACTTTTGCTGCTTCTTTGAAAACTGAGAAATTATTGTTAAAACGCATTGGAAGGATGTTTTATTGCAAGTGCTAAGACAAACTTGTGTAATAAAGATGGTTACATTGATACACTGCTGTGATGATATGTAGGTTATTTTCTGAAATAAATAACCAGTAAAAACAGCTACGATGTAAACAAAACAATGTGCATGCCAGCAGGCAACATGCTAAACTATGTACTAATGCAGCAAAGGGATGGTGAGTTATACATGTAGCTGCAAACATACGGACATTGTCCTTCATGATCACATAACAAGCTAACAGCATCATAAACGGTGAACTTGTTTGACAGATAATTTGACATTTCCTTTTTTGTCTAAATTGCCAAATTTTGATGAGATTTTTAAAAAGACCAACGCACTGCCAAGTATTATGACGTACAATGTATTTCCTTGGTTAGCTGACACCACGCATTTTATTCTCCTTTCTAAATTTTCTAAAGAGTATAAATGTTTCGGTTCTTCCTACGCAATATTAAGATGAGTCATGTTTTTATAGTATAGTTGAAAACTGGTACTACGTTTCATGACTAATTTCCTCAGGTTGGTCAAGGACTTGGTAGCAAAGTTCTTTATTCACGCCCACTTGCTAAAAACAAGAGCTGACGTTTCGATGACCGCCTGTCATTTTCATCAGGGCTAAATGACTGATTCACTCTGCACTGAAGCTACAATGCGGTCCCTAACGTAATTGTGACATACATAGACAGTATGACTACTTTATACAGTAGACAGAGTACAGATAAAATTGGGATGGAGTGGAGAGAGAATGAGAAAAAATTAGACACCCCCTCATTATTTGTCAATGTCAATTTCCCCATTTCCCTAGCAGGAAATTACATATGGCTTTATATTGACTTCGTCAATGACTGATACACATTTCTTGTCAGCTTTTGGCTTTCTCTTTGATTTCATACACAGCCTTTATTCCCCCAATAGAGCGACTGGTGCTTTCTTAACAACTCAACACTTAGTCAGGGAATCCCAAAGCTGAAGATTAAGTATGCCCGTGAGCTATTTCTCATGGTAAAGGCTGACAGAATTCGTAGTTTATTTCTTCACAACTTTTATTCTTTCACAACATATAAGAATCATAAAGTTCCTAGTAGTGATTTCAAAGATCACCCAAATAAACATACATACCCCTCCCTGTAATTTTATTTTCCAATGACATAGGAGGCACGCAAATTAAATCAATGTTGCCTGAATTCCTTGATTGATAACTTAACTGATCAAATATTGTGTATGATACAACTTATAGCAACTTGTACAACTGTTATAGGAACGTAATATACTCCACAAAGGACCAGGTAGTACAGAGTGAGGATGTGTACTTGTACAGTCATTTGTAGAGGCTATACTGTTGCGTTCTTTCATGTATGTGCTGTACAATATTATACATGTGTAACAGCACCTGTCCTTGGTGCTGAACCAACGGTTAAATGTGTAAGAACCATCAGAAAGTTCTTGCTTGCCCAAAGCGTCATTGATGCCTTTAAAATATGTGTTTTTTTATCTAAGAGTCTTCAGTGTTCTAAAAGCGTAATAAGACTTCAGTAGAACCTGTCCTTGGTGCTGAATCACTGGTTACATATCTTACAATCACCGGAAAAACTTAAACTTAAGTTCTGTGTCGTAGATGATACGATTTTGAGAACCACTATCACCTACAACACAATATCGCCTTGTATCAGCTATTTTGGAGGGCGAGGGGGGGGGGTAGGGGAAAAGTATACTGTTACAAATTATAACTCAACCTCAGTCCTGAATTCTGAATATAAATTAGTCATTTCAGTCCGCCCATCATGTACTAGCCCCCATACTTCAAAATTGAATTTCACAGAAAAAAGCCCGTGCTCAGTAAGCCTAAGGCCAGTGATACATGTACACTCCTAAGCCGGTACGTAGAGAATGGTCACCGGGCTAGTGTAGGATTTGCAATAAGGAGAAACGTGTACGTACGTTGTCTTTGACTCCATTCTTGTAGACTCTACCACGCCTTTCTACAGGAATATGGATCGTAAAATTCGGCAATAGGGAGAGAAAAGTTGGCCAGGGGAGTCCACCCGCGGAAGGTTGTTTCTTTCTCTACGAAGCGCGGCCAGTCAAACCCCAAGGCGGCCAAACTCCCCTGGCAAATAGTCTCCTATATATAGCCAGCGTAGTTAGTCTGGTTGAGACTACCATTCTTGGCGTTAACGTTTAGAGTACGGAGTTAGAGTCTGTTAGAGGGAGCCTGGGCGCGACTGAGCCCCTGTTGTCCGTACTCCCCCGGCTTGCGCGAGTCGTAGGAGTCGGTGATGAAGGAGGGCCGGTCGAAGGGCGGGTAGTCGGCGGGCGGGATGTAGGGCAGCCCCGCCGGAGCTCGGGCCTGCTGCGGCGGTCGGTGCGGCCGGGCGACGGGGTCGTACGAGGCGGTGGAATACCCGTCGCTGGGATGACGTGATCGCCTGGCGCCTCTTACTGAACTTGCCATGGATTGTGGATAGTCGTCCTGAAACAAGACATCCGTTTAATTATCAACAAGGAACCATTAAAGCATCAAAGATAAATAATATATTCCAATTGTGTTGAACTGAGCTCAATGGAACGGAGGATTTACTCATACGTCTTTTTAGTTTTTAGTATTTGGTAACATCTGGCGCCACTACATCAGGCTAGTTTACAGATAGCTTGTCATAATCTAGCCACTGTGCTTAGCAGTATGTACATGTGTATCTGCAATTAACTTTTTTATGGATATGCATATACCTGAAGAAAACCATAAACAAGAGTTCCACGATCTCATATATACCTTCGCCAAATGATGTTAACCCTTGCGGTTGACGAATTATACAATTCTAATCATTGATTTTGCAAATAAGAGCTTCATTTGCATGAATTATATTAATTGATCATATTCTCCACCCAATGACAGCCTTATCTTAACAAAATGGCCATTATAGCACTTCATCATAAATTATGCAAATGAGGTCATGATTTGAATAAATTATGTTAATTGGTGTTTGCCTTCACTTAACTTCCAAATGTGTCAAGTATGAAATTCCCAGCAGTTACAACTATTAGATTATAAAAGTGTCCCTAATTATGCAAATTAGGTCTTCATTTACATAATCTATATTCTCAAATGTTTTTTCGTTCTCAATTACATGTCACAAGTGTTTCATTGTCCTATTATCCAACAAAGCAGATTTATAAAACTTCCTCATTAATTATGCAAATTAGCTCCTGATTTGCATAATTGTCATCTGATTACGTCAACCATCACTTCAGCTACCTACATACCAAAAATCATGACAATCCGTCAACCGGTTCTTGAGTTATCCCCCTTCGAAAATTTTTCAACAAATGCTCCTGCAGTTCCAAAACAAGCCGCTAGGGGGCCCAAACTCATGTCACTTCTTCCCTACTCCAAGAGCTATCTACCAACTAAAATTCGTGACCCTAGCATGTCCAGATGGCGAGATATCAAAACCGGAAGTTCTGCTGCAGCACCTAGGAAAGCCGCCAGGGGGCCCAAAATCTAATCATTTCTAGCTCTCATGAAGACCTACCCACCTACCAAGTTTCATGACAATGCATATTAAGCTTCTTGAGTTATGCTGTTCACAAACAAACAGACAGACAGACAAACGCTACTGAAAACATAACCTTCTTGGCGAAGGTAATAAATGGATGATATATACAAATCGTCTCACCTCGCGTGGAAACCTCGGGGCTGTTTCGTTGTCGTCTGCGGGGGCCACAAAGTCGTGAAACGGGGAGTAGGCTTCGCTCGGTGATCTGGGCGCAGTCGCAAACGTGCTGACCTCCTCCCTCATCGGCACTGGCTCGTCCCTCACGGCCAGAGAGCTCTTCCGCCGCAGGGACCGGTTGTAGTCCTCCCTGGTCGGGTTGTCGCCTCCCCGAGGCGCCCGCATGTCGTCGGGTTCTTCGGGGGGCATGCTTCGGGCCTCTGTCGGGCGGCGGTCGTAGTCCTCGTACGACGTCTGTTGTTGGTAGGCCGATCGTCGCTCATTCGATGACTGTCCTGTGATGTAGGGATTTGACTAGAAGAGGGGTGGAGACAAGACAATCAGAGATGGCAGACTTCAGACCCCTTCAAGTAGGGCAAAAACACAGGCATTTGCATGAACACACAAAAACACAGACACATAAACACAGACACACACGCGCGCACACACACGCACAGAGAGAGAGAAAGAGAGAGATAGAGGGAGAGAGGGAGACTCAAAAGCCAAGTCACACTCAAAAGCCAAGAATGAAAACTCATAACAGTAAACCATTAAGCAGCATGCATCTACAGCGGATAAGAAAATCCCACGAAGCAACAAAATCTACCTCTTTGTCCCCTAGCTCATCCTGGAAGAGTGAAGGCGGGTAGAGATTGTCTACAACATCGCCCCAGCTGTACCCAGACTGGCAGTAAGCAGAGAAGCGGAGAGCAAAACAGATTAATGTCCCTTCTAGATCTCCACTAAGCTGCGACCATCGGGCGTAGATTGTGCAACTAAAAGTGTCATGTAGCCTTTCTGCAGCTGGCTTTCAAGCAACTTACTGAATTTCGGTGACAGTATACCTTTAAGCACGTGTAAAGGTTCCTTTTTTCAGTCGACTGAATACGTAAATCTAAGTTTGGTTGCTCAATGGGCGCCCGATGGTCTTCATGCAATACATTTGGGGGACTAGACAGCAACAAGCTAAAAACATTTAAGCAACAAAAATCTAAAAAAAACAACAACAACAAACAAACAAACATCAAGCTAAAGCAAAATAGCCACATAAAAATACAGGTTTTTATATAGTTGCCCTTCTACGTACTCTGCCGAGATTTCCTCAGCTTGGGAGTCGCGTGAACCATTAAAAAGCAGAAATTGCAAAAGAAAGGGGGGCTTTGCGACTTCTACTTTTTTGTGGATAAGTTTCTCCTTACCTGCACGTAGTCTTGATAGCTGGCCCATCCCGGAGCGCCTCCCTTTGATGACATCTCCTTAATGAAGCTGATCACGCAAAGAACTCCCCAGATCTACGATTAGAACGCAATAAAATGAATGCAAATGCGATAACTAAAACGCGTCAGCATTATAAATCATGATACAAACATCAATAAACACATAAAATGCAGGGCAAGAAGCAAACTGTACTCCTTCTAGTCGACCAACTCCCCTGGCATGTTATCTGTCTGTTTGACCATGCATATGGCTGATTTCTACTTTTTACAGCCGATTCTGAAGCCTGATAGAGGCTAGTTGACGTTTAACAGTGTTTGTCTCTGTCATCTTCCTGTGAGCCTATAGCTAATAGGTTCTGAAATTCCATGCCAAAACAAGTGATTTATTTCTTTAAAACAATGTACACTTGTCTATCACTTCGTTTTTTTACAGATGGAGTGTAGCGAGACCTTATTGCACTACTAGCTATGGAAAAACCCCGCGCTTTACATTGGCCTATCAAAGCTACTGTAAACATAACATTCCTTGAACAGTGGGTGAAATGAAGGACACCGTACCTTGAAGAAGATGAGCAGCCCCCTGACAGCATAGCTGATGAGGTATCCCGCCCACAGGTCTTTGGTGAGGGACAGAGGACTGAACGGGTACGCAGTGATGCCCTGGTGGGGACAACATATCAAACTGTTACTTCTTCTTTAGAACTAGAAATATGTAACATTTGCAAAGCAAATGCAAAATGTTTACCTTCACATATGGTCTTCTCTGCTAATTCAAACACATTCACATATATGGTGACAGGAGTCTAAATCCCTCCTACTATAAAATTGCAACATGGTGTAACCCAACACCATGGTGAGAGACGGTCTAGTGCAGGTCATTGACCAGGTCAGAGGTCACTGTTTGGAGAAGAAGAAGAAACTGAGCAAAAACAGTATGTTTTCCTTCGATAAACATAATAAGCAACCACGAAGATGAAACAACCATACATATTCTCAACCAATGAGGGGATTCAGTGTGTGCTTGTGTTTGCCTGTGTATTATCTCAGAAAATACTTGAACTTGAAAAGAATGTGTGTTTACAAACAGCATTTTTTCATTCATAACTATTTGACTTGTTCACCCACCTCGTTCCAGTGTATAACGTACATCGCTATTTGTGCAGAAATCTCGGTAAGAATCTCTACGATGACTGCAAAAATCCACGGGTACATGAGCCATTTCTTCAGCTGTGGGCATGATTAAAAGGATAAATTGTTGGTTTGAGGGCAGTGCTCTATGGAACCCCAAAATCCATTTATAATTATTAGGACTATTTAAACGGTAACGTTATTTTTGTTTTATATCTTGTATACCTTGAATGGAGCTTTTCTCTTCCCTCATAAAGGAAAAGAGACATGCATGCAGAAGGTAAATTTGTCCCAGGAACGGTTCTGGATACGCTCACGTGGACTATCCAGAACTGTACCTGAGCATGGTTTTGGATAAAGCACGGTTCTGGATACATCAAATCTACTGGCTATAGAAGCTGAGTTGATCATTGTCTCATACACCGTATGGTCTGGGAAGTATGTTAACTAGCAAGACTCACCGTGCAAACTCCAATGAAGAGAAGTAACGAACAGAGAACAACAAGACCGTGTGCAGCAAGTTCCACGTACACGGTAATCAAGGAGTTGTCAAGAACTGCACAAGGACAGAAAACATACCAAGAAGGCTTTAGGTCCAGGAACATTAAAGACATCCAATACAATTTCAGGATGGCAGTCACAACAAAAAGTGTCCGTCTGTCCGATAGAAAGAAAGAAATCTGTCCGATATTGATGCTCGCCTTGATGCCGTTTCTTAGCACATTCTCATCATAATCTGATACTTGAAGCGTTTGAAATACATGTAGCCCGAAATGAAAGTTACACGAAGAGTCCTTTTATTCTTAGTACCTTCAATACGAAAAAGGCAACTATTTTCCATCAGTGACATCACATTTATGCCTCATAGATAGCAATATGCTATGGGATGGAGATGATTCAACTTTCTACATGTACATTGAAAAAAGACCAGAAAATTGACTTTGAAAATCCAGAATGGTACCTTTTTGTGTTTTTGTATCCGTTGACGACACAACCTCTTTTTGTTCCACTAGGCCCATTTGCTGCAGGAAGTCCACAGCAAAATACGCTCCAGACACTAACTGTGGGGCAGAAATGGTCAAAGGACGGTCATCACCTTTGTAGAACTCATGATGTAACGTTAACTTGTTTGTCTTCTGTAAGGCTAACTGTTACAATGCTCATGTTTTTGTGGTAGATTGAGCATTTTGTCACAAACCATTAGGCACCTAATTTATAACACCAAGGCCGTAATGTCTTTTTAGCTCTCTGAAAATTAGAATGAGGACTGAAACATTTGTTCAAATTAAAATCAATACTTAAAGCATTCTTCAACATAGATTTGTTTACCATTTTAAGAGTTTACAATAGAATGGTTTGCCTTGTTAGATTACAATTACAAAAGAAGGTAGAGAGGAGACACTAAAAATTCAAGATCGCTCTTTTAGCCTACGTTGCCGCGAGTACTCTTTTTTATTTACATAGTTAAAAAAGAACGTGTAACTGTTGGCTCTAATACATGTACGACTGCTCATTACACAGGCAATAAATCACAAGTATCACACCCAATCAGACACCGTGGCCCAAACAAATGATGTCATAACTTTTTCTGTCTGACGTCAGTCCAGGGGCGTTGCCATGGTGATACCTGTCAATCAATTGACACCTTGTGCGACCCTGGTGACATTTAGTTTTCACACTTACTGAACACACAAATGGCTTTTTTATTGTGGTCAGTTTCCATTGTAATGTTGTACATAATCTACGTAAACCGGCATTTTCGCTCTATTAGGGCATTTTCCGCTTGTCCTGTTTAGTTAGTGTTTAATTGGAGAGAACGTGACTACATTGAGTTGTGGAGTCATTTTTGAAGAACTGTTTGAGACAAAATTACCCCCATGTCTTGTTGAAAGACTGTGCCAGAAGCAGATATTTTGGTGGCCGCAAGAAGACCGAACCGGTGAAAGTATAGTTAGTTGCGTTCGTTGTTACAACTTGAATTAAAAACTTGTACATAGCACACATAAAGATGTCCAACCTCTTTATCTCCGTGTGTCATGTCAAAGAATAAATGAAGCAGCATTTGTAGATTTAAAATGATGTGTAACCTGATTGACATTTGCCCCTAGGGGTGAATGAAGCTTGTAACATACAGACTACCATTTTTGTGTGCTACTGTAAGAGCCACGTTAGGATATGTGTGTGTGTGCTTGTCCTTTTCTTTCTACAGTACAGACATTTTCTGTACCAAAATAGGTTGGGATAGTTCAGTGCATTTTGTTGACCTTTTAAAGTGGCACACCCTAAACGTTATTAAAGGAGAAGAACGTGTTCTGTTTTATGCATGAAGATCCAATTTCTGTGTCCCTTCTGTTTCTTTTTTTCTATTTTATGGCATTATGTTATGATACAGTTTATTAAGATGCAGAAAAGAACCTTCCTATACTTTATAGCTTGTAGTTTGTACAACTCAGTTTAGACTTTGTCGTTATGATCACACCGATATTGTACAATGTGTATAGCATATTCTGTATTTGAACCCATATAAATGCATAACACTAGCTAAAACCACTGATTGGTACATAAAAGAACGATGATTTAGTTTTTAGCAACTGTATTGTCTTACAGTATATAATGTAATGGCGGAGTAATTGACAAACTCACCAGGGTGAAGGTACCACAGATGAGTGTACCCCTTTTCAGGTCACAGCACCCTCCGCACGATTTCATCCGCATGGTGACTCTCACGAAAAATAGTCCCTCGTCTTGAAATCAAACTTGAACTTGCGACACTTATCCAACTTTAGAGATATCTCTGAGGAACCTGCTAGTATTGTGGGACGATCCCTTTTATTTAGCACCACTGTCTTTTTCCGCACTCAAGACAAAACTAAGTTTCAGGCGACAGAGGGCGGCGATGGGCTCCGATCTGTTGGAAAAGAGAGAAAACTTCATTGACACAACAGTAACATTGCCATAAGGTCTACATCATACATGTAGATACAGAGAGGTAAATTCAATTATAGTAATAAAAAAGTATATGAGTATATGAGAATAACTACAATTCATTCTGCAAAGTCTCTGAGATTAAAACATTCTGTAATGTATTTACCTATCGGCACGATATTGGAACAATATTGGGATCGTCTACTTGTAAAAGATTTACATAAACAGGCCTTTGATTTTAGGTTTGCTCTTAAGTGTTTGTAGTGGGATCCCCCAAGAGGTTTTTGCACCATGTCCTTTTTGCAAGACAATCACCATACGTACATACAGACCAGGTGTTCCCCTTAAGGTGTCTTCACATATTCTTACTGTACACGAAATTTACCTAGCGCTTAACGCCACTTCAAGACCCGAGGAAGCATGTCTAACGATGTAAACAAACGGAGAAGTGCCTACCTTAGTTTGGGTGTAACCTCGACAGTTCTGTCCACCCGAGTACAGACTACACCTGTCTGACATAAATCTTCCAGACGTTACTCTGTGAAACGTCAGTCGAGCATTCTACCAGTCCAACATGTCCGTCCATCGGATCCAAAACGTTCCTGCTTCCTTGTCACGAACTTGGTACAGAGTTTAGGAACAAAAAGCGAGGGTTTGTTGTGTTTTCCTCAGAACATGTTGTAGAGAGAGAGTTTTAATAGCCGGTGTTACAGTACGTGTGTTTTGTGACCACACCCATACAAACCGGTCAGACGACTTTTTTCTCTCTCTCTCAACTGGAGTGACCTTTGTCCTGGGGCATCGTCAGACCAGTTCCCGCCAAAATGTGCCGGTCGAAACGGGTTCTGCTCAGTAAAACTAGTCCACAAAACCCCCCTCTGCTGGCAAAAATAAAACAAAAACAAAACATAACGTAACATAACATAACACTAGAATTGGTCCAAATACTTCGTGGTAATTCTATGGACGGACAACGTCTTTGGCTATACTTTGTCTTATTTTGGCCAAACTACTGTTCATTTGGTCCACAGGTAGGCATGTCTACAGAAGAAAACAACAACAACATGTAAACATGCTGTTACAAATTGAGATAATCCAGGGAACAAATTCCGTATTTCGTCCTCTAGTCCCCTTTCCTCTCTCACTCTCTCTCCCTCTCTATCATTGCATTAATATTCAGGTTACGATTTTTAGAATCCACCTACAGTAATTTTGGAAGATTCGCAAACTGTTCATGAAATCTTTATCCAATCCAACAAGGGAGTAAATGAACTGAGTTCAACATTAGCTTTAGTCCATGTCTTTTCATTTGTAATCATCACTTTGTTTCTGAATTAAAAAAAAACAAAAAAACAAAAACATTAGCTTCGAAAGAGAGAATGGAAGGATTGCTGATGTCATCATCATCTTCGGTACCCGTACCCCCAAATAACCCTGCAAGGGGTGACGTTAGTGGGGAGAGGAGTTCCAGGCTAAGCGGGCAGGCCGCCAGCCCGGCCCGGAACGACTCAACTATTGGGAGCCATAACTACCATTGCAACAATGTTGTGGCTATTTTGAAAAATGTTGTAAGGCGGGCGCTCCTCCTCCTTTCAGAGAGAAGAGGCCATTTCAGGTCGTTGAGCATCTGTGACACACTGCTAGTTCGCCTGTAGTCATTAAGGGTCACCCGGGTGGCCCTGCGCTGGACAGCCTCCACCGCCTGTATCCCTTTGATGGTATACGGGTCCCAGACGGTGGCACTATATTCCAAGTGGGGCCGTACCAGCGCTTTATAACAGGTGGCCTTGACCCTAGATGGACAATAGGTCAAGTTGCGCCGGATGACCCCCCAGTAATCATGTCTTTAATTGCACCCAATGGTTTTAATGTAGCAAGACAAAATAAAGCACAGGTGCACATAACTGCAGTTCACGTAGAAACCGCATGGGTTAGATTCTAGTAGTCGATCATGTTCATAGTTTTTCTTTAATGTGCAAAAGAGACAATAAACATTAATTATTCTGGCAAACATTAACGTTGATCATGGCTCATAAAAAGTACAACGTAACACAGAAACAGTTTTTGGATAATTTCTAACAGGTTCCTTTGCTTAATGCATACGGCTGGAACTCAGCTGGTTTCCGTGTCGTACACAGTCGTTGCCATTTTGAAACGATCGTTGCCATATCAAAGAACTTTAAGTGTATTAATATAGAACGCTCCTTACACCGAGATGCTTCGTGGCTTGGTGGAGTAGGGATTTTAATAATTAAGACCCGGGTTTTGATCCGAGCTTGTGCTCTGGCTTTTTCATTAATGTCATTACTATTCTTCACGATGTTGCCGTAATTTTGTAATTAAAATGTTACTTTTTATACGTTTTAAATGTTTTTGATCCTCAAAATAAGTTACTTAAGGCTCGAACCATTCAGGGATATGACAACGGCAGCTGTTGCAAATTGCAATAGGAGAGAGAGAGCCGCGCGCTCGCTCACAATGCGCCACAGAACCAGTTAAGCAAAAATAGAACACACAAAAGCTAACGTCTAATTGAATTCTGCCGAATGTATTCCTAGTAGCAGTCTTACGTGAGCACAAAAATCCTGTAAGCTTCTTCAACGTAAAAAATAAGAACTGGAAAAATTCACTGATCCTTGTCATATTGGTAGTGGGAGGGGGGCAATTCATATCTCATTAGCAGAATTAGTTTCTGATCTTTGGTTTACACTATTTGCCCCTGCACACACAGAGATAGCAAATGACGAAAATAGATTTGGGATATCTTTTGAAAGAATCTCCCAGGTCCTAGCTCGAGCTCTTTGCTCCAACTATGTACCGCCTCCTGTGTTAAGTTCCCCAACCCATCCTACGAAATAGTGATCGGGGTGTGGTTTTGAGTCAAGTTTGACTCAAATTTGATTGGATTCGTATAGAAAGGTAAGCCTAAATCTGGTCAGACTGCTCCCAAACTTCCAACCGTTTTTAAGTAAGGTTTAACAAAATCAAAAAAGGAGGAAAACTAGACAGGAGAGAAGAGTTTTCTTAACTATTTTTTGCTGTTGTCAACCAATCTTTAGGTGGTGAGTGATTGGGGGAAGGTTCTGAATGTGTGACAGACCCAGGGGCTTTAGTAACTACTGTATCACTGGGTGTTACGTATCTGGTGGCTCAGGTTTGTTAGAACTTAAATTTTTATTCATTGAGATTTACCATACTTGTGGAAGGATTGACATAACAGAAAATTATCACCTTTTTAAGATGTCAATCCAGAGACTGTAAGGATTGTCCACGCTCACTCACACTGGGATGGACCTTACTTTTTTTGATGGTGTAGCGATTAATTTTTTTTTTAATTTAGAAAGTTAAAAAGAAACATTAAGTACGATGTAACAGTTCGTTGACTTTTCACCCGGCCCAGATTTTTGACATTCCGACCAACTTACTAGTTGGATCGATGTCTACAATATCGTCATATTTGTAAACTAATATTGTTTACCTATACTGTTATGGGTGACAAACAACGCACTAGAAAAGAGTGTAGCATTCTTCAAAGGATAACGACTATATATGCTTTTGAAACATCTTAAAACTTGAGCAAAAGAACAGTCACTCGATACGATTTGGTCAATAGATATTGTATCTTACATAACCCCCCATTTCTTATAGATCTTGTTAAATGCGTTCACTTCGTATATTTTAGTATTTTAACATCCAGTCTTCAAACGTATTGACAGTGCTCAGTGTTAAGTCTTTCCCTACCCCCACCTTACCGGTTCCTGTGTTCTGTTAAGTTGTGGAAGTGCAGCGTACTTAAGATCGCGTTACGCCAGGCTTACCAGTCTTTCTAAAAGTGTTGAAGCAACATTAACGCGAAGTATGAACAGCTGAACCTCCTATATTGTTACGTCTCTCCTTCCTGTATCGCCTATAAACTTCAAATCAAAACAGAACGGTTGCCTTGATGTAGTAGTTATACTGTTGGCAGAACCGCGTCGCCGCAGGGTTGACTAACAACCACAGCGCGTCATAGCGTATCGCGTTTGGTAAGAATGCGTCAACGACTTAACCTCCACCCTTTGTCTTAATTCCGCCCACCTGATATCATTAATGCACGGGTAGTGTCACTTAGATACAATGTCACTCATCGCAACTTTTTTGCTGTACGTTTTTCTAAGGAGTTTCACGAAATCCGCCTTAAGCACTGAGGGAGTTTTAACTTTCACCACATCAACTCAATCCCCCTGTTTTTGAGACCGCCCGTCACATGAGACACGCAAACCCACGCCTTACTTCCGCTCAGGTAATGCAGGCAAACTATATATACGAGCGCTGTTTCAACTGTTGCAATATTCATCGAGACGAGACAACTACAAGTACCGCTGCCTCTGCGCTCCGAGCCCCACACAGCAGAGCCAGACAACACCGTGAGTTCTGAGATGAAGACGTTTCTCCTACAGCTGTCCATGGTCTGTGCTGCCGCGGTCTTCAGAGTAGCCTCACCGCTAGTCATCACAGGGGTGAGTAGCGTCTTTTTCCTCGTGTCTTCTTCCTCGTTCTCTTGCTGTTCTCTCGTGTATCTTCCAGAGCAAAATATAACCGGTGCGATGGTAACGACTAGTGTGAAAGGCTTTGAAAACGGTACAAACTGCTTTCTCTGCTTAGTATTTAGCATGAAAAGAGTGCGAGTATGGGAGTTGAACATGTACACACACCCAGCTGTAGTGATTTTACAACTGTGTGGCCCAGTGGCTACAAAAATAGAGATTGGCGTTTTTTTCCTCATGTTTTCTTCTTTGTTCTATTGTTGCTGGTTTTTAATCTACGTGTATCTTCCAATGCAATGTTAAACTCTCCGATACGGTAGCCACATGGGTACAATGTAAAAGGCTTTGAAAACAGTAAATACTACATTCTCTGCATGAAAACCTCTCAATCTATGATCGTTCTTGGAAATGCCTAAGATCCTATAAAAGGCGTGACCATTTGACTCTCCCATCAATCGTTGTTTCGCATTTTCTCATCAGTACGACAGTTTGTCAATGGATAAGACTCGTTATACCCAGAGCGAATATCGGAGGGAAAATAATGAGGATTTTTGTCTTTTATGTCCTCGTTTTGTAGTTATTTCTCCCCAAGGGAGTAAAGTATCTATCTTGGTGCGTTTGTCTGATTCTGCCATATCCGAAGTAGGGTGTAATGCATTGGGTATCTCATTCTACCCGAGCTTCGTTAATTTTGCCGTAGACTTTAGGCATTTGCTGGAGTCACGTTCGTAACGAACATCTGTATGCTATCCAAGACTTTTCAAGCAAATGTGTCTCTCTTTGTCAGTGTTTATGTGTGCGTGTGTAGTTCAGCACCAAGGACAGGGACTGTGCGTGTGTGTATGTGTGTGTTTGACTATGAGTGCGTGTGTGCGTGTGCATGGATGGCATTCAGCACCAAGGACAGATCTATCTACCAGTGTGAGTGTGCACACGTATGTGCAGTGTGAGTGTGCAATGTATGTGCGTGTGTGCATTTTTGTACCCATTTGTGCCCCCATTCTCCCCACCCTTTCCACACGTCCAATGCCTGACCAGAAACCCTTCCCGCCCGTCTGCAGGGTTGCCGAAGCGACTACGAATGCATCGCGAACAAGGGCGAGAACTGGTGCTGCGCGCGGTGGAACCTGGGCTCGGGCATCGCCGTGTGCAAGCCCAGGGGGCGCATGGACGACGAGTGCCACATCTCCAGCAACCTGATGCCGTACCCTCTGGACGCACCTCGGGCCTTCTGGCGCTGTCCCTGCGGCCCGGACCTCGGCTGCACCGCCACGGAAACCGCGAAGATCGGCCACTGCACCACGTTTGACAACCTCCCCATGAAGAGAGGCATGGACATGGAATGAGAGATGTGAAAATTCAGCGCAATTCTCAGACGATACACCGCAATAGCTCTCGATTTTCTCAATCACTGCAAAAAAATCCTACCTTAAGCACAGATTAAATCATGCGTAAAGAAACAGACAACTGAAGAAAAGGAAACTTTACGTATGATTTAAACAGTGCCTAAAGAATGTATTTTTTTGCGGTGCAATGTTGCTCTAATTTTCGCTTTCCTGATCACAGCTTTGTTACACATTGAACAAATGTTGCTCTCACAAAATATCTAGTGGCAAAAATCGGTCACTAGTTGTGGATGCGGAAGATACATTTTGAACTGTAGAATAGTCCAGTTACTGATAATTTTTTCGACCCAAATGAAATGTTATCAAAGAATTCGCACACTGGTTGTGCCCGACTACTGCACTGCTGTCGTGCAAAGTAGCTGGTGAAATTCGGGCGATGTGCCTTTTAGAGTACCTCCTACTTAGACCTGGTTCCCTCACTTCATATTGGAACTGAATAATGAAGAATAAAGACTAAGACGGGCATCGAATAATGTGTCATGTGTTTATTCACAAAAATATCAATATTTCCCCAAAGAAATTAAACATCCTACATGCTACTAGTTTAACATGAATATAAAATAATTTATAGATCTAGCTTGATACGCTTATTAACTGCCTATCTGACATCTACTTAACGTCTGGTGGTTGCTAACTGTATTCTTTGATAAACGCCTACACACGTACAGAGGCAGAACGTAGTCACGATAGATATGGAGAGTATGAATAGTAAAACTCCTACAAGGTGTTGCTGATTCAGAGTAGGTTCTTTTATCTTTGCTTTGAAAAACATATACGCAAACACCCCCAGATAAAGGCACTGGAAGTCACAGTCAAGCTTATGATATGGTTTGGTGCCTTTGAAGGTTTGAGTTTTGCCACGATCCGCACGTAGGTTATGCCTCAGTCACAAATAGCCGGATATGGCCTCCCGACCGCTGCCAACCTTCCCCCAACCATATGGTTGGCAGTAGGTCGGGAGCAAGGTTGGATGTGCGTGGTTGGCCGGTGATTGGCTACTGTTTGGCTGCGGCAGCAGAATGTTTCAAGAAGTTATAATTAAAACATTCGAGAGTAGACGGGAGGTTGGGCCATGGTTGGGAAATGGTTGGCTGGTGGTTGGGAACAGGTTAGCAGTGTTCGTGGCCGTGTTGGTGTCATCAGTGTAGGTCATATACCCCCAATTCAGCTGAAGTATGCCTGCTAGTGCTACGACATTTAATGTGATCTTACCTAAAGAAAGTCAATACAACTAAAACATTCACAGTTAACACTAACAGTTCAAACTGTAGAAGATACAATGCCTTAAAACCCATAACAACAGTCCCATAGCACTTCACGAAATCCCATTTTTACGCACACCTTAAAACATGCGTAAATACAACACGCGAATGAAGAAAATGAACCTTTACGCACGATTTAAGGAGTGTTTAAAGAATGGGTTTGTATATATTAATATGCTGGTTATTATTTGGTTATTATGCGGGCAATTATTCGTAGCGTGGCAACTAACCTACTCTCCAAGCAGAGGTGAGAGGGAGAGAACGTAGGATATTCCGACATGGCTAGCT